CGACGGCGGTGTGGGGTACTCGGCATCCGACGACGAGTTGTAGGCCGCACCTCCGCCCATACCCACACTCAAGGATGCGCGCGACTTGGACAGGAAACCCGCCTGGAAACGATTGGATGTAGCGGCAGGGCCAGCCGACGACGTGGCGGCCATGCCAGCGCCGGGCAGGATGGACGTGTCGGGCGCGTTCAGCGAGCTGTCGTCGTCTTCGTCCGTCTCGACAAGATCGGTGCGGCTCAGGTACGACGGCAGAGCGAGCGGCGGCAGCTCCGGGGACGGGGGCGAGGCGTGCGCAGCGTGCGCGGCCAGCGGGGACGGCGTCTCCTCGTCGGCCTCGGGCACCGTCTCCATGGTCGACCACGCCGATTCAGGGAGCGGCTGCGCGATCGAGTTCGTATCCGCAAAGGCAGGCTTCCCCGCCTCCTGCTCCTCCTCCTCCTGATCCTCAGCGTCTGCAGGTGGCGCGTCGACAATGGCCACAGGGTTCTCGGGCGACGACGCAGCCTTCAACTTCTGCGGCGTCTTCTCAAAGTCGGCCAGCGTGCCCGCCTCGGTCTCGTCGTCGCGCCAGCGCACGCTACGCTTGAACGAGCTCGACGACGCGTTGCTGTCGCGACGAGCCGACCCGGCAATGGAGCCGGCGAGGCCGGCCGACTTCCTCTTGCTGGGCATCGAGACGCTCTTGCGTCCTGCGCCCGATACCACCTTGCGGCGACGTGGCGAGGACCGCGTCGGCGACGTGGCGGCTGCCAGGTGCTGCTGCGCAGCCACGCCGAGGGACGAGCGCACGGGCGCCGGGTGGCTCGCAGCAGCGCCGCCCATCATGGACGACCGTGTGCGGCGCGGTGTTCCGCGCTTGGAGGGAGGGAACGCATCCATGCCGCCGAGCGAGAAGCGGCCTGAAGACGAGGTCGAGGCAGAGAAGGCAGTGCCCGCCGTGCTCGCCGACAGCGACGGGTCAGGCTTGACAATCTGCGAGGTGGCTGCGACGCCGGCGTCCAGCAGCTTGCGCACGAGGCGCTGGCCGTGGGCGACGGCCTGGTCGCGCGGCATGGCCAGCGTGCTGGCCAGTGACGCCATCATGGTAAACTGGGCCGACAGCAGGGTCTGCAGCATGAGCATGTCGGTCTGGCTGCCGGTGGTCTTCTCCTGCTCGAGGACCTCGATATAGGCCTCGCGGGCAAAGTTGGCCTTGAGCAGCTCGGCCTCGCGCGTCAGGACCGCCATGGCCTCGCTGGTGTCGGCGGCGGCCACGCTGTCCACGGCGGCCGCGGCCATCTGGGCCATGCTGTGCTGCAGGGCCGAGTCGAGGGGCCGCTCCCAGTTGCTGCGCTCAATCTTCTGGTGCAGGTGGTGGCGGCTGTGCTCGAGCTCGGCCATGATGCCGCGGGTCGTCTTGCGCATGGCAGCGAGCGCGGGCGGCAGCTCCGCAGGGGCAGGGGCAGGGCCAGGGGCCGCCGCGTCAGCCTCCGCGTCGGCGTCTGCGTCGCCTGGAACGCCAGACGGCTGCTCGCCAAACAGGTCAAAGGCGTCGGCCCAGGCGGCCAGCGTCGCCAGGCGCCGCTCCACGGTGCGCAGCTTCTTCATGTCCGACACCTTCTGCTGGCGCTCGGGCAGCGCGTTCTCGTAGGCGACGCGGATGCGCTGCACGCCCTCGCGGGCCAGCAGGTCGCGCTTGTCGAGCTGCTTGCGTACCTTGAGGCCAAAGGCGTGCTCGGCGTCCTTTTGCTGGGCCTTGAGCTCGTTGATGAGGGCCATCTGCTCGTCAATCTTGACCAGAAAGTCCTTGACGTGGCGGTTGACGTTGAAGACGTTGCGCGTGACCTTGGTCTGGATGTTCTTGGCGCGGTTGGCGTAGCGCAGGGTGTTTTGCGTCTCGTCAAAGTGGGCGCTCGAGGGCGAGACGCAGACAATCATGACGGTCTTGCAGTTGCCGCCGAGCGAGAACTTGAGGAGGCGGGTCAGCTTGCTGTTGCGGTAGGGCACGTGGTTCTTCTTGCGCGGGTCGCAGAGGGCGTTGATGCAGCCGCCGAGGGCCAGCAGCGACTTGTTGATGTTGGCGCCCTCGAGCAGGCGCTCGCCGCGGTTCTTGGTGGCGCTAGCGCGCTCGCTGCCGGCCAGGTCGATGATGCTGAGCGTGGCCATGGTGTGCGGCTCGCTGACGCTGGCGTTGCGGTCGCGCTGGGCGACGTTGATCTGCAGCACGGCGTGCGAGCGCGAGGAGACGGCGTTGGCCTCGGTGGGCGAGACGGTGCGGAACTCGTTGCCCTGGACAATCATGTCCATGACCTCCTGGACGTCGCGCGGGTGGTGGCTGGTGAGGCCGGCGACGGTGACGGCCTGGTTGGTGTCCTCGCGCAGCATCAGGCCCTGCTTGCTGCCGCCTGGGACGAGCAGGTCGCGGATGGTCTCGTTGTAGATCTCGAGGTAGGACAGCGACAGCTCCGTGACCTTGTCGTCGCTGCGCTCGCTGATCTTCTCAAACAGCTCCTGCATCGTCATGAAGATGATGCCGGGCTGCTGGGCCGTGCCCGTGATGGTGTGGGTCTTGCCGCAGCCGGTGGCGCCGTAGGCAAAGACGGTGGCGTTGTAGCCGTCGAGGACGCTGTCGAGCAGGCCCTTGGTGGTGCCCTCGTAGACGTCCATCTGCGAGGCGTTGTCGTCGAAGATGCGGTCAAAGGCAAAAACCTGGTCCTTGACGCGCTTGCCGGTGGCCGGTACGACCGACCGCGAGAATTTCTGCACGGGATTATCTTCGGGCGGGTCGAACACGAGGCAGCGGTCGTCGACGACCTTGATGACGGACCGGAGGCCCTTTTGGTTGAGCTTTGGAGCAGGGGCGGCGGCGAGAGAGCCGTCGCCGAGGAAGAGGGTGCCATCGTCGGTTTTTGCTCTGGGAGGGGAGAGAGTTAGTGAGGCTCATGGGGTTGGGATCGTGTCTTCGATAGACCTACAGTTGGGCTGCTTCCCGGATTGTGAACGGCCGCACGCGGACTGCAGTCGTGAGTGTTAGTAGAGGTCGATGCGACGGAAGAATGATCCGACAGTGAAAAGGGGCTCACCTGCGACCACAATCGAGGACGCGCCCGTGTCGGAGGGCAGCATGGTGGCGGCTGCGGTGGCGGTCGTTGTTTACTTGATGTTCGAAGAGTTGATGTTCGAAGAGTCGTCAATGGTCAGTGGATACAAGTTGTTGATGCTGGCCGTCGTGATGGCCGTCGTCGTCGATGCTGCCGTCAGAGTCGAAATCAGAGTCGAAGTTGAAGTCGAAGTCAAAAGAGGTCGATGGGCGAAAAAATGGGTGCAAGAATGAAGAAAACAGAATAGGAAAAAAGAACGAACGATCCAAGGACACAACAACACAGAGTAAGACAAGCCGCAATGACGTGGTGGCGGTCGACGGTCGATGTGTGCGTGGGCATCCGAGTGGTCGTAACGGTGTCGACGTCTGGAAAGGGCCTCTGAAGGCTTGCCCACTTTGTCGTGTGGACCCCAAAAGCGAGGGTATGCAGCTATCCAATGCAAGCTTTGCTCCTTCTGTTTTCTGTTTGTTTAGTTTCGTCAGTTTCCGCTGTGTTGGCCGGGGCAACCACGACGGGCGGAGACCCACTCTTTTCCACGCCTGCTAAAACCCATGCACTCTGTGGGGCCAGTGTTTCACCACTTTGAATGGCAGAGGCACACTTAGTCGTGCTCTCTTTAACTTGCTTTGTCTGAAGAGAGCCGGTCACCCCAGTCAAAACAAAACGGTAATTGAAGGGACTCTCGTTCTTCATTGAAGCGGCCAAAGGAGAGCCTAATGTTATTGAGTAGAGATGGTGTGTTTTAGGTGGGACATATTGTATGGCCTATTTTGTTACAAAGACACTTCCCAAGGGTAGGTGGCTCTGCTAGTTGATCAGGCTAGTGGAGTTGATGTTCTGGATAAGACAGTGAGAAGGTGTAACGGTTGAACAATACGTCAACACGTATAAGTGGGTGGTGATTGTATGCAATGAGGGCGCAAGAATACAGGTTCATGTAGGTTTGTATTTCAGACAATCGGTAGCGACTGAATCTTCCTTCCCCAAGGGGAGGAGTCCTCAATCTAATATATACCTAACTGTCTCATGTGCGTCTCATTCGTTTATCTCATTCCGCGTATGAGATGGCCCCCATCTCATACGTATCTCATTTGGTTGCTTCATTCTTGGTATGAGATGCCCTTGCTTAGTCAGTCTCCTAGTGGTCCTGCTGCTCCTGGTGTTTTTGCTTGTGGCACATGGGGTGGCTCAGTCCGTGCCTGTCCTCCATTTTCCCGGTCCTGACCGCCCTGGGTCTTTCTTCTGGCCTTGTGGGGGTCGTAATCGTAAACATATTTCCTCCACTGATGATCGACGTAAACGGTATACGAAAGCACGTATTTCATTGAAATAGAGAATGAGATTGTTGACGGCTGAGGATGAATTGAAAGATTTCTTTTAATCGTCGATTTTTTCAAGGCAAGTGAGAGGATATTTCCTGGGAATAGCAATTTAACGTAGTTGAAGAAAAGTAGTGTTTTTTTGTTGTTTTTGAATAAATTTAAATTATTATAAGTGAGAATAAAAATGAAATGAAATTAGAATATAAAAATACAACAAATCTCACAACACGAACTGAATATACTTTTTAATTGTCACCATCAAGAAAATTATTGAAGAACGACACTGGATGTTCTACACTCACAATGAGCATACTGGCCGGGCATACGTGGTTTGTTATGTTGTAAGGGAGAATGAAAACAGAGATCAATACAGTCCATACACTGTATACACACTGTTTCGTCTACAGCGCTTACCGCCTTGCTCCAGCGGTTTATCAGTGATAAGATTGGCAGAATTTTTTTTCAGGTACTGCGAGCTTTCTGCCCCACTCTTTTGCTCTGTCTTGACTTTCCATGTCAACTGTACCACAATCACCATCACCATCACCACGTCCACGTCCACGTCCACGTCCACACCGCGACGACTACCGACACAATGGCGGACGGTGGCATGATCCTCAACATTGACCTGGACAACCTGCCGCCAATCACGCAGCAGGTGACGTTCAAGGGCGGCAAATGGCGCGACCGCAAGGCGGCCCAGCGCGACTTCAAGAAACGGCAGCAGGGCGACAGTCCCACGAAACATATGGCGGCCGACGCGGGCGACCGACCGACGAAGCGGCCACGACCGGACGATCGCAGCGGCGATGCAAGGGCGGCGAAGCGGCATACGGGGGGTGGAGGCGGTGGTGACGGAGGCGGCGGCGACGGCGACAGGAGCGCACAACCGCGGTGGCAGCCGAGCCGGCCCATGGGACCGGGAGCGGCACCTGTGGCCGCCGGCCGGCCCCAGAACGGCGTGACGTCGCGGCTGTTTACGGCCATTCCGGAGCACATGACCAACTTGGACGACGCCGACGAGGCGAGGGCCGGCACCGTGCTGCGCCCCTCGAATGCGCCCTTGTCGGACGAGGCCGCTACGTTCCTCAAGCTCGGCCTCTCGCGCCGCATCGCCCGCCAGCTGTCCGAGTACATGGCGCTCAAAGCCCCGACGGCCATCCAGCGCAACGCCCTGCGGCAGCTCGTGGGCAGCGACAGCGACGCGTTCCTGCAGGCCGAGACGGGCTCCGGCAAGACCCTGGCCTACCTGCTGCCGATTGTGCAGCGCCTGCTGGCGCTCAGCGAGGCCAACGACGGCACGCGGCGGGCCGGCGGCGTCCGGCTGAGCCGCGGCGGGCTGGGGCTGTTTGCCGTCGTGCTGGCCCCGACGCGCGAGCTGTGCACGCAGATTGCGGCGGTGCTGGACAAGCTGCTGGGCTGCGCGCCGTGGCTGCAGGCGTCGACGGTTGTGGGCGGCGAGAACAAAAAGGCCGAAAAGGCGCGGCTGCGGAAAGGCGTCAACATTTTGGTGGCCACGCCGGGCCGCCTGACGGACCACCTGGACCACACGGACGTGCTGGACGTCAGCCGGGTGCGGTGGCTGGTGCTCGACGAGGGCGACCGGCTGATGGAGATGGGCTTCGAGAAGGACATCCGCGCGATTGTGGGCAAGATCCGCAGCGCCGCGACGGTGGCGACCACCACCAAAGACGGGCAGCCGCTGCCGGACGGCGTGCTGCCGGCGCGCCGGGTGACGGTGCTGTGTTCGGCGACGATGAAGATGAATGCCATCAAGCTGGGCGAGCTGACGCTGGAGGATGCAGTGCACGTGACATCGGCGGGCGAGGACGCAGACACGAAGGCGACGGAGGCGAAGGAGGAAGGGGGCGAGGCAGAGACGACAACGACGACCCACCCGGAGACGGCGGCGTTCTCGGCGCCCTCGCAGCTCAAGCAGACGTACGCCATCGTGCCGGCCAAGCTGCGCCTCGTGACGCTCATCGGCCTGCTGCGGTCGACGTTTGCCCGCAAGGGCGCGGTCATGAAGGCCATTGTCTTCTTGTCGTGTGCCGACTCGGTCGACTTCCACTTTGACCTGCTGCGCGCGTTTGGCGACGACGGCCAGCCCATCGCGAACAAGATTGTGCCCGCTGTGGTGCCGGCGGCCGACGACGGCGACAGCAACGACAGCAAGCCGACAGCCACGTCCACGGCCGCCGCAATAAAAAACGCCAAGATGGCGGCGGCGGCGGCGTCCACGACCGCCTCGACCGTCGCCCCCGCCGCCTACATTACGTCGGCGGCCAACCGCACCGTCGTCCTCCACAAGCTGCATGGCTCGCTCGAACAGCCCGTGCGCAAGGCCACGCTGGCGTCGTTCCGGCACGCGACGGACCCGGCCCTGCTGATTACGACGGACATTGCCGCGCGCGGCCTCGACGTGCCGACCGTCGACCTCGTCGTCGAGTACGACCCGGCCATGGCCGTCGACGACCACCTGCACCGCATCGGCCGGACGGCGCGTGCCGGCCGCGCGGGCAGCACGACGTTGTTTGTGCAGCCGGGCAGCGAGGAGGGCTACGTCGGGTTCGTCAAGCAGGTGTCGTCGTCGGTGCTGCACCCGCAGCTCTACGACGCCGTCCTCCAAAAGGGTTATGCGGCGCCCGTGCCCCTGCCGGCGGCCTTCACAGCGCACGACGGCGACGACAGCGTCCCTGTCGAGCACGACCCGTCCCAGGCGCAACAGTCGTGGACCAAGCGCGCCGAGGCGCTGCAGCTGCACATTGAGCAGCGGCTGCTCAAGTCGGCGGCTGCGCCGGTCGCGACGGGCGCCAATGCCGACACGGGCGTGTCCAAGTCGGCCTGGCAGGCCCGAAACGCAAAGACGGACAAGAAACACCAAAAAGACAAAAAGGACAAGGATACGAAAGAGGGCGGGTCGGCAGCCGCCCCGACGCTTCTCGACGCCGCCCGGCAGGCGTTCCGGTCGCACATCCGCGCCTACGCCACCCACGCCCACGACGAGCGCGGCTTCTTTGACATGACGCGCCTGCACCTGGGCCACATGGCCAAGAGCTTTGGCCTGCGCGAGGCGCCCGGCAACATGCGCGGCGGCGTGCAGCGTCTCGCGGCCAAGAAGCGGGCGACGGCCGTGGCGACGGCCGCCGGCCGCAAGCAGCACACGAAGCCCAAGACCAAGGCCGGCGCCTCGTCGTCGGCCGCGGCGGCCCAGGGCCCCGGCGACTCCGACGACGAACGGTTTGACGGTGGTGCAGGCGACGACGAAGCGGCGGCGGCGGCGCGGCGGATGCAGCAAAAGATGAAGGAGATGATGAGCAACCCGGCGGCGGAGTTCAACATTGGATGAAGCGGCGTTTTGTGTTTGCATAGCTTTGTGTGGTTTTTTTTACTCGATTTATCGTTGTATCATAGCAGCATGGGCGTTTGGGTAGGGAAAAGCAAGAGCATAGTCAAGTAAATACATTTTGTTGCCATCATACTCTGAGTCAATGTGGAGAATAATACTCTGATGTTTTGAACCACTAGTACTGTGTATATACGTGGAGTATTTCTTTTATTTTATTTCTTCTTTGAACTTTTACTTTCTTAAATGAAAAGTGAAAAAGTGAAAAAAAAATAGGAGCTTCTCTGAGCAGAAATATGTCATCCTTGTGCAGGGCTGTGAAGCGACGAGTTAGCAAATAGCCACGACAGACGCGCAAAGCACGAAAATCAACAGCAGGAGCGGGAATCGAACTTACGCCATGCTGATGTTCTCTGTATCGTAACGTAGTATGACCGGCCGCATTGCTGCGGCAAGATGTTTGTTTCTTATTTGGTTTATAAAGGGAGGGATGGAGTTGGGGGCCGTTGTTGTGGTGGTGTGGCTCTGGCGTTGCTGCCTGGGATGGCCTCAGCCGCCATGGCCAGTATGTACTCGGATATTCGACCTGCACCTGTGGACGGAGTATGGATGGCATGCAGCGTCTTTGTGTGTATCCTCGCTCCTGTTCATAATTTCCAATTCATTTTTGTACCTTTACCGTCTTGCCGACTTCGTCGCCGTCGACGACGTCGACGCCTACGACTCCTCAAATCAACACCGCACCAAATTCACCGGCCACGTCCTTGACGCGCACCCGCTTCCCTTCGTCGGCCTGCCGCGCCAGCACGCGCCGCAGCAGCTCCCGGGCGCGGCGTGTGCTCGTGCCCCAGCCGGCCATGTCGGCCAGGTAGGCCAGGACCCAGTCTTGGTAAACGGGGTCGGTGACTTCGATGCCGGCGACGAAGACGGGCATAGGCCAGATGAGGCTGCGGGGGTGGTCGCTGGGCGACTGTCGAAGCACGTCGGGACTGCCTGGCTCCGTGCACCGTTCCTCTCTCGACGCCCGGTCGGGCGTCTCGTGTTGGAGCTCCCGCGCAATCTGCACAATCTGCCGGGCGGCCGCCTGGGCCTCGTCGTCCGTGCGCACGTCGGGGGCGTCGACGCGGTTCAGCAGAATGGTCGCGGCCAGGCACATGGCCGTGGACACGCGGCGGTGGAAGGTGGTGCGGGCGACGTGGTCGGGGCTCGACGGCGTGTAGGCCTTGAGGAGGGCGGCGTGGACGACGTTGCTCTCGGCGCGGATGCGGGCAATGGTGGCGCGCAAGGCGTGAATCTTGGCGGCGCGGAGCTCGAGGAGGGCCGCCTGGTCGTGGTCGACAAGCGATGCGCATGCCGGTGCCACGCATACCGGACCGAGGGTGGTGCTGCCGGGCGTTGTGGCTGCTTCCACGCCCACATCCACGTCCGCCGCCATCGCCCCCACCACACCGGTCCCTGGGCCTTGCGCGTGTGGGAAGCACGTCTCCATCCACGCCTCCAGCTCCCCCACCGCCGCAAACACGCCCATGATCTCGTCCGACAGCCGCTTGGCCGGCTCCTGCAGCAAATCGTCGTGCAGCTCGTGCGCTGGCAAGGCCGACCCGAAACAGGCGGCCAAGTAGTACTCCTGCGGCACGCCGTTTCCTCGCAGCGCCGAGATGCCCGACGATGATGCGGGGCCGCCGACGTGGTCGCGAAGAAAGCGGAAGAGTCCGCCTCCTGCTTGTCCTCCTCCTCCTCCTCCTGCTTGTCCTCCTCCACCGCCGATCCCGTCCGTCGCCACCCCCCAGAGGCCGGCGCGCACGTCCAAGTACGCCAGCCACACGAGGATGCGCGCCTCGACGGGCCCGATGGCGCCGCGGAACCGCGGCCAGTCCGAGGCCAGCAGGCGGGCAATGCCGGCAAGGGCGTGGACCAGGCGGGGGGTGTCGCCGGACAAGATGTCACCGTAGGCGAGGAAGAGCGTGGTGGCGAGGAGCATGCGCAGGGTCGATGTCGGTGTCGTCGTGTACGACCCTGCCCCGGACCACAGCGCTGCCCTCAGCGCGTCTGCTGCCTGTTGTGCGCGCGCATAATGCCGCACCTGCAGCGCGTGGTCGGTGCTGTTGTTGTCGCCGCCCCGGACCAACAGGTAGGCCGAGGTCCACGCGAGAATGGCGTGCCGCAGAGGCGAGTCGGGCTGGTGCTCGGCCGCACGGATGGCGTACGCGTAAAAGTTCCAGGGCGACGCGGCCGGCGACGCAAAGGCGGACTTGACGCTGAAGAAGGAGGCAAGATTGCGTTTGTAGTAGACGACGAGAGAGCGGTCGGCGGGGGAGTCGGCGTAGCTGGGGAGGGGCGAGAACACGGAGAGGAAGGGAGAGGGAGAGAGAGGGGGGGCGTGCGTCATCGGGGAGGCCAGGACGGCCGACTGAGGACGGGCGTGCGAGATGGCGTGCTGTGGCTGCGTCCAGTCGGCCGCGGCAGGTTGCGAGGACACACTCTGGAACGAATGTAGCGGTGCAGGCAGGTCCAGTATGAATCCGTTGCCATCCGCCGCCGTCATGGACAACGTAGACGGTATGCTGGTGCCGGGCAGGATGGCCCGGCCATCCATTGACAGAACGTCGCCGTTGTCAGCAAAGATCGGCGCCGATGCATACAGACCAGGAGACGCAACAGCAAAAGCAGGCGGCGGCGGTCCTGGTGGCAGCGGTGGCGGCGGCCCTGCAAAGGACGGCGTATCAAACAGGAACGGCATGTCCAGGTCCCAGCCCGGACTCTGCGTCATGTCCAGCAAGGCATGGAGGGAGACGGGCGACGGTGCCTCCAACGTCGTCGCGGGCGATTCGTAGACGGGCGTCTGTGACGGATGCGGTCTCGGACTCGGTCTCGAACGCGGTCTCGGACTCGGCTTCGGCCCCGGCCCCGGCCCGTCCGCAGGCGACACCCGTCTCCTGCGCCACTGCTTAAAGTTTTCGCCAAACGACGACACGCAGTCCAGCTGCAGCCGGCGACAGGCCGCACAGGGCGTCTCGCGGCTCTGGCACTTGACCTTGCGGCGGCGGCAGGTCAGACAGCCCCAGACGGAGCGCCGGGCGGACGTGGATGACGTGGACGACGTGGACGACGTGGACGGCCGAGCCGGAGTGGCCGCGGGCGTTGATGCTTTGGGCATGGCGGCGTGTGCGTGTGGAGAGACACGGTTGTGGAAGAGGAAGAGGACGAGGGGAAGAAAACAAAGTCTGGGGAAAACGTGGAGTGGAGGAGCACTTGAGATGGGTAGAGCGCTGTGACATTAGCGCCGACCGCCAGTGGGCGATAGTGGACAACTCCACTGATTAGCGCATTAGCGCATTAGCGTCAAAGTATGTCCAAGGAACCATTCGCGATAACGCCGACATCTATTTGTTTTCATGGAACTTGTTACAGGGCACGAGTGTACTTGACGTTGACGAACTTTGCAACGGACGGAAGACATGTAATTCTATTCTGTATAAAAGATGACTGACGACTCTGTGAAGGATTCTTCACCACGACTACTGCCATCGAAACATCTGACATTTATTTCGAAGAACAATTCCCAGCTCCTCGACACAAACATTCAGCTCCCCCCTATGGGTGCTCCGGCCGCTCGACCCCCGGCTCCTCCTGTGATCCCCGCTTGTTGCCGGACGGGCCGTGCAGGTCAAACGTCTGGAACTGGCCCTGGCACGGCGGGCCCTTGCAGACGGTAATCTGCCGCTTGGACAGGTTGTAGAGGACGCAGGCGACGGTGGCCGAGTTGGTGCGGAAGGGGTAGCCGGGCAGGTGGCCGATGACGGCGTCGACGGGGTTGCGGTCGGGGTGCACACAGAGGGCCTCGGGGTAGCTGATGTGGTCGGAAAAGGCGGCGATGAGTTGCGCCGTCGAGAGCTGGCCGGCCTGCGCGGCGGCGCGCACGTTGGCCTCGAAGCGGTCGCGGCGGAACCAGCTGCTGCCGCCGGGGTACAGGCAGCGGACGTCGGCGCGGGCCAGGAAGCCCGGGTGGACAAAGTGGTTGGTGTGCACGAGGTAGCGGTCGTCGGCGTGCGTGCGCTCGACGCGGTAGACGCGGTCGGGCGTGACCTCGAGGCAGACGCCGAAGCCCTCGGCCGAGCTGACGGTGACGTTGTTGGACACGTGCCGCGGGAAGTTGTAGGCGCACGTCATGGCCTCGGCGAGGTGGTTGCTCTCGAGGATCATGCGGCGCAGCATGGACATGGGCAGCAATGGCCGGACCTCCATGTCGTGCTTGACCCCCGCCGCGTCCACGTACGGGTAGGGGATGTAGTCGGCCGAGCTCATCAGCGAGTTGGCCGTCACGCCCAGGCCGGCCGAGTTCATGCCGGAGCGGCCCAGCTGGCCGGCCTCGGTCACCAGAAACAGCGACGGCTTGTGCTCCGACGCGTCCGGGTGCACCTCGAGGTAGATGATGCAGTCGTTCTCCCACAGCCGCGCGCTCATGTCCCAGTTCTGCGCCGTCACCATGTCGCCCGTCGCCGTGGCGTTGTGGTGGAACACGGCCGACGTGCACTCGTTGGCGTTGTCCTCGCCGTCCTCGGGGTCCTCAGGGTCGCTGACCGGCCGGCTGCCCGGCTCGTCGTTGAGCCGCGCCAGGTCGTACCGCGAGTTGAGAAGGATCACGTCGTCCAGCGTCACGCCCGCGCCGTCCGCAATGCCCTGCATCTCCTGCAGGCCGCTCGGGTAGTACTGCTCGAGCGCCGGCTTGTACACGTGCTGGATGATGGCCTCCATCAGCGCCGCCGAGTGCGCCAGCTTGCCCGGCCGCCGGTAGTACCGCACATTCTCCTGCACTTTGCCCGCTGCCTGCCGGCCGTGCGCGAAGCCGCGCTCGTACGGCAGCCCGCGGGCGACGACGTGCTGGTACGTGAAGGGGTTGGAGGCTTCGATTTGAGTCATGATGGGGGGAATGTACGGGTGAAGGAGGATTTGCAGGTGGTGATGGTGTAAAGTGAATGTAGTTTAGATACGGAAATCAGGGTATAATTTGGATTTATCTTGCAGCGTTCTTGCAGCGTTATGGATCTGACGGACGAAAACGACGTTGGACATTGATCGTCTCATCATGTCGCCATTCATCACGCGCCCAACGCGACATGCGTATCCACAGCATCATTCTACGACCAAAGGAATCACCGGCACGAGCATGCCGGATTCTATCTGACATTGTCGGCCGCTCGCCATGTTTACTGCGTTTGTCGTCTACATCTCTCGTCGTCAGGACTTTCACTTTGTTTTCTCTCTCCGCTCTCGCCGTTGTCGGAGCTTCATAGCTTCCCAAAGTAGAAGTCCTGGCGAGCAACCCGGGTACAGACAGACTGAGGAATTCCTTCAAATGGACACTCTTCTCGTGACCTACTGATAAGACGTTGTACTTCGCTCGAGTTGCTGTTCCTGGCATCGTCGTCGGCCGTCGCCAACATTGCCAAATCGGGCATAAATCGCGTGTAAGACAAAGGGTCCACCCGAGCGCTGGGATTACAGTGGCGTTGGGTGGCATTTGTCGGCACTTTAGCGGCATGTCCGCTACAACGGTGGCATTTTCGGGCACTTTAGTGACATGTCCGCACAATTTAGGGCACCCAGCGGCACGTGCGGCACTGGCCGTCTAAGCCCGTTTTGGTCTGGTTGCCGACGCCCTCACATGTCGCGATTTTAGTATTTTCAGTATTTCCATGATTATGACAACTATTTTTTCACCACCTCCCAAGAGACAGCCGCGCATGGTTCCCCTCTTTTCCTCCCCTGCCTTGGCCGTTCGCCTTATCTCGGTGTCGTGCGTCTCCACCTTTTCCATCGTCCGTCGTGCATCTCCATCCCTCAAGTCTGGGGTAGATAGGAGATAGCAGAGAGCAGATTGGCAGACGGTACTTTGCATCGCCGACGTCGCGGGTCGTCGTCGCGTGGGATCTGCTCGCCATTTCCTCTTTCGTCCTGCCCTCTTCCACCCTCTCGTGTCCTGTTGTGTGCATTTCCGTTCCGCCTAGTCGTCGCCGTCGCTGGAGATTGCGCACTACCGGAACGGTGTCTATAATTATTCGGTCGTCCACCTGTCGCTGTCTTTTTGTTTTCTGGTTTTTCTGATTTCCTGTTCCTCTTGCTTCCGTTCCTCCTGCTTCTCATCTCATCCTTCATCTCTCCCCTCTCTACACAATGTCCGAAAAACCCACTGGCCACGCCGGCTATGCCGACGAGGCTGCCACACCGTCCGGCGGCGCCGTCCAGGTCCACGCCATCACCATTGCCGAAAAAACACGCGGTGTCGAGCACGACGACGCCGCCGACCTATTTGCCGACGACGGCGAGGGCACCACGTTCGAATACACCGAGGACGAGGCCCGGCGCGTCCTCCGCAAGCTGGATCTCGTGCTGCTGCCCACCATGATGATCTCGTACCTGCTGTCCTTCATCGACAAGGCCGCCCTCTCCAACGCGTCCATCCTCGGCATCCGCACCGACGACCACCTCGTCGGCCAGCAGTACTCGTGGGTCTCGGCCATCTTCTACTTTGGCTACCTCGTCGCCCAATACCCGAGCGCCGTGCTCATGCAGAAGCTGCCCATCGGCCGCTACTTTGGCGTCATGATTGTGCTCTGGGGGCTCTGCTCGACCCTGACCGCCGTCACCACCAACTTTGCCACTCTGGCCGTCGCCCGCTTCTTCTTGGGCTGCTTCGAGACGTGCATCTCGCCCGTCCTCACCATCTTCGTCGGCCAGTACTGGACCCGCCGCGAGCAGCCCCTACGCGCCTGCGTCTGGTGGATGGGCGCGCCCGTCGGCGGCTTCATCATCGACGGCCTCGCCTACTCCATCACGGGCCCCGGCTGGGGCGGCGGCAAGTACACGCAGTGGCAGGTGCTCTACCTGATCTGGGGCCCGCTGACCATGGGCTGGGGCGTGCTGCTGTTTTTTGTCATGCCCAACTCGCCCATGAAGGCCTGGTTCCTGTCGGCGCGCGAGCGCAAGGTCGCCGTGCTGCGCGTCATCGCCAACCACACCGGCATCGAGAACCGCCACTACCGCACCTACCAGGTCGTCGAGTGCCTTAAGGACGTGCAGGCCTGGGCCTTTTTCGCGCTGGCGCTGCTGCAGTGCATTGTCGGCAGCGGCCTGACCAACGTACGTATACACCCAAGAACAAGCAATGAATAGGCTGCTGCTCACACACATCCCTCTAGTTTGACAAGATTGTCTTGACCGGCCTCGGCTACGACGACCACGAGTCCACCAAGGCCTCCTTTGGCGGCGACGGCGTCCAGCTCGCTTCCCTCCTCATCGCCGGCGCCGTCACCACTCAGTTTCGCAACGCCCGCCTCGTTGCCAGCATCGCCTCCAACGCCGTCGTCTTGCTGGGCTCCCTGCTCGTCTACTGCCTCCCCAAGGAGAACATCCACGGCCGCCAGGGCGGCCTCTACATTATGTTTGTCAACACCGTCACCTACATCATGGTCATGTCCCTCCTCGCTTCCAACATTGGCGGCTTCACCAAAAAGGCCACCTGCGCCGTCATGGTCTTTGTCGGCTACGCTGTCGGCCAGATCATTGCGCCGCAGTTCTTCCTCGCCAAGGAGAGCCCCACGTACCCGACCGGCTTCCGCGCCTTTTACGTCTCCACCGCCCTCATGATTGTCATCCAGCTGGCGCTGCTCGTCTATCTCCGCTGGGAGAATGCCCGTCGCGACCGCATCTCGGCCGCCCTCGACCACGACGAGCAGGCCGATGCCGCCGCCTTTTTGGATCTCACCGACAAGGAACAGCCGGGGTTCCGTTATATTTACTGAGACCTGGAAATGAGGAACATGTGGAGAGTATAGGCGGGGATCGTATTGTACATAGTTTATTTTTCTTCATTAATATTTTTTTTTAAAAAAACTAACACACACACACACACATTCATTCGGTTATGTTGATTCTTCAACTTCCCTCACACCCGGATTTATCCTCTTGTGCCGCGTGGTTGTGCCGCATCGCTCTATTACCTGATGTCGTGCCGTGTCTGCTCAACTTGAACCGAGCGCGATAAGACGAAAATAGAAAAATAACAAAAAAATAATCCGTACACTCGACGAAAACAGGGCCGTGGACCCAATGTAATCTCGACACGATGCCTATGTGCCGTGGGTCTTCATCTCGTCCCAGCTACCAAAACAAGACTCTCGTGCATCCAAACGACCACACCTCTCGCCACGGTTCTCCCCACCAGAGTGCGGACAATTGCAGACAATAGTGGTCATACACTCTTACGTGACTGTACAAAAAGACACCCGCTGCCCTCATAACCTTAATTCTCGCATCCTTGGACTGGCATTCTGTGCCGTGCCCATCGCTGCGCGTATCGTCATGCCTGTTTACCGTCCTATACAGGGCCTGTCTAGTGGGTACTTCATTTACGGTGACCGGACTGCGTAAATTATGTCAACAGACACAAACCTGTCATCATTAAAGGGCACCCCATATCACGGATTTTTCCTCGGGCACTGCTCATCTGCTGAATCGGAGCTTTGGCTGAATATATAGTGGCGGGATGCCCGCTCTCGCACTTGGCATCTGGTTTTCCCTTCTTTGTGCTCTTGTGTGGCAAGACTTCCAGACTTCCTTATCTCGTCCTCCAGGATGATGTCAACGTCCAACTATGCGACCACGGCCGTCGCCGTTGCCTTGCTGTCTTTGCTTGGGTCGGTTTGCGCCAGCCCCATGCCCGACGTCGAATACAGCCCGCAGCAGCTCCGCGAAATCTGGGCGGCCGCAGCTGCGGCCACCCCGCCGGCACACAATGCCGCCGGCTCTCCCCATTCCGGCGTCACCGTCACGCTGACCGGTACGCCCGTGGACGCAAGGCCCACAGCCGTCGCCGCCACGACGACGCCAGCCATCGCCGCCGCTGTCCCGGGCCGACCCTTCCGCCCGCCTTTCCGGGGACCGCCCTGGCTGACCGCCGGCATCGGCGCTGGTGGGACGGTGCCGGCCGGTTGGGGCACAGGCGTCTTGACGGCCGGGGCGGTCTGCGGACCGTATACGCTGCCCGTCAACCTGCCGTTCTCGCCGCCGTGTCCCTACTCGTCGACGACTGCACCTGACGACGAGCCATCGGCCCCGCCGACGTCGACAGCACCGGCCCCCGGGCCGCCCTCGACGACCATTGTCAAAACCCTCCCGCCCACGACACTGCCGGCCGCGGCCGGCAGCCCCACGGCGGTGATTGTCACAGTGTCCGTCACGCTGAAGCCGGACCCGCCGTACACGCCCGGGCCGCACGACGAAAGAGTGGCGACGACGCTGACGACGGCGAGGCGGGTCTGACGGAGATGGGGTTGGGTGTGGAATGGGAAAATTGGCACAGCGTAATCCATAGGCAAGCAAACTGTAATACTACTATACTCTAACATGTTTTTGCCTGCTGTGCGTGTCTTTGCGGGTCAGCAATAGTCGACACATCTGCCGGTGTTGTACGCCGTACTGTGTGAATCACAGCAACGGAGGTTTTCGTTTTTACAGTCTAGGTCTAATCGCTCGACATGGATGTCTTACTCGTGGATTGACAGAGAAGAGAGCCGCTGTCGGTGGGATGAATGCATCCGGTTGGCTCGTCATGACCTTGTGCTTAGAGATCACGGCAATGACATCGAGGCAGTACCTAGGGTGGCATTTGTAAAATCCATCATTGGCTGTGTACGGAAAAGATATTGTCGAATCATTGTCGCCAGATTGCTGGCATCATTACCCCGCTCCGTTCCAGCGATATACCGTCGTGTACCGTCTCTGTGAAGGTCAAGAAGCTCGTCTTCCATTATTTAAACCGAAAACTGGCATGAAAACAAGCACGTTGCTCGAGCACGGCAAAGCCCCCCGACGGACGAATCGACATTGACATTGACGTCCCTGGCATAGGGTTTTCACGACTAACCTACTGATAGCCGCAATGGCGGCAGCACCACAAGAGTCGCCCGCCGCTCTTGTCTCACTCAAGCACCTGGATGCTGAGCGCTTGTCCGTTTTCACGCTGGCACTGGAGAACATTTTGAGTCTCTCTGACGTCGAGCTCACATATGCACAAATTGTTGACGGGCTCCCGCTCCGAAAAGCGTATGCCGAGTCCCACTGGCCTGTCCCGACCATCGTCTCGGAGCACGAATCCCTGTGCGATGGCGCCTTGGACCGCGTGCGCGATGCCAGGAGCAAGCTGAACATGGAGACACTTCTCTTTCCGCAGACAGTGCGTGTGGCACCACTTCTTGTTGCCTCGTCTAGCCACTCACTTGTGTTGCCCATCACAGTTGCTCATCTAACCTGACAAACAGGCCCTGGAGCGATACACCGACGCCCGTGCTGGCTCCGTTGCATTTTGTCTCTGCTTGATTGAGCTGCTGGCCGTCGCATGCCATCAAATTGGCGCCACCCTCTACGAATGGAGCGACGCCGATGCCCTCCATAGCCGCACATCCGTGCTGGCCACCATCGGTCACGAGCTGGACGCGAACCGGCGCAACCGTGTCTGCCATCCGAGCCATCTGCCGAAACACACTCACTTCTACTACCGCAGCTACATCTACCAAGATCAATACCCGCGGGGCGTGGCCGACATGGTGGGCTACTGGGCGGAGACACGCATTTTTGGCGGCGTCGCCGTGTTTGACCGGGGCCGTTCTGGTGACGCCAATGGCGGCGTGTACTTTCACTCCGACAGAAATAACTACGGCACCTCGTTGTACCCGCCGACCGAAGACCAGTTGAAGGCGCTCATGGCATTCTTCACGTCTACAGCAGCCGCATCCCTACCCCCCGAAGCAAGCCCCCTTCCCGTCGTTTCTAAAGACAATCGGTGGCGGTGGGACGCGGGCTTCGCATTCCTCCACTGGAACATCTTTCGGGACCGCTACGAGCGACATGTAGGACAAAACTATCGGCCATATCGCCACAAAATGCCGTCCAGTACGTGGCCCGAAGTCGGCGACGACAATGAAATTTTCCGTCAGTTTGTGATTGAACACGGTGGACTCGGGCCGGTGGACCACGCGGCCATTGCGACGGCCAAGGAGAACCTGAAAAAGATCACACCCACATCGCCGAAATGGCGCGGACCAATGCCGAGCATGGATGAGCCCAATCCGCCGTGGAAGCCGCCCTACTACCACGACCTGACGAGGCAACTGGAGTAGGCGGGCTCAAACCAATTGGTGCCTTCTATTGTACAGAGGGAGGTGGGAATCTCGTGTTTCAATTTTTTTTTTTTTTTTTTTTTCTAATCGTTTTAGTACACAATATCTTGGCCTTTGTATCATCAATTGTCTTCCATATTTCGATTGGTGGTGGGCGGTTCGACCTGATTGGTCGCGTGGACGGCCTCATGGGCCTCAAAATACAACCGACATGGCACGTTCTGTGTCTGCGGCTGCTGATCGCCTATCTCTTCATACGTCTATAAATACCTGTTTTCGACTCGTTTTTGTCTTGGTATCGTGCCGGGGTTGTTTATCTGTACCAAGCCTTCTTGCCATATCTGCCTGTGTAGCTGCAAAGCAATGTCATCATCGCCGTCAATATTGTCATCCCATACTTACCACGTCCACCACACTGCCATGGACTCTACATCCCTGTCGCCAGAGTCTCCTGCATCTCCTGCATCTCCTGCACAAGATGGCCAGCATGACGGGGCCCTAACAGTCCCCCACTTCCCGCTTCCGCTCGGCTTGGAGTCGCTTGGGTATCCGAGTGCAGCTTCGTGCTGGCTGGCTATCCTCAATATTTTCGGCAACACACTGCGGCCTGTCGGCTCAGACGCCTGCGACGTCGAGAGAATCTGCGCCAAGGCCTCAGTCGCTCTCAACATGCTCTGTCCCGTCGTCGACGATTGTCTTCAAGGCTACGATGATCACTACGGACAGTCGCGACAAAAGCTCCGTCGGGGACGAAGACTACGAAAGCTCCATTGGCGACGACAAGCACAAAACCCAAACCTACGAACGGAGCAGGCAAAAAATGAGAGAGCGGAACACGAGGTTGAACTGACACGCACGTTTGCATTGTAGATGGAGATGGAACTACGGGAGGAAGGGAAGAAAGAGAGGGAGAGGCAAAAGCACGCGGACAACGGAAGCGGTGTTTGATGTTTGAATAAGTAGCGGCAACAGGTATAAGGAGATGAGCAGACGCAGTCATCAGAGAAGCACAAGAAACAAGACACCATCCACACTGAGACCACAAACAATGAGACACGTCCACTAGCTCTGCCCAGAGGTACACTGACATCGCTCGACCACTTCAAATTCTTTATTGATCAAGGCCCGTGCACCGCATCTCTGGCATGGCAGCGCGTACTGGTGGGTGGTCTCGTCAAACTGGGGCTGGTGCGGGTTGGCCAGCATGGCCACGAGCGGCGGGCATTCCGGGTCCTCCGGGATGAACGCCGCCTGGGTAAAGGGTGCGTAGCCGTCGTAGGGCATGCCGAGGATGCGGCGCGCGTGTGCGCGGCGCGCGAGCTTTTGGCGGATGTCGTTCTTGAGGCGCTTGACCTCAGCCTGCTGGTGCGCGCGCCGCAGCAGCGTGTGGAGCATCTTGAGCTCGGCCTTGAGGTCGCGCTCTTCCTGCCGGGCCGCGTCCAGCCGGGCCTGGTGTTCACGCTGACCCTGCTGGACGTTGTGGTAGAGCAGCTCGGCCGTGCTGGTCGTCGCCGCGTTGGACCACACGCGGCTGGCGCCCGGCCGGCCGGCGGCGTACGTGCCCGGCCCGCCGACAATGGGGTGGCCCAGGACGGGGTCGGGGAGGCCGAACTGGTTGTTGTAGATGGTCTCGGGGTATTTGCTCTTCTTTGTGTCTTTGTCCCAGGGCCGATTCGGGTCGTTGGTGAAGACGAGCCGCGCGGTCTCGGCCTGTCTCTGGAAGTCGGCCGCGCTAATCAGGCGCGCGGGATCCGCCGCAGCCAGCTCGTGGGCATCGTACTGATGGCGTTAGGTGACGAATGGCGAATGGCTCCACGGATTCTTTTCTTTTTTATCCTTTATTATTTACATGGATTACCCAAAACACGTACAAGTGAGTTGCCATTGACGGCAAACGGCGGCAGGCCCATGTGGTTTTGCATGTGCATGGCCAAGCTTGTTTGCCTCTCTGCTTCCGCCCTCGCCAGTTTCTGCAGGGCTGTCTCGCCGGTCGGTGGCGGGCCTACCGAGAAGCCAGACAGGCTGCTGCCGTCTGTCGTGTACGTGCCATCCTGCGAAAAAACAGAGGGCGGCCCTGACATGGCGATATAGTAAAAGTGGAGTCGACTGGGAATGTATCCAAAACGGCCTTGGGTATATTCAGTCGGCCAGAGTTTATGGAGATGGGGAAATGGAATATGGAGCAGCAAAGGAGACGAACAACCAGACAGCAGGATTTTGTACAAAGAATGCGCGCCGCTTGTCTCCCCCTGCCGATGAGGCTCTTCCATATCCCATGTCCAACGAGTAGGCGGTCCGCAGCAATGCGGCCTGCGAAACCCTAACTACGCCTGCTGTTGTGGTGGCTGTACGTCGCATGCTGCATGCTTGGTGCTGCATGTGGCCAATGAAGACAGACTGTGGCTTAGACGCCTGATGCTGCACGCTTGAAGCCTGATGCCTGACCCCTGTTCGGGCGGCTGCAGACTTATGCACGACAATTTGTCATAGGAAAGTCTCAAATGTCTGCTCCCAGAGCGAAATAATTTGTGTCAAATATCGCATTACCACTCTGGCCACCGTGACGTGTTGTGGATGCTTCTGTTTGAGAGTAGTGAGTTATAGAGACTAGTTCCAACGAGAACAAGCAAACGATAAATGTGAAAATAGATCAAGGACACAAAACCCATATCCGAGAAAGGGGCAAGAATACAAGTGTTGGTACAATAATTGAAGGATGGCAACGTGAAAATAAAAGAAGATAAAGTAAAATAAGCAGAAAAAACATTATAGGTTGAGATTATGTTGTAATGGTCTTTATGTTTAGCAAGGGGAAATATTAAAACAAGCATAGCGATATAAGATTTCAATATTAGTAAAGGTCATGAACAGGGGCGGGAACTATTGGGCAAGAGATCAAACTATCTCGCAAACTAGCTGGAGAAAGAAAGAAATACTTGTCAGATCCAAAAACGAACAAACAAATCAACATAAGTAGCACGCAAATAACCCATTAACAGTAATTCGAACCATAAGACACACTTGAAAACAACAAAATGCCAAAATACCAAAACAAAAGTCGAGGGAAATAACAGGGTGCATCTCGTTATTCCGGCTTTGCACACCGGCATCGCTGGATAATTTTCCCGTCGTCGCTGACCAGTGCCTGCCCACCACACTGTTGGCATGCAAAGGTATGTCTTCGTTCATTTTGATCGTACTGACGCTGATGTGGGTTTGCAAGGTTCGGGACGAGCGGCGCTTTCTTGGTGTCGGGTGGTATGTACGCCGCCTTTACAAACGGATCATGTTTTTTGCTGCGAAGATTTTGGCTTTGCTGTTGAACCCTAGCCCGTCGGGCTTCCTCCTCGGTCATGCGCTTTTTCAACGGGGGCCGTTCTCTGATTGATGTTTCTTTGATTTGTTTGGTGAGCCGGTCAATTCCGTCAGAGACATTCTGCTCTTTTTGGCGCAGTGTCTCAAGCCGGCGATCTCGTTCTTTTTTGCTGTGGTAAACCACCTCTGCTTTGGTCGAGTCGTTTTTGTTGGTCCAGACGCGGCAGGGTCCAGGCAGGCCGTGAAGGTACGTGCTGGGACCGCCAAGCAAGGGGTGTCCAATGATGGTTGGCGGGATGCCAAACTGGGTGCCGCCTCTGATTTCCTCGGGATATTTTTGCCCTTGTGCCTTCGTCCACTTCCGTGCTGGGTCATTGTTAAACGCACGTCGTGCTTCCTCAGCTACTCTTCGGACATCTGCGGCGCGGTGCAACCTAGCAGGATGACCAGCGTCCAATTCGTGAGCATCGTACTGGATCTGATTAGGAAACTTGTACTGGTTCACGTAGTTCGAACAACAGAGGGCATATGTATACGTACAAGTGCTTCGCCATTAACAACGTACGGCGGTAGTGTCATGTGGTCCCTGACATGCATCTCCATGTTCCTCCTCCTCTCCGCCCCCTCCCGTGAATTGGGTGGTGGAGGCGGACGGCGGGACATTGGAGCAGCCGGGACAGGCGGGCGAGGGGCCACCGCTGCTCTGCCTCCCCTACCACGCCCAGAGACTGGTGGGGGACACGCCGACGAGACACTGCTGTTCCCCGTCAGGGAGGCCGTGCCACGGGAGGAGGCGGGCGGCGGTGGCCTGCCGCCAGAACTGGGATTGGTGGTGGAATTGGAGTTTGAGGCTCCGCCCCCTCCCCGACGTCTTCTGCTTGAGTCTTTGCCAAACATGGTAGATTGTAGAACAACTGAGCAATAAGACGAGGCCGAACGAAGCTGAGATATGTGTATAAACTGCTATAAGCAGTTGGACAAAAACATTGGATGATGAAGTTGATAGTCAAGATTACAGAGCATCACGAATGAACAAAACACGGATCTTCATGGCACATTAAGTAGCAGGCGTCGTGTGTATGTCCGTGCGGCTCCATGTGCAACGTCCAATGAAATTAGAAGATCAAAAGTGCAGTAATGGGTCGGGCAGGCCGGCCGCCACGATACTTTTGCTTTTGGTGTGGTGTGCCACACTGCCACACAGGTAATGCCATGCACACAAAATCTATTTGCTGTCGTCGACTGGAACGTGCGCCTTCGCCTGGCCGTAAGACGCCGTCGGCCAACTGAGGCTGACAAGGCTCGCATACGCCATCGGGCATGAAGCATGGGAACTTGACACTGGCCGTGTTGGCCGGGTAGGCAACGAAGGACTAAACCCATAAAAGGGTGCAATCAGACATAATTAAAATGAGGCTCAAGGGGCACTCCTCGAGGGTTTGTATGGGTGCCTAGCTGCTGAATTCTCCCGTTGGATGATGTATGATCTTGCGATTGGCTGTCATTCTGCGGTGACAACAAAAGGCGCGCTTCAAAGTGGTCGTCACACCCAACTGTTGTTGCGTTGCTAATACAGAGTATTATTAGCCGCTGTCCAAACACGGCGGCTGACCAAATACCCCACCATCCCACCGCGTTCGATGTCACTTCCTCCATACATTTTGCACTGCGCACAACTGTCTGCTGGGAAACCGCGAATCATTCTCTCATCTTGTTTTTCTCGGGATTTCGCTTTCGGTCATCGCCTTCCTTCTTCTGCTTCTCATTCTGCCTCTCGTTTCTTGTCGACCTCTCACCGAAACAGCAGATAGTACCAGCAGGTACTCCAGCAGTTGCTCCAGTGCTCGTTTGCAGAGAGTGCAGACTCGCTTTTGCATACAACAACAACGACGTCAAAACGTTCAGCCACAACGTCGGCCACTTACAACCCGACTATGGACTCGGATACCAAGGCACCAGCCGCTACTGCGGCCAGCGCCGAAGCGGTCCAGCGGGCTACGGCACCCGTGCCGCGCACAGCGTCCACTGTGGATGCCGGAGCGCCTTCACTCCCGCTTCCACTCGGCTTGGAGACGCTTAGGTATCCGACTGCATCTTCGTACTGGCTAGCCATCCTCAACATCTTTGGCGACGCACTGCGGCCCGTCGGTTCGGACACCTGCGACGTCGAGAGAATCTGCGCCAAGGCCGCAGTCGCTCTCAACATGCTCTGTCCCGCCATCGACGAGAGTCTTCCCGCTCATGATCATATCATTGCGGACGAACCCGACGGACGCTCCGTCGGAGACGAAGATCATGAAAACGCCTTTGGCGATTCCGGAGACAATGACCACGAATACTCCGTTGGTGACTATGTGTGGGAGGTCTGGACCGTGTATCTTGACGCTGTCCGCGCCATTCCGGGCGAGACAAGTTATGCCGATAAAAAGATGGCAATCGAGATCTATGTCGGCATTTTGGATGCCCTGCGCCAGCTACCACGTGGTGTTGTCCGGTTATGGTACCGTGAACATCGACTCTGGAACGACCTGCCTTTGTTTGACGAATTCATGGCCGAGAGCGAGAATGGGCCGTGGCTCGCGGACGAGCCGTCCGACGATGCGATCCGGCAGTTTTGCAACCAGAGCGCTCTTCGAGCACAATTTAGCAACATTGACATGGCCCCATGGGAAAACTACGGCATGGATCCCTTACGAGATGCGCTGGAAGGTGGAGAGACGAAAGGAGAAGAGATGGAAAACATGGCGGAGAGCAACGACAGCAAAGACAGCAAAGACAGCAACGACAGCAGCGACAGCAGCAGCAAGAAAGGCGACATATGGACGCAGCGTCGGAAGTGCGACATACTGGCGGCTACAACGTGGCTCATCTACGGCAGCCCAAAGCTGCTACAGCTGGCCCAATTAAGCGACTCGCACACTGAACATGACGGCAGCAGTCGCTTCACTGATGATGATGATGATGATGATGATGATGATGATGTTTCGCCGGGTCCATTGTTTCGGGCGGAGCATCCAGACGCCCGACATGGTATGTCTGGGGTGCGCTGGAGCTTTTGGAAGGTCAAGTTGGAAGCATTACTACTGCCACACAAGGTCTCAACATTGCCCAATGATGTGCGGGACGCTGTGGCATGTGCCCTTGCGAAGATGGAGCAGGCAGAACATGAGAGAGCGGAGCACGACGCTGCACTGACGCGCAAGTTTGAGTTGCAGATGGAGATTGAACTTCAAGAGGAGAAGGAGAAGAAGATGACAAAGGCTACAGACATTTTCGAACTGGAGAAACTCCGACGATTCACATCCACGTCGACCGAGCTGGCCATCCTCGCCATCTTTCGCCAGGCACTCCGGTCGGATGTCGTTTCGGATGTTGAGAAAACGTCTGCCTTGGCAGCGGCCGCCATTAACGCGCTGTGCCCCCCGATAGGAGACACCCGCAACAGCCACGCAGCGTCCGAGGTCATCGAGACGTTTCTGTGGGAGCTGTGGACCCTCTATTTGGAAGTCGCACGGTCCGTCCCGCACAATACGGAACATCCCGGTCAAGCGACCCTGATTGGCATCTTGGACGCGCTGCGCCTACTGCCCCGCGGTACCGTCACAATCTGGAACGGCGAGATGGAGCTCTGGAGTGCGTTGCCCTTGCTCCGGGCGGTGGTTTTCGACCACAGCAGCGGCCCGTGGGGTGGATCGCCGGGCGTGGATGAGGACAACGATGTGGACGACGAGGCACAAAGAGAAGACGACGTCCGTTACTGGCGCAACCAGAATGCCTTTTTAGCGCGTTGTCTGCAGGAAAAACTGGCCACGTGGGACGCCTATGCTGTCCGAGCCATGGAGAAGGCGTTGGAAGGAAGAGAAGAAGAGGAAAACGAGAGGGGGGAGATGGGAGAGACTGGAGAGACTGGCGAGACTGGCAAGGCTGGCAAGGCTGGCGAGACTGGCGAGACTGGTGAGGTTGGACATGGTGACAAGACACCAAAGACGCTCACGACTCGACAGCGATGCGACCTCCTGGCCGCAACGACATGGGCGATCCACAGCAGCCCGGCGCTACTCGACGCGGCGGACATGTACGATGTCTCCCCGGCGCTTGGAAGTGGAAGCGGCGAGGACAAGACGGCGCTGGATCCAGGCCCGCGGTTCCGCGCCAGAGTGCCGGACGCGCGGGCTGGTTTGACCACGGCGCGGTGGGCGTTCTGGAAGACGGAGTTTCAGGCTCTGTTGCATTCGCCAAAGGTCATCGTGACTGACGACGTGCGTGAGGCCGTGGCGCTGGCCGTGGAGCGGATGGAACTGGCGGAAGCAGAAAAGGCTGAAAAAGAGGACGACAACTTTCGCGAGTGGGAGGCGGAAATGGAGCTGGCGGGAGACGACGGCGGGAGTGATGATTACGGTGACGACTCTGATTGAGGTTGATAATGACGGTGACAATGAGGTCACAGCGGCCGACACAGCGGAAGCAAATGACGACGACAACGACGACAGGCCTTGCCAGCGATGACTAGGCCGATGTACGGCATATAAACTGTACGATTAGATACTAGCACATATTTGGGACAACGATGCAAGCGATGCTTTGATTTGTAAATGAACGTCAACTCGAATATACTACCGGATGAATCACTGACCGTATGTCATCCTCATGTAACAACACTGTGCCACCGTTCTGGGATGGAATTCTGTATGTAGCCTCGCAAACATTATTTATCGAGACTTCAACAACGCGACGAGCTGTCGAGAAGAAATGCTATAAATGGCCGAGATGGCGTCTTCGAAACACTGACACCCACATGACGCAGCGTGGGTGAACAAACAGGGTGGTCTAGGCAACGAGTCTCACCTAACAGATACAGTCCAGTTACTCAGTGTACAGGCGGAAAGGATTGCTTATAACACCACTCCAAGTCCAACGACGGGCCGACCCGGGACCCGGACACCTCGGACCAGTCAACAACTAGGAGCAACGCCCATTGGTGATATTGATCGAGATGGTACCGGGACGTATTTGACAAGCATCGTATTGATCGTACAGTCAAGATGCAGTATGTTGAATAATCAGATGCGGCTGTCGTGTGGTGTAATACTCCGTGCTGTGGAAGCATCCGTGCCGTGACTAGCCCCACATATCCGAAGCACGACTACGTCCAGCATTGCGGGTACACTATCGGTCCAGACCTGCCGATGGTTCTCTCGTCTGGCTTTTTATGAAATAGAAAGTGTCCAGGGTCTGTGTCGAGCTTGCTGCTGATTCTATCTTGAACAATGCCCTTTCTCGGCCACAGTTGCCCCGATTGTCTGTCCATACTCTGTGCTTTCGAATCCATCCGTGATTTGTTGTCTTGTCTTTTGTCGGTTCTCCAAATCCCCCCATCCAGGAACCAACGTGCCTAGCCTGCCGTGTTCCAATGACGACTAACGGTTAAACTCAATTCCCCGAACGTCTGCCGATGTCGACTTTGCGTATTCGCTTTCCTTTGGTCTCTGCTGATTGTCTATCAATTTCCCTTTATATTCTCACGGTCCAATGATCTTATCTCACTTCTGTTTTTGATTGCTGTCTTTCATCACGCTCCTTGATTCGCCACTCTCTTGTCTCTCTCTGCATCTGCATGTCGAATTCCGTGCTTGCGCGCATACAGTCGTCTCGTCTCTGCCAAACTTTTTCTTTATAAGCTGACCAACCCCTCCTTCACGTCGGGTCTATTACCAAACGCACCCCAACAGACTGTCCGCGCCGGCACACTACTCTTCGGCGTACCTACTGGCCCTACACAATTACGTCTCCGTATATCCAGGCCCCGCACGTCAATCGTCATCCCCACACACGTTATTGTCAAGGCCTTCTAAGTAAACAAAAGCATCGATTTCCCTCTCACATTCCCAACTCATTTCATTTATTTTATACGTTTTGTCTACCCTGAACATTCTTTCATCAACACGACACCCCTCCCCCCCTCCCACCCCCACCACAATGGCCCCCAACTGGACACATCTCGTGCGCTTCCTCGCCCAAGAGGACGGCCAGGAACACCTGGGCCAGATCGACAACAAGAAAGTGCCCGACCTCGGCCTGGCCCTCGACAACGGCGAGACCGTCACGGCGCAGGTCGTCGAGGGCGACGTGTTTGACGGCCAGGTCAATGCCGACCGCGTGCTGACCATTGGCACGCTGCTCAGTCCGCTGCGGACCGACCAGGTGCCCATCATTCGCTGCATGGGGCTCAACTACCGCGACCACGCGCGCGAGGCCAACATGCCGATCCCGGATACGCCGGTGCTCTTCATCAAGCCGCGCACGGCGCTGGCCGGCCCCGCGCCGGCGCGCATAAACATCCCCGCGATTGCGCAGGACGGCACGAGCGACTACGAGGCGGAGCTGTCGTTTGTCATTAGCAAGACGGGGCGGAACATTCCCAAGTACCGGGCGTTCGAGTACGTCCTGGGCTACACGGCCAGCAACGACATCAGCGCGCGCGCGCAGCAGTTCAAAAACAGCCAGTGGTGCTTCAGCAAGGGCCTCGACGCGTCGTGTCCGATTGGGCCGGTGCTGGTCGCGGGCCGTGCGGTGTCGGACCCGCACCAGCTCGGCATCCAGGCCATCCTCAACGGCGACGTCGTGCAGGACTCCAACACGTCCGAGATGATCTTTGACATCCCCACCATCATTTCCTTTTTGTCGCAGGGCACGACGCTCGAGCGCGGCACCATTGTCATGACGGGCACGGGCCCCGGCATCGGCGCCATGCGGAATCCCAAGCTGTCGCTGCAGCACGGTGACGACATGCGCGTCTCCATTGCCGAGATTGGCACGCTCATCAACACGGTGCACTACGAGTAGGCGAGGCGTGCGTCGACAGCCTCAGTACAGTTAGCAGTAGAAGAATATTATAAAATAGAACATTATCTAAAGATCGAAGAGTGCAGCGTAGTTGTGGTTGTGACGATGACCGTCTTCGCTGGCATCGAGCCGGTCCCCACATGGACCGGTCGTCTACTGTTTTCGTTATTCTGTTCTATCTCAGCTTCTGCATCTCCTCATTTTATCGATTATTTTGTCTGTTCAGTTTACGTATTGTCTTCGCATGCCATAAACTGCGTCAACCGGGTGTCTCTTCTTGTCAACTACCCTTCACTTCTCGCCTCGATTTCCTTGCTCTACTTGAATCGCACCAACTTCGGATCAATTCGCCGATGTACAGGTCTCTTGTCCCCTTAACTGGAAAGCTGCCGCGAAGTTAGGCCGAGTGCGGTGGGGTATGGACGCACCCTAGACCTTGCTGGGACACGTCCAGCTTGATAAATCGATCCCCGTGTTGACGGATTTACGGAGTAATTGCGGAGAAGAGAGTTTGGGGCAAGGGACTGCAGAGGCAACGTCCAACGACCACCCTTTCCCCAGATTGCTTGTTGTGTCAGTCCGTCTAACGCTCGCCTTTGCGACCCCAACAATTCATGTGTCCGGTAGAACTCGTCCTGAATCCCCGCGTTGTGAAAGAGAAACCTTGGACCAAGTAAGAGAAGGAGTCTAGAGTCTTGAGAGTCTCCCTGTTATGCTTTGCTGTTCATTTTACTGTGTATATGTCGTTCATGTTGCAACAGACTGCTTATGTTTCTGCCCCAACTCGTGACGGCGGCATTTCTGTTTTCCTCCCGTCTGTCGCTCTTGTTCTTAGGTTGGTGACATTTGACCTTTGGCATTGCTCAAGCGGCACAGGGTTTAGCCAGCCTAAACGCACATCACCCCAGGGTTTGGGAGGCCAACTGTGCTCTCCAGCATAAATCATGCGGACAGAGTCCGACGAGCCTACTCAACCACGTACCGCTGCCGAAATATCTTGCCAACTGTGCAGGAGGTGCGCCTTCTCCATCCTTCTGTATGGCTCTGAACCACAACTCACCCACTAACTCATCACGACCACACCAGACGCAAGGTCAAGTGCGACCGCACTTTGCCGCACTGCCTCGTCTGCATCCAGACGGATCAGGTGTGCGAGTATCCGCTGCGGCCCAAGAAGCCCGGACCCAAGATTGGTGAGTTGACGCCGGCGCAGCAGAAGACGGAACAAGTAGAAACAGGACTAAGAGACAGGCTCTCTCCAACGGCACAGGAGACGGGACCGACACCGCGGCGGGTCAGACAGGGGCAGCGACCATGGCCGTACCCGTACCCATGCCAGCACTGCCAGGGGTGACAAATGGGCGTCACGATCGTCTAGATCAGCCTCGGATGCCGAAGGACGACAGGACGACAACGGCCGTAGTGTGAATAACGCAGACGGCAACGTGGCCACCGACTCACCACAGGCGGACATGACACCCGACAGGAGTCACCGCCCTGGCGTCACCAACACAGCCTCACCGACGGGCTCCACCAGCGACGAATGGGCCCGGCGCCGCCGCAACTCGCGGCTCAACATTAGCGACTTGTCGTTTATCCTGCACCCCACGCACGAAGCGTCGACGCCGGACAACGATGGTGATGCTGTGCACGGACACAATGGCAGCCCGGGACAACGGGCAGACCGGCTGTTCTCTGCCTCCCCCATGGCCACCATTCGCCCGCGCCCGGCGCCCTCCCCCCGAGCGTCTACACTCGTCCAGCAGGCCAGCCGTGCCCTCGGCGTCTCTGAGTCCGTGCTGCACGCGTCCCTCCAGAGCTACTTTGCCAACATGGTCGCCATCAACCTGTTCCACCAGCCGTCGTTTGGGGCCAAGCTGCGTGCCGTGGCCGCAGCCTCGCCGGTGCAGCTGCATGCGTTGTTGGCGGCGATGACGGCGTATGCGGCGAGATTCCTGCCAGAGACTACCGGCCAGGTCGTCAGCCAACCGCCACACCAGCCCACGCTCCCTCTGAGGGAGGGCATCGACACGGACTGCATCGACCCAACGATGACGACACTGCCGGGGATGAACGCCACAGCAAAAGCACGGACAATGCCTCCACCGCCTCCTCCACCAGCCATGCCCGAGCACTTCCTCGACCTGGCCCGCCGTTTCATTGCACAAGCATTGGACGACTGCGGCGACGACTCGCCCACGCTGGCGATTCTGCAGGCCAGCATCATCTGCACGCACTGCGAGCTGACGTGTGGTGTGCACGGCCGGGCCTGGCGGTCGCTGGGGATGTGTGTGCGGTTGGCGTATGAGATGAATTTGCATCTCGTGGATGCGAGGTCGTCGTTGTCGTCGACGTCGACTTCGTCATCCGCAACTTCGTGGCGTGACGCAGAAGAAAAGAGACGGGCGTGGTGGGCCATTTGGGAGATGGACGTGTTTGCGAGCACGATCCGGCGGACACCGACGGCCGTGGACTGGACGCAGATGGAGACGCTGCTGCCGGTCGACGATACGGATTGGTTTGCCGCGGCAAGGGACGACCATTCGAGTGACGACAATTCGAGCGAAGCGAGGACAAACGAAAAGACAAGAGACGAAACGAGCGGAGCGAGGACAACAGAAACAAGTGGAGCAAGGACACCACAAACACCACAAACAGCACGAACACAAAGCTGCTTCCTGGAACTGGACCCTGTTCGGCGGTGGAAGGCACTGCAGGCGTCCGGCAACCAGTCACCCAAGGCGTGGTTCCTCATCATCAACTCGCTGATGAAGGACGCACGCGTCATCTCGAGTCCGCGGGGTGTTCGCTTCCACGACGACCGGCAGGCCCGCACGACCAAAACGGCAACAGCGTCTTCGCCACGACGCAAAATGACACGTCCCTCTGGCCCCAGTTCCGCGCAAGAGGCCCGCCAGACACTCGAGATTCTGGCCAACTGCGTACAGTGCTTTGTACTGGCCCTTCCGGCTCACCTGCAGTACCGCAACCAGTTTCTCGGCTTTGGGGAGGGGACACCGGATGTGCCCGTGTCTGTGTTTGCTAGCATGTCCGGCGCAGCTGCGCCGCCGACTGCGTCGTCCTCAACGCCCCCCGCTGTCTCCACCCGCCAGCTGCACTGTGGCATCTACAACATCTACGTCATGACCCAACTCACCCGCCTCATGATCCACCGCTACGAACTGTTTGGCGCTCATACTCACGCCGGGACAGGCCAAATACATATGCCCCTGATGTCGTCGTCGGTCCTTCCGTATTTTGAAGCCGCCGACAACATATTGACCATTGTCAACCGCAGCTGCGAGGAGCACATTCGCTACATCAACCCGTTCTTGCTGAGCACCCTGTGGCTGGCGGCCGCCGTCCAGCTCGTGCGGCGCTATGTGGCTGTGCCGCGACCTGGACGGGGACACCGCGATCAAAGCGATACTGGCAACGCCAACACCGCCACCTTGATCAAGTCCCGCTTTGACGTGCTGTACCTAACATACAAACGCGGTGCCGCGTTCTGGAATGACCGTACGGCCATGGAGCAGAACCTGGAGGCTTTGGAGGTACAGCTGGAAAAAAGCCAAGGGGGTGGGGTGGGAGAAGACGACGAGGGCCCTGACGGCGAGAACGAAAGCGAGGTTGATGGTATTGACGTCAGTGAGGTCGACGGAGAGAGCAGCCACGCAAAGCGACGAGCCAGTGACCGCAGCGGTGGCGAGGAGAATGATTACCAGGCGAAGAGGGCAAGGGTGACGAGGGCGATGACGAAAATTGCCAAGAAAAACACAAACAAATGGCAAAAGAAAACGTCAACCCGTGGCAACGGGACGGGCCATGCTTCGCAGCCAGGCTGGCAGACCTCCCACGATGCCGGCCGGCCGTACACATCGTGGACCAGCACGTGCCAGCCACAAATGTCGCCAACCTCACTCATCCCGGAGCCACTACAGCAAACACAAACACAGGCCCAGCACAAAGTAACCTTCGCCATGGCACATCCCAGTCTGCACGCGGCCCACCCACAGCAGCAACGACCGCCACCAACACCACGCTCGACATACAGTGATCCCACCGACGCCTCGTCGACATTTGCCAATGGTGACATGATGAACGGGGCGGTTGGCAGGCCCGCCGACAACACGACGGGCCGTCAACGTCGACCCACGGTCTCCTCTGTGGACGACTCCTTTCCATTTGCGTCGCCTCTTGGACAGAACAGCACGGCGTCTGCAAATGAATACTCTCCGGCCATGCTGCCTGAGAACAGCACGGACGCCGCCCAGGTCCAGTCACAGGCGCTCCTCGCGTTTATGCAGCTGTCGGCAGGAAGATATGGTGGTCATCACCAAGCACAGGGTGACCGTGACTCGTTTGTCGTCGATACCCCGAGTTCTGCAGACGTCTCGAGCGTCCCGCTGTCCATAATCCATCCAACTCCCTTTGAGCCCGAGTTGGGCATCGACGACGTGCACCTGCAGCAGCAGGGAAGTAGTGAAGGAGGGGGGAGCAACAGCTTAGAATGGCGCGGGCTGGACCTGCCCATGGACATCCACGACTTGCTGAGTGGTTTTTCTACGTATTGAGAGGGAGGATGGGGTTATGAGCATGCTACTTAATGGGTTGGAAAGTAAAAAATGTTGAATTCAATAATAGAATAACAGAAAGTCAGCATGACAACACAATGCCATCAATATGGTCTTTCTGTTTGCTATCCTGGTCACTCTCTAAATCTACGAAGACTGGACAGACAGCCAGTCGCACTAAAACGGCACTAGATCAAGGCGAGAAAGCGGGCAACTCTTACCACTTGGCCGTGTCTCCCAAAAAGGTAACACATGCGCGTCGACTGTTCTGCAAGAATGTCGTCTTTTCCACCTCCACTAGGCAGCCCACTAATTCGTCGATGCGATCCCTGAACTCGCCTTGTGTGCTGTAATGCGGGGAAGGCCATGCCAAGCCTCTGTTGAAGTGGACAGACGACGAACAAATGGCGAAACGAACAAGTCAAGAGTAATGGAAGAAACTCAAACAGCAGAAGAGGCCAGCGGATATCATACAAATACGGAGTGATTGCGGAGGCAATAGCGGCAACTGCCGTCAAGATGAAGGAAGAGAGGCCGGCAAGGCAGGCTCGCCCGGGGCCCACCTGCCTTCCCAAACAAGTAAAACAAACCGATTTACAAACCGACAGAGTGACGATGAAATACAAGTTGCAGAGTACAAGCAACTACCGAGTAATACAACGGACAGAACAGCAGAGTTCAGCGTCCAACCGATCACTCGTAGCGGCCACCATGTCGTGTCCGCTAAACCAATTTGGGCATGTCCAGACGACGGACACGACACGATGGCGTGGGGCATTGGAGATAAGGAAAACGCCAGGGCTTGGTGGGAACGACAGAACCGAACAAACGAAGGAACAAGACTAATACCGCTCTGTACCTCTGCATGTCCTTTGCTTGGCCAGTCCTATCGGGACCGTCGAGCACTGAACTCCGCAATCAGAGGCCCCCAAGAAGCCGAGGACATGAGGAGACAACGGGGCAAGGACAAGAGATAAGACCAGACAACGGACACGGCCGTCGGACATAAAGAAGCGACAAGAACGCTCAACGGCGTACAAGCGAACTGGCCGACTCTGTGCTGCATCTCTTGTAGTTGTTCTTCTTCTCTTCATATTGGTTTTTGAGAACCAGTCTGCCGTCTCGACCACTCGTTCCTTCCGGCTTGTTTTACTCTACGTTCCTTCCTAATCATTCGACACGGTCGACACCCACCCCCACCTGCCCCGACTTCTACCCGACGTCTCCCCAACGTCTCCCCACCTTCCCTCCCCGCGATGACGGCCGAAACGCCCCTGGCCCACCCGCTGGGCCCCCTGACGGCCGCCGAGATCACGGCTGCCACCGCCCTCGTGCGCAAGGCGTGGCCCGAGGGCACGCTCTTCCAGTTCAAGGTCGTCACCCTCCAAGAGCCGCCCAAGGCCGAGCTCGTGCCCTACCTGGCCGCCGAGCGCGCCGGCACGGCCGCGTCGTCCCTGCCGGTGATTCCCCGCCGCGTGTACGTCGCCTACTACCTGCGCAACACCCACAAGTTCCACGAGGCCATGGCCAACCTCTCGACGGGCACGCTCGAGCGCAACGTGCGCCTGCCCGCGGACAAGCACGCCAACGGCGACGGCGAGGAGATTCTGGCGATTGAACAGGCGGTGCTGGCGGACCCGGGCGTGCGCGCGGCCGTGGCCAAGCTGCAGCTGCCGGAAGGCGCCGTGCTGGTGTCGGACCCGTGGATCTACGGCTCCGACGGCGTGTGCGAGGGGCTGTTCCGCGACGACGTGCGGGTGATGCAGTGCTTCCTGTACATGCGAGACCCGAACAACGCCGCGGAGCCGGACAGCTGCCACTACGCGTTCCCGCTGCCCATCTCGCCGGTAGTGGACTGTGCGACCCTCGAGGTGGTGCGCATAGACGTGCTGCCGACGGGCCTCGACGCCATCACCGTGAAGACCGTGGACGACCTGCCGCCGTGGCAGCCGGCGCCGCCGAGCGAGTACATCCCCGAGGCGCAGGCGCACCCGCGCGCGGACCTCAAGCCGCTGCGCGTGGTGCAGCCCGAGGGCGCGTCGTTCCAGGTCGCGGCGTACAGCGCCATGGGCCGGCGCGTGACGTGGCAAAAGTGGGACGTCAAGGTCGGCTTCAACCAGCGCGAGGGCATGGTGCTGTACGACGTGCACTACGACGGGCGCCCGCTGTTCTACCGGCTCAGCCTCAGCGACATGGCCATCCCTTACGCGGACCCGCGCCACCCGTTCCACAAGAAGCAGGCGTTTGACCTGGGCGACGTGGGCGCCGGCATCATGGCCAACAACCTGCAGCTGGGCTGCGACTGCCTCGGCGCCATCTACTACATGGACGGCGTGGTGGCCGACGCGGCCGGCGCGCCGCACGCCATGCCCAACGTCGTCTGCGTGCACGAGCAGGACGCCGGCATCGCCTGGAAGCACACCAACTACCGCACGGACCGCGCCGTCGTCGTGCGCCAGCGCGAGCTCGTGCTGCAGACGATTTTGACCGTGTCCAACTACGAGTACATCCTGGCCTGGGTGTTCAACCTGGCCGGCGACATTGCCTACGAGGTCCGCGCCACGGGCATCGTGTCGACGCAGCCGGTCGACCGCGACCTCGAGGCGCAGGCGGCGGCCGCCGGCCACCCGTTTGGGACAGTCGTGCACCCGGGCGTCCTGGCGGGCCACCACCAGCACTTTTTCAGCCTGCGCGTCGACCCCATGGTCGCCGGCCACGGCAACACCGTCGTCTACCAGGACACGGTGGCGCTGCCGCGCGACCCGCGGCTCAACCCCCACGGCGTCGGCTACACCGTCGCCACCACGCCGCTCACGACCAGCGGCCCGCTCGACATTGACACCGCCGCCACGGGCCGCGTCGTCCACATCACCAACCCGGCCGTGCGCCACCCCGTCAACGGCCTGCCCGCCGCCTACAAGGTCCACCTGCCCCCCATGCAGCCCATCCTCGCCGACGCCGACTCCTTCCACCGCCGCCGCGCCCAGTTCGCCGACCACCCCGTCTACGTCACCCGCTACGCCGACGGCGAGCTCTACGCCGGCGGCACCTGGACCAACCAGAGCCGCGGCGACCCGCGCGACCCCGACGGCGGCGTCCGCACGTGGGCCGCGCGGCAGGACTCGCTGGCGGCCGGCGACCCCGTGGTGTGGCTGCAGTTTGGGCTCAACCACGTGCCGCGCGCCGAGGACTTTCCCGTCATGCCCTGCGAGACGCTGCGCGTGACGCTGCGGCCCGTCAACGTCTTTGTGCAGAACCCGGCGCTCGACGTGCCGGCGAGCTCGCAGGCCGTGAACGGCAGCGTGTTGGTGGATGGGGCCGAGGCCACGGCGCACGGCGCCAACGGAACGAACGGGACTGGTGCGAGCTGCTGTACGTAGGCAATGGCAAGACGCCCGAGTTGGCCAGGGCGCGGTTTGATTTGATTTTCATCCTTGACCTGTATCGTTGGATTACGTGAACCTCTCACGATGGCCCATTGTGCGAACAAACCACGTAAGCGTTCCGCGCGGAAGCAATCGTCTCCGGGTGGCTTGCCGCTGAAGGACGGCGCTAAAGACACTAAAGGCCCGGAACGGCAGCAGCCCGGCCACCATCGCCTCGTGTTGGTTGCTTTGTCGAGTTTGTCGTGTTTGTCGCGATCCCTCTGTCGTCTTTTTTGTCTTTCAGTGGACAGAGGGGCTGGGGCGCGGCTGGGCCAAGACCCTGTCAGGGCGCAACAAATGTAAATAAGGATTCTCATTTGACGTCATCCGCAGCGTAGGGAAGAGAACACTGTCATTTCATAGTTGCGGTACAACTCAGGGACCTCTGCCCTGACGGTCGTCATCCTGCTTCACAATTCACGTAGAAAGGACCGAGGCCTCCGCTGTTCGTTTCTTACGCTGAGCGCTGCGTACACAAAAGAACGGTCTGGCTCGGGACTGAGACTGCCCGTAGACCATGTACCCACCATAGCAGGGGCTCAGCGGGCGGCGAGGGCCACTACCGTTGCTGCGGCCCAAGTATCGGGGGATTTAGTGATTTAGTGCCTGAGCTTAAAGCTATTTGGGTCTGTCGGCACGCTTTTGTTGTCCTGTCCTCTTGCGTCGATGTCGGTCTTCAGTCGCGATCCTTTCTTTCTTTCCTTTCTCCTACTTCACCCTTGAACTCATGCCAAGTTCATTCCTCTTTGCGTTTCTCTTTTCTCACGCCCTGCTGTGTCCTGTCCTCTGGCAGGTCCATTGTACGGAGAACCGCCGGATGCTCATGCTCACGCCACTTTCTCACGTCGTCTCACAGCCCAACCCAAAAAAGGGACAGAGGACAGCCAGTAGAATGGAGGCAATGACGACGAAAGAAGGGGCCGAGGAGGGGTCCTCTCGACACTAACTTTCAGCCCTTACAGTAGTGGCGCGGCCTTGACTGCCCGTCTGCGCCCTGGACGACCTCGGCGGATATTGGACGCAATAATTCATACAGAGTGAGACGTCCAAGCAAAGACAGGCTTCAAACCGGCGCATCTCGTCTGACTCTAGCGCAAAGCAATGTCACTCGTGTGGACTAGGCGGAACGGTAAGATGATTACAAGTGACAGTATGGTGGCCAGCGTCAAAATGCTGATGCTGTCTGTGCAATGCCTGCTGCGCGGCGTTGGCAAATGCCCCTCGTTCCTGCCACCGTTCCTGCCACACCGTTCCTGCCAACAGGACCGTTGGAGTGGACTGGCTTGCCGCTGCCAATTTGATCTACTGTCTCGGCCACGCCTTCCTCCGTTGAGGAACATCCATCGTGGAGGACTGCCACTTGCCTCCAGGTGTCATTACGTGGCCGTTGACAAGCAAAACTTCCCCTTTAACATTTCGTAGCACCCAAACCAGCCAACCCAGCCGCAACCCCCCCCACCTGTTCCTTCCTTCCACGCCCTCGCACCCCTGTCGGCCGCTCTCACCATCGTTCGCTCTTTCCCATTCTCCCCTTCTGTTGGAACATGCCGTCCCCTCTTCGTACTTGATAGGGTCGTCCAGAACGGTCGCTGCAGTGCACTTTACGCGAGAAAGCTTCTGCACTTTCCCTTTCCTGCTCGTCCCGTTCCTTCCCTTTTCACTCTTATCCTGCCCTCTCCTCCGCTCCTGCTCTGACTTTGGCTCCCCTCACTCAATTCTTTCCTTTTCTTTCTTCTTTCCTCCTGCCACGTCCGTCCAGTTAAGCCGTCGCAGTTCCCCATCCCTACACCGGTTCCTTCCAAAAAGCTGGGAAGTATAGCAGGCAAACGAGAAAGAGCGACGCTCACAACAATCGACCAGGAGAGAAAGAACGACCATACAAAGTGCGCGTCTTGACAGGTACCAGATATAGCAAAGACATCAGGGGCAGTAGCGCACAATTTTCGAAACAGACGCCATCTCCCTTTCTTTTCTTCCTTTTTTGTTGATTTGCGACAGCACGTCGGGACAAAACCGCTGTGGGGAAACGCAACGCACATCTAGCGACTCTGAATAAAGAGAGCGGACAAAGATAGAAACGACAACAGACGTCAAAGAAAGACAACGGCCCTGAACAAACAGGACAAGGAGCGACGATCCTAAAATAGACGGAAAAACCAACAGACAAGAAGCAAACAAACAGCAATCAACAAAGGCGAATCAGAAGACAACGCGCGAGTGGACAAAGAGCAGCTCGACAGCAACAAACGGGTCAAACCAGACGATCAGGAACCTTTTTCTTCCAGGAACGACGGGTATGAGACTCTGGCTCAACTAGGCGCATCAAGGCCAAGGCACACAGCAAACAAACAACCAGTCTCGTCTACAGCAACAGTCAAGCAGGGCACCAAAAGTCGGAGCGGGCACGTTACGAATTCAGGATTTAGGATTAAGATTAAGGCTTAAGGATTTTACGATTAACGATCCAATACTTGCGTGCAGAGACGCAGAGACGCAGAGACGCAGAAAAGCGGAACTGACAGATCAACGGCAAAAGTCGGATTTTGTCACATCCTTGTCGCTCACATCTCACCTCTCTTTCTTGGCTGCATTTCTTCCTGCCCGCCTCTTTTCTTTCCCTCGTCGTCCTCTCTCTTCTTCCTTACATTGTACTTTCCATATCCCCTTCCCGGCACCCCCTCCAACACATACAAAATGACCAGCATGTTGCGGAAAAAAGAACTCGTCACCATCGTCACGCCCATCCCGGGCTTCATCCCCCGCCAGCTGGCCATCGACATCCTCCATTCCCACAGCGAGGTCATCACCCTCAACCCGCTCGTCCTCAGCCACAAACCCATCAAGGCCCCGCGCGATGCCGCGTCCGACGAGTACTACTCGACCTGGTACGAAATCACCGAGCGCATCCAATATGTCCCCGGCATCGGCAAAATGGGCTCCGGCAAGCTCGCCTTCAATGCGTGCTTCCATGACATGCCCTGGGGCCTGCAGGCGCACATCTACGCGCCCATGAACACGGACTTGCGCTACAAGTACCGCATCGCCGGCAACCAGCCCGGTGTCGAGCCGCCCGAGACGCTCGAAATGGGCCTGATGGCGCTCGGCGCGCCCTCCGACGGGCTGTATCTGCGCGAAGACGTCGAGGTCAAGTGCAGCATCGCCGTCATGAGCTTTGTCAAGTCGCAGCTCAAGGCCGCCAGCAAGCTCATGGTGGAGCGCATCATCAAAAAGGCCGAGCTCGTCGACGGCGGCGCCCTGACCGCCATGATCGAGAACGGCCGCCTCAAGACCATCAACCCGGCCGACCGCTCGCACACGCTGAGCGCCGCGGCTGCCGGCGCAGGTGCAGGCGCGAGCAGCGCGGCGTCCCCCGCCATGACGACGGCGTCGACGTCCCCCGCCCTGCCCAGCGCGCACGAGAAGGACACGCTGGCCACCGCACAACACCAGCAGGGCTCGCCCCAGAGCCACACCGAGACGCCCGGTTCCCCACCACCCGTGCCGTACCAGGTGCCCCGCCCGCAGTCGATGATGCCCCAGGGCCTGCAGTCGCCCTCGCCCTACGGCTACCGCCCCGGCAGCGCCGGTGTCAACCAGCAGTACCCGCAGCAGCCGCCGGGCAGTCCTGGTCTGGGGATTGGCGCGTACCCGCCCTACTCGGCCCACCCGGGGCATGCCAGCTATGCCGGCACACCGGGTGGCGGCTACTACCAGCAGCCCATGCACCCAGCTCTGTACCCGCAGTACACGGGCCAGCACCCGCCGCCTCATCCACAACAACAGCCGTACCCGTACCCGCCACCGCCGCAGCAGTTCTACGCCGAGCTCCAGGCATACCCGCAACACCAGCTGCCGCCGCAGCAGCACCTGGCGCCTGGTCAGGCAGCAGCGGTGGCGGTCGAGATGCCGGGTGACTACTACTATGCCCAGGCCGCGCAACAGCCCCAGCAGCCGCAGCGGGCGCACTCGTCGGCCGGCTCGACGCCCCAGACGAACCGCGACTCCGACATTCTGACGACGGGCCAGTGGTCCGCACCCAACCAGCAGCAGCCCGGCCAGCCGCCCAACGCGGCTCGCCCCAACTCCGTGGCATCCACCAACAGTGGCAGCGGGACGGGGAACGGCCATGCACCCCCCGCCAACGCCAACGGCTTCCGCTCCCCGGGTCTCGACAAGAGCTTCTCGTCCGAGCTGGCCACGCACCGCGAGACGCCCGACGAGCACCGCCTCGAGGCGCTCAAGAAACTGGACCCAACGGCGACGCCGGCCGCCCTCAACCTGGCGCACCATCCGGCCCTCAAGGACCAGCCACCGTCGTCCCAAGACCAGGGAAAACAGGGCTACGCGTACGACGGTGCCGAATACGGGACACCGGTGCAGGGGCGGTAAAGCGGCAGGTTGGACTGCTGGCTGCGTCTTGTTCGCCTCGTCTCCTCTTTTGTTTCCATGGGATGTGTTGACGCGAGGGTGTTCAAGTTTGAAAAAGACACAATGATACCCTGGGATGATTTCCTTTTTTCTTTGTTTCCTTTTTTTTCCTGCTTTCTTCTTTTTGTATTGGTCATTTCCGTTCGCTACTATTTATGCTAATATCGACTGTTATGTTTATTAAATTTCACGTTTATTTTTGAATGACGGGCGTTTCATCGAATTTTCAATACGCTTTGTTGAATTTAGTCACATTCAAGTTGGCATTTGGCATTTATTCGTATGAAGTATCAAACTTTGGCAATGTCACGGTATGTTTACGAGAAGCCTTTTTGTTAATGGATATATTCGTTGGCATGTTAAATCAAAAAAAGAAAGAGAACAAAAAGAAAGGAAAATAGCAGGACAAAACAAAGCAAAGCAGTCTGTATCTTTGCCACTTACCTTTATCACTTACCTTGTTACCTTCTACGGTCTTACGTCGATATTTTATGTCTAGGATCTGCCTGTTAGCACCGACTTACCCTTGTGTGGCCCCCTACGGCCGTTTTCCGTCCCGGTGGAGCAGTTTGGAGAAGAACTTGGCAATGGACGGCGTGTTGGGCGGCGCCTCGACTCCGTCCTTGTCGGTGTTGGCCGCGGCAGCAAGGGATGCCGTGCGGCCACGACGGGTTGTTGTAGGAGGCGGAGGAAGCGAAGTGGGCGTGTCACCCGCAACGGGCGCGTTCAGGTCGAGGGCCGGAATGGACGCGAGCGAAACAAGCGAATCCTGGATCGGCGATTGCGTCATGGATGTCCGCAGCAACGATGGCGTGCCTGGTGTGTTCGTGCTGGCCATTTTGTTCGTGTGCAAGAGACTGGGAGAGGGAACAGCAACAGCAGTAGGAGGAGACGGCGGCGGTGGAGAACTGGCTTCCAAAACGGGCCGTCCCTTCTTATGGCCCATCTCCATCTCCAGCGCCTCGTCTTCGTCCTGGTCGTGCTCCTGTGCGGCCTCAGGCGCCAGCGTCAGCGCAGCCAAAGCCGCCCGGTGCAGAGCAGCAACCTGGGAAAGTGCAGAGGTGTCGACGACGGGGCTGATGCTGGTGCTGGCGGTTGCGACGCGGCCCTGAGTGGCCGTGCTCTTGACGACAGCTCTCCGAAAGTGCGTGGCGTTTGTACTCGGCGACGCCGCCCGCACAAGAGGCGACGACGATGCCGACGACGCCATGGAGGACGACTGGCTGTGCGTGTTGGACATCCATGGGGTCCAGTTGGCCACAGTGCGGGTCGGTGGAGGAACACGGGCAGAGACGGCCGGGGGGTTGCGGGGCTGGCGGATCGGATGCAGACGAGGAGACGCATGGGGCGCCTGGGGCGGCGTGCACGAAGGTGTCCGAGAAGGTGCCCGAGAAGGTGCCCGAGACGATGCCCGAGACGACTCCCGAGACGATTCACGAGATGGCAGCGGCTGGCGGCGGGACGACAGAGTGGATGACGCCTCACCGGGGGTGGAGCTGGACCGGCGCATAGCAGAGCCCGACGTTGACGGGACAAGAAAAGGCGACACGGACCACGACCGGGACGTGCCCGCAGCCAGGCGAAGGGAGGCGGCAAAGCCAGCGCCGCGCGGATCGCCGCCACCGCCGGCGCTGCTCACACTGGCACGGCGTGAGACCGCAGGAGAGCCAGCGCGGGAGGCAGACGCCGAAGCGGCGACAGCGACGGCGACGGCCGCAGAGGTCGTGGCCATCTTCCGGAGCGAGACGACAGCACCAGTGTTGCTGCCGACGCTGCCGACGCTGCCGACACTTCCACGGCGAGAAACCGACGGAGACGGCGACGGGGAAGCAGCAGAAGTAACAGACGAGACAGCCTTGCGGGAGAACGAGGGCACAGAGAGTGCCTTGACGGCCGCCTTGGATGGGGCGGTCACAGTCGCTGTCACCGTTTTCGGCGGCGCCTCACGCTTCAGCTTCGTAAACGCAGAGAGATCGATGGGCGTCGCACTGCGATCGAAGCTGGCGGACCGGCGCAGAGTCGACGGCGCGCACGGCACGATCGAAGCGGTGCGCGTTACCAAGCTGGCGCACGAGGGCGAGCGGCGCAGGGGGCTGGCATTGGGGTTCCGGGCCACGGGCACCGCCCAAATGACGGGGCCAGGACCAGGACTAGGAGCCGGACGGACATCGGGCAGGTGGACCATTGGCAGACGGATGGGTGGCAGGCGAACAATTGGCTTTCCACGCGGCTCGACATCAAAGGTGAGGGGCGAGGTGGTTCGAACCACGATCGGCTGAGGCGGCACAAAATCGTTGGTGGAGGGCAGGGGCGCCGTGCGAGGACGGGGAACAAAGTCGGCAGCGAGCGGGTTCCACGGCTTGTTGGACGGCATGGGGCCGCGCGACGGGACAACAAAAATGGGCGCAGTAGGGTTCAGGGGAGCCGCGTGGGACGAGGTCGGCCGTGCCGGGACCGAGTTTTGTGCCTTTCGGGCCTCGACGCCCTGGGCCCGTATCCGCTCCGACACCTGATGCCAGTACCGGCTGTCAATGCGCTCTTTGGTCGCCTGAATGACGGCCAGCGTCGTGTTCAGGTCTTCCTCGGCCTCGTAGATTCGATGCCGCTGGTGCTGCAGCCGGTCCAGGCCCGTGAGAATCTCGCAGCGGTCTTCGTCCAGGGCGTTCTGCTGCACCCGGATCTCCTTCATGCGCTTGCGTCGAGTGACGCCGGAACGGCGCGTGGGCCGCTTTCTGCGAGGACGATCATGACCAGCATAATCAGCATGACCAGCATAACCACCATCATCACCGTCAGATACACGAACATACGGACCATTGTTCACACCATCCGCCGGCGGCACCAGGAAGCGGTCGCTGCTGCCATTGACAATGACGCTTTGAACCATGATGCCGGGCGAATGAAGCGATGGCCCAGAAAGTGGGCCGGTGCCGGTGTTGGTGCGGGTGTATTGGATATGACGTGGGTTGAGATGAAGCGAAAGGAAAACGGTAGGTGAGAGTTGTCGGTGCAGTTGCTGGTGGAGACACAGAAACGACACAAGAACAAGAAACCAAACAGAAGCGACGGTCGTTTATTTATGTCCATAGTAGGACGCTCCATTGTTCGTATGGACATCGTCTTCGCTCCAGAATGCAGTGTATTAGACACAGTTGTGCACTTTGCGTTGAATCTGTTCCTCGGACTTCTCGTGATGTTGATATGGACAAAGGCATCTGTCCTCGTTTGCGACGCACATTTTCTATTGGTGAAAGGGAAAAGAACAAGAAGAAAGAAAAGAAAAGAAGGAAAAACACTTTCAAAAGAAATGGTTTCTTTGTACTTGCATTGTGTTGTATTGTTCACCTCCACACAACGGACGACATATGTTCACTGTTCCCTGGAGACACACGTACTACCCCTTATCACCTCTCTTAAACCGGCCGCAAGCCAATCACCACGCATACTACGGGGATCGTGGCGCAGTTGGCTAGCGCGTAGGTCTCATAGCGATATGAGCCGTATCCAAAGATAGGCCCATCCTAAGGTCGTGAGTTCGAGCCTCACCGATCCCAGATGCTTTTTGCTGGTGGAGGATGCATTGTCCTTTTGTACTTTTTGTCCATTTTGTCTTTTCGTCTTTTTGTGTACAATTCTGGGTAGAAAAGAAAATACATAAATTTAATAAAACTGCATACGAAACACCAAACATGCATATCATATCTATCAACAATTGTTGCCGTTTCATGACCCCCCCACCTACGCATAAACACTCTCCGTAAATTGATTCACCTGCAGCCCCGTCTCGGCCATCGGGCTGTCCTTGAGAAAGTCCAGCGGCATCCACACCAGGTGGCCGCGCACCTTGTTGAGCTTCTCGCGCACGTCCTCGGGCGGGATGAACATGTCAAAGATGTGGCCCGGCTCGATGCCCTTGGACGGCATGAAGCGGTCGTAGTCCTTGAACGTCAACACGTGGTCGTCGGGGTCCGCGTGGAACAGGTGCCGGAACGTCTCCGTGTTGGTCGTGGCCTGCTCCGTCCACAGCGTCCACAGCGCGTCGCTCAGCGGGTCCGCGACAAACGCGTACGACGCGTCGTCGGTGCCGTCGGCGTTCTTGTCGTGCACGTCGTTGGGCGCGTCGGCCGACGGCGGCTGCGCGTTGGGATCGTCGCTGCCGTCCACGTCCTGCGACGGCAGCAGGCCCAGGTGCTCCCGCCACAGGTAGCGCCGCAGCGTGGCCGCGTGATAGCCGGCCTCGTACGGCTGGCCGTCCATGGTCGAGGGCAGCACGCGCGTGTCCTGCATGACGACGCTCAGCTCGCTGTCGTGCGTGCCCAGCTGGCTGCGGTCGTTGAGGTTGCTGCTACCGCACACCACGTAGCGGTCGTCCACAATCAGCAGCTTCGCGTGGATGTACAGCTCCTCCTGGATCCAGTTCTCCACCTCGTCCTTGGGGTCGTCGTCCCACGGCTCGTCCACCAGCGAGCCCTGGCCCGCCATCGCATGGTGCGCCACGCTCGGCTTGACCTTGGAGCGCGGATTGGCCGCGCCCTGCGTCTTGACGCCGCCCTCGCCGCCCTCTCCACGATTCGGGTGCGCCGCCTCAAACCGGCGCTTCTTGTCCGTGGCCGCCTCGAGGTAGCCGGGCTTGACGCTGTCGCTGGAAAAGTCGCTCGTCTCCTCGGCCTTCTTCTGCTCGCGCGCCCGCCCCATGTGCTTGTCGCGCCCGCCGTCCACGTCGACCGTGCCGTAGATGCCCTCGCCCATGATTTCCTCGGCCTCGGCGCGCTGCAGGTCGCGGTACGACACGCCCGAGTCGGCCTCCATCTTCTTGATCGCGCCCGTCTTGGCCAGCCGGTCGTAGCTGCGCAGGTTGAAGACGAACACGTGCTTCGTCGGGTCCACGCCGCGCGCGCGGATCTGCTCAAAGATGGAGTCCGGCCCGCGGCAGATGCTCTTGTACTGGTAGTTCATGATGGCGCGCGTGCCCGTGGCGGCGTCGGCGCGCAGGTCGCCCGCGAACCCGGGCACGGCCGGGATCAGGATAATGACCTTGAACTTCTTGCCGCGCTCCGCGTTGCGCACGACGGCGTCCACGATGGCGGCGCCAATCGTGTTGTGCACAGGCGACTGGTTCTCGCCCGTCGCCGTGATAAAGAACTGGTTCTCAATGTACACGTAGTGCTCGGCGTTGCGGATGATCTCGCTGTACGCGTTCTGGATCGAGTGCTCCGTCAGCGTGCCGTTGGACCAGTCGGCCGCGGACCGCACCACCTGCGCGCGCACCGTGCCCTGGTCGGGCGCGAGCTGCGGAATCGACGCGAGCGGCTTCGTCGGGTGCAGCACGTAGTCGCCGACCGGGTGGCTGGGCCGCTGCACGCCCACGAGGTCCTCGTCGTCGCCCTCGCGGCCCTGCAGCATGAGCCAGTCGAAGCGCTCGTCGCGCTTGTACTTGTCGCGCTTGATAAAGTTCCAGCGCAGCACAAAGTGCTCGGCAATGTCGTAGACGCACGGGCCCACGATGCCCATGGACACGTCGTGCCACGGCATGCGGCCGTTCTCCGTCTTGCTGAGCTCGTTCTCCTTCCAGTCCTGCACGTTCTGGAAGTCCATGACACGGTTGTTGTTAAAGTCCTGGCCCGGCCACGTCTCGTTGATCACGCCGTCGGGGTGCACGTCCGCCAGCGCATGCGTGTGGCTGTCCCAGCGCCCAAAGCACATGTCCAGCCCGCCAAAGAAGGCCATGGCGTAGTCGATGACGATGAACTTCTCGTGGTGCGCCCAGTAAAAGGTCATGTCGGCCGCGTTTTCGAAAAAGTTGTGGTCCGGGTGGCGCATGATGCGGATGTTGCCGTAGCCCGGCGTGCCCTCGGGGCAGAGCGCCTGCAGCGCGTGCTTGGTGTGCTCCGAGTTGCAGGTCAGCGCGGCCTCGACCTCGCGGTAGACAATCACGTAAATCTTGACGCCCGCCTCGGCGCGCCGCTTGAGCACCTGGTCGAGGCGCCACTCTTGGTTGAAGTAGGGCGGGCGCCGCAAAAAGAGCTCGGGCGACAGCCACCAGTCGGCAATGTAGATGGTCTCGCGCGCGTTGTTGAGCGCCTCGGACACGGCCCAGAAGTAGTCGCGGCCGTCGACGTACCACTTGACCAGGTTGCCGTCGCGTTCGGGGAAGTACGATTCGAAGCGGTGGGACTCACACGCCTTGGTGCGCTTTTCGTCGCAGCGCTTCTCGTGTTCCTCGTCATGGCGATGTTGGGAGTTGAACTAGGCATGTCAGCAACCAGGAAAGAAAGCATCCATGGGGCATAGATGGGCTGTTTTGTACGTACCAGATTCGCAAACTTTCCTATCTGGTGCCTTAGAGAAAGGGGGGAGTGTCAGTATCAGCGGGCCGGTCTCGTGCTGCCCGTCGTGTTGTCGTGCAACGCGTGAGCAGACAGTCAATGGACCTACTTCTTGTGGCTCAGATGGATTTTGGCGTCACGCAGGTGCTGGCTGTTGTCGAGAGACTCCTCCAAGCTCTGCTTCATGTTATGGAACGGATTCTTGATCTTGTCCTTCAAGCTGAGGCCGGAGCCGCCGTTGTCTTCGGCCATCTTGACGGAGATCCGGGTGGCTGGTGTCACGATCGGACTGAAAGTTGCAAGGAGCTGTCACGATATGACAATCGCCAGGAAAGTCGTGCAAAGTGAGAAAATTCAGTCGAAAGGTTCGTTGTCTTCAAGAATAATGATTTTGTGTCGTTGGAAGGTCAACGCTAGTCGCTGTATTGGATGCAGATGAGTAAAGGCAGCTCAAAGAAGTCGAACAAAGACAACAGGTACAGCAGGAGAACAAATCCAATAAATCAAATCAGGTACGCGCGTGTTCACAGAACGGGCGTTCCTTTGTATACATACCCATTGGAACTACAGCCCCAAAAAAGAAAATAAAAAAGCCAAGACATTTTGAAGCAGGGCGTGTACTGTGTACACACAAAATGCTGGGAGTGGGCTGTTCTTTCCTCCTTTTGCTGGGATGGCATTGCGTCGTGCTTGTCGTGGTTCGAGCCTTCCAAGAGTGGATGTACAGCGATATATGATGACGTCAACTGCCTGGTACAGGTGCTCGCTGCCCCTCTTTACCCCTTTCCCACAAGTGACAGTTGCCAGTCGCCGCTTCCTTGTTCTCCCCATTCTAGTGGGCTTTGCGCGGTCCTCAGGCGGCCCTCTGTGCGGCATTGAGATTGGCTGCTTAAATTCGCCAAGACGCCCTGTCTCGTCTTGGCAACACGCAAGGGCTGATCGCCGAGGTCGTGCTCGATGCGGGAAAAATAAAGTTGGGTAAAAATGACGATGGCAGCGACAAGAGCTGAAAAGCTGAAATCATTGCGAGAGTGCATCGCTGCGCAGATTGCCGAAAATTGACAAGTCCTCCTTTCGGCGCTTACCTAATGCAAGGAAGACGCATGGAGAAAAGAAGGAAGGAGCAGCAGACAACAGGAAGGCACGATCAATCCGCTCCAGTTGGCGAGGAAGGAAGCTTTGGTGGTCTGCCAGCTGCAAGGACGTCCTTATTGTACGTCAAGCTACTGTGTTTGACACCTGGCGGATTTACGTGCACTTTGACAGTTTCTCTAAGGATTTTTTTTTGGTTGGGGGGGTTCATTCTATTTACAAGCAACATACGACTTTTATGTGCACATGTTACTATCCGTGCCGCAGTCTGGAGTGGTACAAGGCTTGTCGAACAGTTTGGTTTGCTCTATGGAATGGCAATCGAGCGGCATCACGAGTTCATGCGACTCTGTCCTGTTCGGATGCAGGCCTCGCCTTGGCGTAGATTTCAACGCATGAATTGTGACTTGAGCAGGGAAGCTTTATGGTCGTGGTGCAATTCACATTGCATGCCTGTCTGATCCCCAGCGTGCAGCCTTTCCTGTGATGCAGCCACGTCTGCCCCCACCCAACACGATAGGCGTCTCCTTGCTAGCACATCAGCCAACGGTCAGGGAGGTCTTCCAGCTAACTGGTCCGCTGTGCCATTGCACAATCACCACGGAAAAGGCACGTCGCATGTGTCCTTCCGCTTCGGCTCCGACGTTCCGCCCATTGCGACCATCATAAAAGAGAGCGCATCCTGGCTTCTCAGGAGATTGAGGATGGGGCGAAGGACAGCAAAGGGTGAGGGAATACAGTAAGAAGGAATAGCTTTCCCATTCCTGGTTCATTATCTCCCTTCTCACAATGGCACATCCCCACGAATACCTCGCCCAGCCGCCCTCGCAATGCTGCTTTACCGGCAGCATCCACGCCGGCACGCCCCAGGGTGTGGAAGAAGAGCTGGCGGGGGTCCAGACCTACGTGGCGCGGCCGCCCACGGGCGTCGCCGGCAACGGCCATGTCGTCTTTTACTTCCCGGACGTCTGGGGCCTCTCCAACAATGCCAAGCTGCTCATGGACGGCTTCGCGGCCGCCGGCTTCACGGCGCTCGGCATCGACTACTTCCGCGGCGACCCCATTTCCAAGTACCGTGCGGGCCATGACGCCCCGGCGCCGCCCGACTTTGACCAGAAAGCGTGGCGCAATAAGCACTTTGCGTTTGCGACGGCGCACGTCCCCGTGTGGGTCGAGGCGGCCAAGGCCCGGTTCGGCAGCGCGCCGGACACGCGGTATGCGTGCACGGGGTACTGTTTTGGGGCGCCGTTTGTGCTGGATCTGCTGGCCACGGACGGCATGTCGGCCGGCGCCGTGGCGCATCCGTCGCAGCTCAAGGAGGAGCATTTCCAGCGCGCCAAGCAGCCGTTGTTTCTGTCGTGTGCCGAGCACGACCAGGCCTTCCATACAGAGCCGCGGCGCAAGGCCCTCGACATTCTGATGGAGCAGAAGACGCCGTTCCACGAGCAGCTGTTTTACAACGTCAAGCACGGCTTTGCCTCCCGGGGCGATCTGAGCGACCCCTACGAGCGTGAGTCTGCGTCGCTTCCATGCCCGCTACTACGCACCGTACTAACAAAAGACAGGCTGGGTCAAGGAGCAGAGCCTGCAGGGCATCATCCACTGGTTCGACTTTTGGCTGATCCGAAACCACGGAAAGTGATGGCAAGATACGAGCACAATGTCTCGTTTATGATGTAATTTCTGTGTAGAGCGAATCAATCTTGAATACAAAGGGATTTGATCAGCAAAACGAAGACACTAACACACCCCTTCTCCTCCCCCTCCCCATTCGCCCTTCACGCCGCCGCCGCCGGCGCGACGCCCACGTCAATCGATGCCGTGCCGCTGCTGTCCTGGCCCTCCGTCGCCACAATCATGTACTTTTGCGTCCCCATCTTGAGACCGCCCGCGGCAAACGCCTTGAAGTGCGCGTCCGTGTGCACCGTGCCACCGACGCGCCGGTCCGTGCGGATCGAAAAGAACTGCGGGAACGTGGCCGTGCCCTGGATGGACGGCTTGTTGCGCCGGATCTTGGTCCAAATCTCGTACGTCGAGCCGTCGACGGTGACGTTGCCCTTTTGCGTGGCCTCGTCGCTGGGCGACGAGCAGGGCTTGTGCGTGCCGTACGACTCGACAATGTAGTACTCGACGAGCGGGTTCGTGGTCCAGCCGTACATGGACAGGTAAGCGTTGCCCTTGGGTTCAAAGGTGCCCGAGTAGTTGACCGCGGCCGGCGGCGCGCCGTTCCAGCCCTTGCCGGCGACAAAGTTGCCCTTGTCGCCGGACCAGGTGACGGAGTACTGGCCGTTGGGGCCGTTGGTGTACTTGACCGTGGCCGTGCCGTCGTTCCAATAGGACGATGTATACGACGCGGCGGCGGTGCCATCGGTGCTGTCGATGCCGTCGGTGGTTTCGAGCGTGCCCGGCACGGCGACGTCGCGCGGCTGCGGGAACACGGCGGCTGAATGCGCGCCCGGGACAGCGGCGAGCGCCGCGAGTAGCAGCGGGACCAGCAAAAGTCGCGCCATGGATGGGTACGATGAGAAATGCACTTGGTGTGTTGCCGTTCAAGCTGGGCCTGCGCCAATGCCAATGCGTTTGCGCGTATGTTCGAACCTTTGCAGATGTCGACAGATGTCGACAGATTTCCGGGGTAGGAAGACAGTCGTACACGGTTCTCCGCGTTTTTAAAGGGCCTCCAACAGCCCGCACACCAGATCGTTTCCCCACCGGCTCATGTCGAGAGTCGTCTGTCAATTAACTTGGCACAATGTCCGGGGCACCGGTCCCATGTTCCAGTTCATGCCCGGTGTATATTGGACATCTTGTGGAGAAGGGTGTGTGGCAGCGGGGAGACCGGCGGTTTTGATGAACCGCCGGGGCAGTTGGATTGGAAATGCGTTGCGTAGGCTTTTTATTTCGATGTGTACCAAAACAGACCTATATATCTAATTTTATTTGAATCGCTTTGCTTTTTCAACCAAAAATAAAAATTATAAATAAAATAAAAAAAACCAAAAAAAGAGGCTAAAATACCAGAACATCAGTAACACACATCATCCTCGGGGACAATCGACGGAAAGAAGCATCAAGTACCGAGCGACACGCGGCAACGTCTTTTCTTTTGATTGCGGTGTTTTCCTGGCTCGGCTAATGTAGGCACTTTGGAGGGGACGGATGATTATGTGACGGAAGATTATGACGGTTCCTCGGAGCACATCATATTAGTTATTTACGTCGGGTTATTTATTCTCGTTTACGTTTACATGCATGTCACGTTGATTTGCAAGCTGGGTCAAGGCTGTTTGTATCAAATTGTTTTCGTATTTTTGGGTGCAAAGATACTTGTGTGTCATGAGAGACCAATTTTGGGCCGTCGCGGCTGCCAATGTAAATGCCAGAAATGCCAAGTTGTCAAAAAAGACAAAAAAGAACGAACGAAGGAAAGAGGGAAAAAAAGGCAACGTGCGCAATGTGCGTGGGTGCAAAAGTGTGCTCGACCACGATGCAAAGTAAAGAGGTACAAAATGGGGCAAAAGAGACAAAAACATAGAGTTAAATGGGGATTCTCGAAGTGAAGAAGAGGGATTAAAGAATAGAAGGGTTGTTGGATATTACATGGTCACATCACCAGGAAATGACCAGCCGAAAACGAGGCTTGTCGTCGTCGTTTTTGTCGTCGCTGCCTACAGCCGGCGGGCACGACGGAGGCGCTTGGCCGAGTTGATCTCACTGCGAGCCCAGAGCGTCGTGCTCTGGCCGTCCTGACACTTGGTGCCGGCAGGCATGGCCTGCAGAGCCGTCCACGTGCCGGACGCGCACTGCTGGAACCGGGTACCGCCGATGCAGTTGAACATGCCCTCGGTCGTGCAGGCACCGCTGAGACCACCACCAGAGCCCGAAGACGAGGCAGATCCAGAGGCCTTGGGAGCAGCCGACGCGGGTGAAACAGCCGAGGCCGGGGTGGTAGATGGCGTCGTGCCAGACGCAGTCTTGCTGGCTCCGGTAGCGCCCGGGGCGCCCGTGGAGACGGTGACAAAGACGCCGCCCGTGGCCGTGGCCGTGCCATTGGCGGTGCCGGTAGCAGAGGAGGATGCTGACTTCGTCCGTGTGGTCAGGGTAGTGGCGGGAGCGGCCACCGAGGTGGCCTTGGAAGAGGAGGCAACGACGGGGCCGGCGCTAGAGGCAGAACCAGCACCGACACTGGACGAACCGGAGCCGGAGCCAGAGCCAGAGCCAGTGCCAGAGCCAGAGCCAGAAGACGAGTTCGACGAGGCACCCAGTGGGAAGCAGTCGGTTCCAGAGGGCGGCTGGAAGTTGGTCGTCATCTTGCTGGGCTTCAGCAGGTTCGGGCCGGGGTCGGGGTAGACGGGGTCGGTGCTGGTGGTGGTCTTGCAGCTGTTGATGGAGGCCAGGTTGGCGACAAACAGGTTGGGGAGGGCGGACGACGAAGACGATGAAGACGACGCGCTGCCGTCCCGCGCCTCAATGGCATCGCGCTTGGCGGCCTTGCCGGTGATGGTCACCGGCGCACAGTTCATGTAGTACTCGGGGGCGCCGGACAGCTTGCTGATCCAGGTCCATGCAAAGACGTACTTCCCGGGGGCAATGGAGTCCGGGATGGTGTAGTCGTAGGTGCTGGGGCCACTACCGTCGGTGGTGGGGCAGCCGCCCTCGATGCTCAGGATAACCTGCCACGACGTGGACGCGGAGGGCTGCAGGTCCTTGGTCAGGGCCAGCTGGCAGGAGCCGCCGCCGTGGACGGCGCTGCCGTGGAAGCTAAGGGTCTGGGTGGCGCCCAAGGCCATGGTGTTGTTGGCAGACGAGGCGGAGTCGGCGTAGAACGTGGAAGCTGAGCCGACAATCTGGCAAGGATAGTTGGAGCCGTCCGAGTTCAGGGGAGACGTGGTCGGGTTGCCAAAGGGAACAGGTGAAGCCATAGTCATGTGAGCCAGAACGGGGGAAGCCGAGAGAAGGGCCACGAGGGCCACAGTGAGGACGTGGGCGAACATGATGTTCGTGGTGTGTGTGGTGTGAGCAGGGAGAGGTTGAGGCAGTTGGTGATGTGTATGAAGATGTCTTCCTGAGACAGTCTTGAGAGAAGTGGAAAGCTGTTTGGTGTTGGAGAAAGAGGATCGCAGCAAGTCGAAAGTTGGCGATGTTTCGGAGAGAGGGAGGACAATGTGGAACTATGGAGCAACTGTCTTACCAGAAGACAGTAGCAACGTTCGAGAGAGTGTGTGTTTGTTTGCTTGTGTTGTGTGCGTCGCGTGTGTTGCAGTATATTGCAGAGTATTGGTTGATGATGATGATGGAGAAGAAAGAGAGAGGGAAAAGAAAAGATGCCAAGAGGACGTCCGGGCAGCAAACTTTTATATGTCTGAGAGAAGGAGGACTGTTCACCCAACCAGTCGAAAACCTGCTCACGCCTGAGGGAGGCAGGAACAGGAAAGAACGACCCAGACGTGCCTTCCCGAAGTGTCTATACGGTACAGTGCAGGAATAAAAAAAGGCAGGAGGTGCAGGAAAGCTTGTTCATTGCTCACACAGGCGCGGGCATACTACGGCGGGAAGGAGCAAACGGGGCACACGAGGGACGAGGGCAGGATTAACGAGGACATGATTAACGAGGAGGCTACACATTGTTCACCTGTCACTTGGAGGCGCACCGAAGAGGGCACAAGCACAAACACTTGTACAGGTCCTTCTTGTGGCTACTGGCTTCCGCCTTCCGTGTGTTCTGTGATCGCCCGCCTGTCCAGCCCCAGGTCGACTTGTTTCAGGAACGCTGTTTGAATGGCTGTATGTCGTACAGTCGGTTTGCTCATGGCCAGTCGTTCCAAACAATGGATGGAGCCCACAAAAAAGCAGAAAAAAGTTCTTTCACGGGCTGATTGTGGTTGGGGTCAGAGGAATGGATGTCCTTTTCTCAACTTACACTGCTGGCCACCCAATGGCGTTGCGTCCCAACCGCCTGCCAGTGCCAAATCTGGAAAGGTGGGGACCGGCTTTGCATTCCTGGTGGTGCCTGGGTTGGGTGGTTCCTGGCCACAGTTTTGGCACGCACAGGGCACTGCTGGGCGATCTGGGCCGCTTCGTTAGTGCTTTTTGGTGTTGTTTCAAACACCTGGCCAATCGCAGCAGCGCAATCGCCAGGAACACGGCGGTTCTGCAACGGAGCTTCAGGTAAGATACCTCCCTGCGGGGCACATGCCACAGCGAGGTTGCCGTTGCCTGTCTGCCGTTTGCTTGCCTGCCCTGGCCGTTGCCTGTGCTGTGTTGACATTGTGTTGACCTGTAATTTAATGGAGAACATCGGCGGCGTTTGAAGATGGCGCTTGTTTCTGCTGTCCGCTCGTCCTGGCCATTCACGCAGCAACACTTGAACGACCCATGCACCGATTCGTTCGTCTTCGGCGTTCGATGAGACAGTTGACGTGTCGCACCAAGCGCGACGTTCTTTTTTGTTCTGTCCAATTGTTCTACGAGACTTCCCAAACGGGAGGCAACCAGCCAGCGGTCCCTGACCATCGCAAAAGCGAGTCTGTGCAGCGCCGGTCAAAACAGCAGACATAGCAGGCAGTCAGACGGGTACATCTGTGACTGGAAATGACCGCTAGCCAGTCGGCTGTTGAGCTGTTGCGCTGTTTCTGTGTCTTGTCCTGTGCAGGTGCCTCCTTACTTGGATGCGCCTGGGCGGACTGCAATGTTGAGCCTATGCAAGGACGGGGACGTGATGGGCGGAGACGAAGCAAGCGTGACAAAATGCTTGACACAGACGAGGCATTTTAATTCGTCCTCCATCTCCGTCTGTCTGTAGCTCAGGCCGTCCCGGCCGGGACTGGCATATTCCGTAATATCGTTGTCGCCCGCGGGCTGTAAAATTATCCAAAAAATCCCTCGCCGACTGATCGCTCTATGCATGCAGATCGCGGCCGGTCAAGTGATGGACCGGCGTTGTGCAATTACCGTTTGTTGAGGAGAAGCATCGCCAGAGTTTGTCATACAAAGTATTTCGTCGTCGATTTCGTTTGTGAGACGTGGTGGTGACACAGTGTATATTGATACAGTAAGCATGGTCAATACACACTGTAATACGGAGTGAAGTCTGCACTACATGGCACTCCGCACTGTATCGCTACCGCCACTAAACACGTCGTCGCGGGTTGCCTTGACGTGCCGGCAATGGTCGCCATACCATGAGTATCATCACAACAGACGACGAGCATGGCGCGCAAACTGCCATGGGCACGACAAGGCGCAAATGTCCAGCCACGGCCACGGCCACAACGGCCTGCTGCGCATCGCCGGTCGTTTTCGCCTAGTGCATCGAGTCGTTTAGGACGTCGCAAGGATGACAATGACGATGACGACGACAACAACAGCCACAACGACGGCGACACCCGCCGTGCATCCAAGAAAGCAAAGTCCTCGTCCTCAAAGGGAAGGGCACATGCGTCTCAAAACCAACAAACAGCCCGCACACCGTCCACATCGCCACCACCGGCACCGCCCCCGGAAAGCTTCATGGTCGACGGCATGGACCACGACGACCGCTACCGCATGGTCGAGGACGAGCTGCTCGCCGTCGCCCAGACGTTCACGGCCCATCTCCACGCCGCCGCCTACCAGCGACTCAAGCGGCGGGCCCAGCAGGCCAAGGGCCCGACGGCCGCGGCCACGGCGTCTCGCTCGCTCGCCCGGCCGACAGCCATGACCGGCGTCTCAGCAGCGGCACGGGATCGCGTGGCACGGCGCACAGCGGCGGCCAAGCAGCGAGCCAAACAGGCAGCGGCTGTGCGTTCCGTGGGGTTGGTCCAACATGCCGGCGGCGCTGGCGGTGACAACGACGACGACGACAACGTCAACGACACGGACAACACACCCTGGGCGGGCACGGCACTGCACGATCTGATGGAGAGCGACCCACGCAAGAGCCGACCGGCGCTGGTGTCGCTGGCATCCGTAGCGGGGAACCGACCGTCGGCCGTTGTGCCAGGCAGCGGTATTGGAGGCGGGGAAGTCGACGATGACGATGACGACGATGACGACCTGGATGGACCGCCTGTGCAGCAAAAGACGACCGCCCGGCCACTCACATCGTCACCACACGTGCCTCCACGCTCACCACGACAACCAGTGGCCGCTACACCTGGCCAAAATCGAATAGCCGGCCGCGACGGCCCACCAGACAAGAGGTCCGTGTCGTTTGCGCCAGATGTCCAAGCGCGGGATGTACAGGCCAGGCATGAGACGGAGGGTGATGACGAAGATGAGGAAGACGACGACCCTGCCGACCTCGACGACCCTGCCGACCTCGACGACATCGACGACCTCGACGATGCAGGTGACTTGATGCAGACGCTACGAAAACGACGGGCGCAGGAAAAGGCTGATCGCCTGCTCGAGAGGAAGCGTCGACGTGAGCACAAGAGAGACGAGCAAGACAAGGGTCCTCTTGATACGATTCCGTCGTTTCTGTGACGATGAAGCAGACTTGTGATTACATTTTACGAGACACGATTTACGAGATACGATGTACGAGTTGCAGTGACCAAGACATTTGAGAATACGATTCGAATCATCAATGCAATGCTCATGAATGCTATCTTTTGCGGGCTGCTTAGCCTTTCAAGCCCATGCCATGCCCTCCCTTGGCCGCTCATGCCTTCGCCTCAAACGGCGTCTCAAAGGGCCGCTCGGCCTGCGGCGTGATGCGGGCCAGGTGTCGACGGGCACCGCCCTTCCAGTCGACAAGGGCCGTGTGCTGGGTGACGCGGTTGTCCCAGACGACGACGGTGCCCTCCTCCCACTTGACACGGGCCTGGAAGTCGGCGCCGAGGGCCAGGTGGTGGTACAGAAAGTCGAGCAGCGCGTCCGACTCTTCCTTTTTCAGGCCGACGATTTCCCGGGTGACTGGGGGTTGGTTAGCACGAGTACATACACAAAATACATGTGAGGTGACAAGAGACATACACTGTTGGTTCACGTAGAGCGCCTTCTCGCCGGTGGCCGGGTGCGTGCGCACAATGGGGTGGACGTTGTAGACGGGGTCGCGGCGCTTGATGCTGCCGCGGGCCACGCTCGAGTTGACCTGCTCGATGCCCGAGTGCGTCGCCTGCAGGCCGTGCAGCCGCTGCTGGAACGCCGGGCTCAGGCGGTTGTACGCCTCGACGCCGTCCACAAACAGCGTGTCGCCGCCCGTCTCGGGCTTGTCCAGGATGTACAGAAACGTGGTGCCCGGCGGCTGCTGCTCGTACGACACGTCCGAGTGCCACGCGACCGAGTTGGTCCGCGACGCAAAAAAGGCCTCGGCCGTGCGGTCGCCGGCGGCGCGGTGCACCAGGTGGATCTCCGGGTAGCCCTCGGGGGCGCCCGAGGTCGGGTGGATGTGGTGGCGCCCAAAGTAGCCGCCAAAGTCGAGCGCCTGCTGGATCGGCAGGTCGGCAAAGTCCTGCGCCCGGAACGCCACCACCTTGCGCTCGGCCACAAACCGCGCCAGCTGGTCCTTGCCCGCGTCCGACAGCGAGCTGAGCTGCACGCCGCGCACCTCGGACCCAATGGTGGGCGTCAGGTCGACGCGCTGGGCCGAGGCCGGCAGCAGCTCCGGGAAGCTGGTGTCGGCGTCCTTGCCGTGCTCGTAGTGCTCAAAGGGCTGCAGCGGCGGGTAGTGCTCGTCGGGGTTCCACGTGGGCAGGTAGTGGGGGTACTTGGCGGCCTCGAAGCCCTCGATGCCGGCGACCTCGTCCTCGCGGCTGAAGCGCGTGGGGGACAGCTCCTTGTAGTCGCCGGTGGCCGCGGTGGTGGTGTGCAGCTTGGGGGGCTCAGGGACCGTGATGGTCTCAATGGCTGAGGGCGCCATGTTGTCAGAGGTTGTGGGGGGTTGTGTGCGAGGACGACGAAAAGGGTGGGATGAGGATGGGGGGGTATGGGGGTATATTTAGGTAATGGATGCTTCTCGATGCACGTTTATCTGCGATTTCAGCGTGAGGCGTCGTTGCAGGCGTTTGCAATGGGAAGTAGCATGTACGATCAGATAATCGGATCTGTGATCGAGATGCAAGAGATGGAAATAGAAAGGGGGCTTCTGTCTCCGTCGAGGTTTTGAGCAAGGGTTCCTATTTATATCGACCGAGGGAAACTCGATTCGGGAGAGTCAGGCAGATGTGCCCTTCACTGAAGACAACGACAAGAGTCCAACACCTCTGCGAGACCGGCCAGCGAGCTCCGCGAGGACACAGAACCCACGTCAATTACTCACGGCACGACAAACAACGTCCAAGAAGCACAAGAGGCACAAGAAGCACAGGCGGCTCGACCGCTGCCGTCGACTCTGTCTTGTCGCGTTTCCGCGGGGTACAACGACATATCGATCACGAATGTCGCAAGGGCGCCCCTCTTTTGGCCAATGCCCCAACGCCTGATCGACGGCTAAAGCCTGCTTGGTCCGTTGGCCTGTTGGTCGGGGGCTGTTTGCTGGCCTCGACTGCCTGGTCTGCCGTGGAGTGGGAATGTATGGAGTACAATTGTACCACAGGTCAGAACACAAGGGCCCGGAGAAACCGGGGGCGGACTCGCTCATGCAGAAAGGAGGGGACGGATCAAGCTTCCAAAAGTAGAAACCAAGCGAGAGAGCAATACTAGTCCGTGCTGGGCATAACTGTTAATTGTGACGATGGAGGCCAGTGTAGAATGCCAAGTACGGAGTCTCTCCAGGATGGAGAATGTCGCAGTGCAACCGTTCCGCTGGCGTGAAATGACTCGAACGCTTCGTTTCTCCTCCTGCATCTGCTGAATAAAAATAACCGGCGTCAATACAATCTCAGCCCGTGTTCTGTCCACAGATGTTGCTTCTCACAACGGCGTTGTGAAGAGAGGTCGTCAAAAGTGGGTCCCAGGCGACTTACACGACTCCGTCATGCTGAAAAGGGCAAGTTGTGTGATTCGCCGAGACAATCGCGTCATCTGCACGGCTCCATGTCGCGACTCGACGACAGCTTTCGCCATTCTGCATCGATAGAAGTACGACGTAGACAAAGACATGACATATACCACAGGCGGCTGATGGAAAGAAACATGTGCATTGTTCAGCGTCGTCGTCTTTCTGTTGTGCAAAAAGGCCGCCACTGGTCGTTCGTCCCGCACGCGGGTCCGTGCGTGACGCCACCCCATGCCGACGCCGCGATTCTCCGACTCTTGAAAGGCCGTGCTGCCCCGTAAGTTGTTCTCACAGTATATTTTCATATATGCAACGTTTGGACTATCTCCTGCATGCGGACCATTTCCGCGATGCACGTGACGTTCTACAGGTTCGGCGGGCCGACGCGCTGGACCAAAGGTTCCTGCCAAAACAAAGTCAAGCCAAGGCATCTGCGCAGCGGTACGGTCGAACCTGGGGACAGTCAGCAGCTGAGTTGAGCATAGCAAGCACACGCGACAAGTCTGGTCCCACCGACGTACCCGCGAGACATGGACCAGCACCTTGTCGCGACTAGCGATAGCCGAGTGTCAATGGAGCTTGCCGACGTGTTGTTGACAGTTGCAGACGCGCAGACTGTGCTGTCGCTGTCAGTCAACAACAACCTGGATTCGTGGCATGTCTTTCGAGGCCGTTCTGGAGATGGTACGTAAGTCTTACGGAGGTATGTACGGAAAAATAAAGTTTTTGTTTTCTATATTCGTGTTTCCTTCTCTTTCGTGTTCTATAGTCAAGCAATCGCCGTGCGTCGACTTTCATATGTTCTATCCCACATCTAATGCGCAAACCGAAAGTCCAACCGCTTGCTGCCTTCGTCCTTGGTGGTTCGCAGATACGCGTCCCGCTCCGCAGACGACATGGCACCCCAGGTGCGGTCGCGGGTCTTGTTCCGCCACATGTAGTAGCCCTTGACAAATGCCGTAATCACCAGGTTCCAGGCCACGATGCCGAGAAGGACCTTGTTTCCGCGTCTGTACAGAGGCTGGTCGTCGGCGCGGTAGATCTATGACGTCGCTATTAGTTTGCTTTGTGTGTATAGGGTGGCCAGGACAGGAGAAGGAGACGGTCGTATAGCGCACCTGAGTTGCAATGACGGAGCTGGCTTGGCAAATCATGTTGTACAAGGCGCTGCCCACCGTTCGGGTGCGCACGGAACCGGCATTACGCGAGATCAGACTGACTGCGAGGTGTTAGTCGTTGCGGTGTATGTTACAGCACGAACAGTATAACGATGAGGGCTTCGTACCATTGATGGAATGAATGTATGGGTAGCCAATGAGGAGCAGCGTGACCGCATACCAGCTCCAGGGACTGGCCGCTGCGGGCAGCAGTTCGAGCGCCAGCAGCAGCGGCAGACACCAGATGGAGTAAAAGGCCACAATGGCCATGCGGTTGTTGATTTTCTCCGAGACTACGGTCCAAAAGACCAGCTGGATGAGGAACAGGACGTAGGCCGGGATGGTCAGGAGGTTCGTCTCAAACGTGTCGAACCCGAGGGCCTTGAGGTTGAGCGTAAGGTACGACGCGACGGGCTGGACGGGGATGAGCAGGGTCCAGCTCATGGCGTACATGGGCCACAGGTCGTAGTCCATCAGGGACTTATAGAGCAGCGTCCAGCTGAGGCCCTGCCGGTTGTGCATGCCGCCCTGTTGGCATTAGATTACATGGTCCTGAAAGTATGGCAGCAGTAGAAGCAGAAATGGACGTATGACAGTGACCCACCTTGGCTGGGTCGTCCCGCAAGACGCGGTTGACCATGATGACCTCCTCGCGCTCGGTAAACCATCCGTTTTTGCCGCGGAACCAGCTGGCCGTCTGCGTCGGGCCGGGCGGCAGGTAGAACCACGAAATGAGGCCGACAACGGCCGTCAGCGCGCCCTCGAGCACAAACAGCCAGCGCCAGCCCTCCCAGCCGCCGACGGACCGCATGTGCAGGATGCCGTACGCCAAAAAGGCGGCCACGATAAAGGTGCCGTTGGAGGCGCAGTAGAAGAAGCTCACGCGCAGGGGCAGCTCCTTGTTGGTGTAAAAGTAGGACAGGTACAGCAGCGCGTCCGGGATGAAGCCGCCCTCGACGAGGCCGAGGAGGGCGCGGGTGGCGTAAAAGCTCTTGGGGCCCTGGACGAGGCCCTGGCAGATGCCAATGACGCTCCACACGACCATCTGGATGGGGATCCAGACGTCGGGCCCCAGCTTCTTGGAGATCATCTGCGACGGCACTTCGGCCGACAGGAAGCAGACATAAAAGATCATCATGCCATAGTTGTAGTTGTTGGTGGTCAGGCCGAGGTCGCCCAGCATGTTGTCGCTCAGGGCCTGCGAGATGTTGCCGCGGTCCAGCTGCAGGGCGAAGAACATGAGGCACACCCACGAGCAGATGCGTTTGTCCAACTGTGCGGTCAGCATGCGGATGAGGAAGAGGACAAGCAGGAAAGGAAGGAAAAAGGGGGGGGGGGGGAACAGCTAGCAAACGCCTCACCTTCCGAACAAGTGTCTTCTCCTCCTTTTCGGTCCATTCCGCCGTCGGATCGTAGCGGTGCCGGCCTTCATACTCGGGAATGGGCTCATAAATCTCCACGGCGGCGCCGGACACAAATGCGTCTCCGGTAAAGCGCGAACGCTTGGTCGGCAACGCGTCAATGTCCGAGTCCGAGGTCGACGACGAGATAGGGTGCTCCGCCGCCGGCGCAATGTCCATGACGGTTGCTGATTTTTCTGATTTTTCCGACATGGTGATGCTAACGACGCTCTCCACGGGGCCACGGATGCAGGTTGCTCTTTGACGTTCCAGCTCCTTTTGTCACTATGGGGTGTATACCTCCGTATATACATGACTCTGCGGCACAGGCCGCTTAAATAGGATCGTCGGGTTGAATCTTGTAGGCTGCTCTGCACGTGTGCCTTGGGGGTTGGATCGTGCCAGCTTTGGAAAGTGGTATTCTGTACGTCGCATTGCCACTCCATTTTCCTGTTTCCTGTTTCCTGTTTCAGTCTATCTGCTCCGTACGACGCAGTGTATTGAACTTCCCCATCTAAGATCAGGATGGAGCAATGCAGCGCGCGACGTGACGATGCAATCGACATGACACATGTGTACAGGGTCTTACATACACGTTGATGTATCTCCGGATCTCCGTTTAGCGGGCCTCGACATGTTGTCACAAAGGTCGGCTACTTCGCACGGAGTAGTACGGTGTACTCGGTATTGACTCCGTACAGAGGATGACTTTTGTTGACAAAGACCGACCCACAAATGCGAAACGTATGGTTAGCAGCCGATGGCGTTTTCAAGGACCCAGTCTTGCATCACCGGCACAGATAGGCATTGGCAGAACACGGGCAAGACATGGGCGGCAGAGATGCAGACACTGCGACCCTAGCCCTGATCTGCCAAATGACGTGCTGCAAGTCGTGTCTGTGCCGCCAGCCTGCAGACAACAGATGCAGACGAGCAGAGTTTGAAAACAGTCGTATATTTTTTGTGGGAGGTAAAGTGTACCAATCGGTCGGCATATAACAGCCGCGATAGACCTGTGGACCTGTTGACCTTTGGACTTGTGGACCTGTTTAGAGAGCTCTAGAGTCTGCCCCCACGCTCTTTCAATGGGAGAAAAGTACGTGGAAAACGGCATACCTCGTATGGAGTACAACAGGAAAACTGAAACGGCAAAACGACGTCAAGTACATCATAGAATGACAACTGCCTTATTGTCGCTACCAAGCGACATGCTCCCTCGTGCACACGCCTCGGGGGTGGCCCTGAGAAAATTGTCAATGGTATCAATACAACGGGCGAATGCAGCCTTGCGACGAACGTCCGAGTCATCGATACTATGCCGGCTTGGCGCCTCGGTATAGTCGTCCAACAAGCGCGGGCCGCTATGTACCGCGAGTGACCAGCGTCGGGAAAGCAGGGCATTGAGTAGCGGAAGACACGGGCCTGTGTCTGTGTATGTGTGTGTGTTCGTCGGTGTCTACATGAGGATAACGCTGTTGAGCGTCAGTTGTGACTCGACGTCGGATGTCGGCATGGTTGATCATGGCACCCGGAACAGTCATAATACCAAAATAAATAAGGCGCCGACACGCTCGCCGACATGGGCGGCACACGGTGGTGGTCCCGTTGCAATAGTGTTGGTCGTTTTGATTCTATATGTTTCTGGAATACGTACATCTGATTCACGGACCCTTTCCGGTACACTGAGAAGCTCTTGTTGACGTGGATTGACGTTTCAAAATTCGTTGATCTGTCACAATATATATCTACATACTCCGTCGTATACTTTGGACAACATACGCCGGAGCCATACGCTGCCCGTTTGGACCACGTCCACGTACAAGAATCGATCACCCGACTCGGATGACGCCGTCAACATTGAATGCGATATACGACAAACGCCAAGGTCCCACTCTGCCAGGGGCCGTGACGTCGGCTCACGACAATGGACTGCTGTACCGTATAGCGGAGTGTGGAGATGCCAAGACAAGACCGAGATCTGGCCATCCCGTATTTTCTTTTTTACCACCGTCGACGGATGGACTGAACGGACAGCCACGGCATCAACACTGCGTCACAGGATCTGATCATGAAGCAGCCAAGTATTCTGTGCTTATATGAGCATCTGTGAACAACATCAGCCTACAGGATAGACGTGGGTTTGCCGATAATAATGCCGCTGATACCTGGTCACTTCTGTTTTATACACAGTCACATGATTATGAAAGTGCAGTTGGATGGTCATGATTTCATTGTTGTATGTTGGATCCAAGTCTTCTTTTATGTACATATAATGACCGACGTGTTGTTTTTCCCGATATATAAAATGAAGACAAGAAATAATTACTAACAGGGAGAAGAACACGTTTAGCCAGCCTGGGTCACAATCGCCGTATGTGTATGGATCGTATACAAGGCTCCTAGCCAACAACATTTCGGGTCACAGCCCAAGAATTCAACTACGTCCTCTTGTACGGTGACTGGTGATGCATTGAATCCTACTGATCCTCCCGAGAGACGAGCTGTACGCAAAGCACATTGCCGTCGCCCGCCTCTGGTTTTCAGAGCTACAACAATGGGCGCGAAATGGAACAACGCCGCCGGACGTGGTGGGTCATCTTTTGCTCAAACCAGTTCCTTATCAACATCACAACCAAGCCAGCGTGCATCCAGGACCGCGATGCCGTGAATATCCGTGGCGGCTGCCGGCCTCGGGCGAACTGTTTGCGGCGCGGCGTTGTGCGGCGGATTTCGCGGTGGGACGATGACGCAGAGAGGCGAGGTCGGCCACAATGATGCGGACACTCATACTGTCCGTGCTCCGACCCTGGTACGGCCAGTACGCGTCGTTTGCGCAATTCGCGGACCACGCACTCACGGCGGGGCACCCGTGTCGACACAAGGCAGTCACCGCCGCGGCCCAACGCCTTGCTACTGTCGCTGCCACTGTCGCTGCCACGGCCGCTGCCACGGTCGCCCGTCAGCCACCGCATCCTGCTCGCTGCCATCCAGTGGCTCGTCCCGAGACCGCTCTCCTGCGCATCAACGCTGATGATGCTATGCGCATATATGTGTGCCTGTCTTGAGCCGATTGTTGTCGATTGTAGAGTTTTTTCCGTGCTCCTGTGGATGCGACATCGGGGACAGGGTCCGAACACGCTCGCCATGTCGATCACTTTGAGTCACGGCACTTGTTTTAGCATAGCTTTGCCCTTTTCTCTCCACACCCTCTCCTCTTCTCTTCTCCCCTCCTCCTCTTCTGCTCGACTTTCTCACAAGTCTTCTCTCCATCGAAATCAATCGCCCCCAAAACCGAAGAAAAGAGAGGCCGCCAACCGGTCAGTCGACCCAACGGATCGATTTCACGATGGGTATCCCTGGGACCAACTTGCCAACTGTGCTAGCTGCCTATCCGGCTTTCCTCCCTGACGTGAACGTCCGTTTGAAATTTCTCTGTTGTGGCACTGATACGTTCTGCCGTCCCACTCGCGAACCCCCACTAGCCGGGGCTGAACTTACTTTGTAGCTCGGCAGGGCAGTTTTGTTTTGTTTAGGGGCGCGCTGATGGCTCAAGGTCAGGCGTTAGTCATTTTCATTTTTCCACTCATTTTAGCGACTGCATCCACTGCATCCACCCATCCACTACGGTCCACTGTTTTCCGCGGGTCGCCTACACCTTAATTCGAAAATCTGCGCCAGGTCCCGTGTTAAAATTAGAGACCCACAGGGCGGTATTGTTGCCGTTGGCGCTGGTGAGCAGCAAAACAGACAACGCAGGGTCGTCGCCTTGCAGCGTAAGACGGCACGATCAGTTTACATGGAGCAATTCTGGCCGACTGGTTCTCATTGCAACCGCAGCGCAAAAAGGAGTCTCCAAGATACGACAAGAAAACAAGAGAAATGAACCGTCTTGACTGGCTGCATCTTGGTTGGCACTTGACAAGCCGCTGCCAAGATAACCATCGTATGCGCCCCCAAGACTACGAAATATGATATGCAGAATCCAATAGTCTAGTTTTTTTTTTTTGTCTGCATAGTCTGCAGAGTCGACATAGTCTGCTAGTCTGCTCGTTTTGGCATACAACAGTGCGACTGTCCGAGACGCCTGGCTCAGAATGGTCGCCAGGGCGAGAAGGAGAAAGGAGAAAAGAAAGTAACGATGGCTGATGATCGACAAAAGACTGCTTTTCTGTTGGCTCTGGCCCGTTGGTGGCTATTGAAGGGCAGCTCGTCCCCATCCTCATCCTCGTCTTTGTCTCCCCCATTCTCCCACCACGACTGTCCAATCAGCACCGACTGGCAGCGCGTTCCAGATGCGGTCTGCCAATTTTGTGGCTTGTTTGGGTGGTTCTGCATGGTCACACGTCCCGATTGTGCATTGTCCCTCTTTTCTGCAGTCTTGCAATCTTGGCCATGTCTGCCTCGCCAGCGGCTCCAGCTCCAGTCCCATCGACTGCCCATCGGACTGCAGCTTGCTTGGCAAGGCGCACGATGGAACTCGAGCAAAATCCAAAATGGCACTGGAAAGTGGAGAATGCGATGCCGTTTGTGGTGTCGCGGCAAAGGGACGGCAAAAGTGCGGAATGGACGAGGTCACCGCCAAACAGGCGTCCTTTGTAGGAGGAGCCCAGGAGCCCTGATAGTGGATACCAGAACTGTATTAGTGTGATGCGCCCAATCTTGGCTGCTTGGTCACTTGGCAACATTCAAACGCGTCTGTCTCTCTTCTTCGTTTTCCATTTCATTCTTTCCTCATTGTGTGATGTTCCTTGCACGTACCGTCTCCGTCCAGGGTACAAACAGGCTGCACAACATGCTGTAACCATGGTTGGCAGCAACGGCTGTATCTTACACGTATTCCACGGACACAAATTACATCGTACAGTCGTGTTCCAGTACCACCAAACGGATGTCGAGGCCACGGAGGACAAGAAAACCAGAAACACACCCTAGTTCGCTTTCCGAGATGCCTGGGCGTAATTCCTTGTGAGAGGCTGATCCTGGCGCAATCTGTCTTGGGCTGTTGGGCGCGGCCTAGACGAGAATCCTTGGTTCAGTCGTGTCTTGGCTCGCCTTTTGCTTGTGACCACAGTTCGTCACTTCAAGTTACGACGTACTCTTTTATTTTTATTCCTCTTTCACTGGTCACCATTCTGCGTCCTCGCACCTCATACCTCTTTCACACACCGTGCACAGAGTATTACAGACCACCAAGATCAGCCCCTCACTCCTCCGACGTGGTGCCCTCCCTGCGGCTCTTCAAAGTTTATCTGTATTGCCCAGCTCTGCAGCTCTCCTCTTTCAGCTCCTCAGCCTCAGCTCCCCAGCTCTTTTATTTCCTTGCTCTGTCCTTTAAATAAGACCAAGACCCTCACACACCACACCACTCCTCTTCACCCGTTCCTTTCCCCTCTGCTTCTTCTGCCTCAGTCCAGCCTTGCAAGCGAACAACCTCTCGTTTGTTGACAGCCACTCTCATCACCAACTCATCGTCATCAGCCGATACAGTCTCCTATCTCCTGTCTTGCCTTCACACCCCCCCCCCCCCCCATCATGTCTGCTTTCGTCGACGGCCAGGGCCATTCCAACGTCCTGCCACTGCCCAAGTGGACGCTCTTTGTCCGCATCGCCCAGCTCGTCCTCGCCTTCCTCCTGCTCGTCCTCACCGCCTACTCCGCCTCCAAGCTCGGCTCCGGCGCCGCCGGCTTCGGCCTCACCTGGTTCACCTTCATCTTCACCGTCCTCTACTTTGTCTGGCTCGGCGTCAGCCTGGCCGCCGTCCCCGCCATCTACCACCCCATTGCCCACATCCCCGTCGAGATTTTGCTCAACATCTTCTGGCTCTCGACCTGGGCCGTCCTCGCCAGCGAGGCCACCTCCATCGGCAACCTCGAGCACTACCTGGGCGCCTACAAGAGCCGCATCCCCAGCGCCTACCGCAACGCCCTCAACTGCGTCAAGGCCGCCGCCGCCCTCGGCGCCCTGCTGTGGGTGCTCTTCTGCGTCACCCTTGTCTTCCTCGTGCTCGCCTTCCTCAAGTGGCACAAGAACAGCGTCACGGCCACCGCCGGCGCGCCCGCCGGTGCCGCCAAGGTCGACACCGAGATGCAAAACTACAACAACGGCGCCGCCCCCGCCGGTGTCCCGCCCCAGGGCGCCCCCATCGACCCCGCCACGGGCTACCCGGTCCAGCAGCAGCAGGCCGCCTACCCCCCGCAGGCCCAGGCCCAGGTCTACCCCCAGCAGCCGCCGCAGCAGGCCTATGTTGACCCCGACCAGGTCCAACAGCCACCCTACGCCGGCGGTGTGCCCCCCGTTCAGCAGTACCAGGAGCAACCCGTCACCGGTGCCCAGCCGCCGCAGCACCCGACTGCGTAAGTGGGAAAAGGGGGTGATTGTGGTTGGTCGTGGGTGGCAGTGCCCTACCGTGACAAATTGACTGGAACGTCACTGGCATCTCACCAACCTCGGAAAACGCTACTCAAAAATACGCTCTGGACTCTGGACTCTCTGATACCCCGGTTACTATTATTTATTTTGTTCCTTTTTTTTTTTGCTTCGTTTTACCTTGTTCATAATTTGGATACGGACACGGGAACTGTTTCTGTTCTTGTCGTGGTGATGGCATGTTTTGCTGTGATGTGGGGCTTTTTAGCTCACACGTCACAGTCCTCCATACTCACGGTGGTTTTCTTTTGTTGGTCGATACCCCCCTCCAAAATACTCCTCTAATAATATCTCTTTTTCTTATGCTGAACCTGAAACACATGCAAGCAATGAAGTGAACAAGGTCGACATACCACAGGAGGCGGCAAACCGTGGAACGCGCAGAGATTGTCATACAGAGCACTCATGTCATGGCACCCTGTCCTCCGCGGACTAATTCATCTTCTTTCTCGAGTGCCCGTCAAATTAACCAAGTTAGAAAATGCAGTCTTATTTGGCTGTATCGCTGAATACGAAAGAAACGGAGAGGAGTTGGGGCTGGATGGTTGACGCCCTCAAGGGCAACTTGCACGAGCCATCACCAGACAGAGCTCGATTTTACAGGACCAAAAATGACAAGGCCACCGATGCAACTGTCCGCCTCGCCCTGGTCTGCCAACCTGCCTTTGGTCTCTCGTGCCAACGTTTGGCACACTGACTCGCTCACTCTCCAGATCAACCAGAGCCTGGCCATCATGGCCCCTCCGACGGTCACACAGTCTATGCCTCCTCCGTCGCGCCCGCCTTCGCCTGAAATCACAATCGAACCACGCTGTCGCCATCGACAAGCACCTCGTCATCACCGGCCTTGGCCAACCACCGTGAGCCATCACAACAAACGCACCCTCCTCACCCCGCCGTCGCATCCAGACTCCTTGCTTCGGCACCACTGACACGGCCCCGCCGACCCAGCCGAAAGAGCGCAAACTCCCATGGCCAGCCGAGTTTGAGGCCGAATATGACCACTGTGGCTACCCCGTCTGCTTCTCCGCGTCACGGCCGGGCCTCGTCCCGCACACCTTTGAAAACAAACATTGGCTGTTGGCTCCGCGTGCATGAACGAAACGTTCGCCAACGGAACCACCACCGAACGTCGCCCGCGAAGCGCTGGTGCCCGCCCTCCAACCACAACCGCCACCACACTGCCGCGCCCCGCCTTTTCGTCGCACATGGTTGCCATTCGATGCCGGGTTTTGGCTCGACGGTTTCCGCCCGACGGCCACTGCAGCCTGTATTGCCATGTGCGGCCGCTGGGGACAAGCAAGCCTGGTGCAGGCGCTGCCCGGGTGCCTCGCATCGATCTTGGGTCCGGACGACGGGGCCTGCTCCGCCGCGTCAACTTGACAAAGCACAGCAGGCAAACTCAACGTCGGTCACAGCGCGAAACCTTGGACGCACCCAGGGCCGTGGCTAGAGCGCGCAGCCGGTGCACAGGAACTCGGGGCCCGCGCAGGTAGGCCGGGCGGGCTGTTTCTTTGCCACGGACGCATCGGGGTGAGCTGCATGTCACTGATGGGGGCAGGGTGGGGGTGGCCCGGATATGTGATGGTAGAAAAAAGAAAGAAAGTTTGAGTGGACGAATTCCCCTTGCTTGGCTGCATAATGCAGGTGTCCGTTGTACGACAAGCGATGGACTAGTGAGCAAAAGTAAAAACTTCTTCGGCTGCATCAAATGCATTGAATTGACCAGTCTCAGAAACGCTGCCGATAGATGTGGCGTGCAGAAGTCCGCCCCCAATACTGTGTCTGTCCACAGTCGCATCCGTCGTTGGGTAATTTGGTAGTGTTGGTATTGAAAATCTGACAGAAACCTGAGTGGCTCGGTTTTCGTTAGTTTTGTTGACATTTGCACAAACGAACCAATAAAGTGCGAGAATATCCAAAAACGGGTTCAATAAGTATGACCATCCAAGATATGGCATAAAAATATGTACATAAAAAAGCGGCCAACCGCTGTTGCTGGCCTTGCATGTTTGCTTTTGTATTTACACGAAAAGCAAAGCAACGTCTTCTTTCCTCTCCTCCGTCATGACGCAAATAAAACAAAACTGTGATCGTACACTAAATGTGCGTAAAAAAAAAACGCGACAAAACCGCATCAGACCGTTCTCGTCGGCCTGTGTTCCCCGTCAGTTGTCATAGGATTGACCAATGGCGCTGTGCGGGTCATCCAAGGACAGGAAAACAAAATGGAATACAACATGTAAGGAAATAATAAGAGAGGAGCAGAATGCGCTACCCTAGAGAATGTATGAAAAACTGAGACAATTCGCTGAGAAAGATGATGAGCGACGGACAAAAAGAAAAGTAATAAGGATCGTCGAACAAGACCACCGCTGGTATATGTCCAAGCGTGCAGCCGATGTCATAAATGGTAAAAGGATGGGGAAAAGCTGGAGTCGAATCCAAATGCAAACTCAAAAATGGTGGAAGCTGTTCAAAGTGTGTCGCGGGACCCATTCTCACTCCATGTAGAGCAAGAGGAGAAGGGGAGGCTGGAAAACAAGATTCAACGAGACAGTGGAAACAAAGCTTTTCGTTAGTTATGCGGCGCAATCGGGAGATGCAAGGTTCCGTCAGCGTTCCACAAAATGCCTATCGGTTCACAGTGTCGCCCAACGCCGAGGTCGTTCACAAGGGGATGCCAGACATTGTCGTCGGGCACCGGGGTGTTCTTTAGGACGTTGCCACAGAGTCCTGCCGGCGTCTTGGTGTATGTGTGTGTGAGAGTGTGTGCGCGCGCGGGCGCGTGTGAGTGTCAGAGGTATGTATCTTGTCCACCAGAATGGGCGAAATTGTGACCACTCTTTAACGGCTCTCGTCAATGGACGGGTACTGTGTCTGCCAGTCTTGTGTGCGGCTCGATCCCTTGGACAAGGAGCCAAAAGAGGGCATCGACAGACGGTTGCGCAGCTTGTTTGGTGATGCCGACGAAGGGGTCTGGGAGACACGGGATTGCCGGCTGGCGGACGAGGTCGATGTGTTGAAGGACGAGCCAGTGGAGGCGGGCGTCTGGTAGACGTACTCGCCGTCGACGTAGATGGCGTTGGAGACGAAGGTCGAGCGCCGGTTGCGGCTGCGGGTGTAGCGCTTTTCGAGGCGGAAGAGCTCCAGCTTGGACTGGATGCGTTCGATGAAGGTGGGCATTGTGGCGAGAAGAATGGGAGACTATTGGGGACAGACTCTGAGAGAACCGTTGGCGAGATTGTTGGGCAGTTGTCAAGACTGAAGGCGCCGATATTTGTTGTGTTGGTTTTTTATTTTGATTTGAATTCGAATGTGATTTCGATGTCGTGTCGAAGGGGAGAGAGACGTCGGGGATCGCCAATTGGTTCGAAAGGAGTGAACAGGAGGTGGAAGGAGTGTGGAAAAGTACAAAATACGTCGCAGGCGCAAAGGAGAGAATAAGCAAGAAGACTAGATAAGACAAGAAAGACGGGAAGAGACACACAAGTAAGACAAGACAACTTGACAAACAATGGGGAGATCGAGATGGAGCGTGACAAAATGGCCGGCACCACCACAAAGCAAGGGAAAAAGAGAAAAACAACGAAAGGACCAGAGCGGAGTCCAGAACGCAGAAACGGCGGCCCGGCGTAATTCTGAAAACAGAAAACAGCTCACTGGCAAGCAGGCCCGCCGGCCATCCTCAGCATGGAGCACTACTCCGGATTCGTCTTTTCTGTTCGCTCCCCCTGTCAATCGTCAGGGCAATAGTCGCAGTTCCTGGAGACAAGAGAAGACTACTGAGGAGAGCGCAGAGAGAACCCTTGTCTAGCGGGAACGTGCCAAAGGGGGGCCATGCATGGAAAGTGTGGAAGGCCACCCACGTTGAGAATGCTAGCATGCACTGGCACCACAAGCATGCGTAGAGAGTGGGCATGCAAGCATTGGGGATAGATGATTCTGCATTGGACCAAAAAAAAAAAAAAAAAAAAAGGGGGACAGAAGTCGAAACAAGCGATTCTGGATAAAAGGCAAAGGGGAGGTGGAGACCGCCCCAGGCGGAAGAGGGAAGGCGCGAACAGGGGCTCCTGTCCGACCGAGAAAGAACACTCAGCCGGAGGTGGCAGGGAAGGAGCGAAGCAGCACTGAGGCAGACGACAAAAAGGCAAAGTCCCAGCGAGGACGATGTAACTCACAGAGAGACGTCAGTGGCGTGATTGGGCCGACGCCGCCATCTCACAACGAAAGCAGCAAGAATTGTGGAGGCCGACGGTCGACTGGTCCTGTCCAGCCGCACCTCGCTAGACTCTCCGCAGGACAAGCGTGCTGGGATGCAATTTCGTGCACCTTAAAGTCTAAGGAGCAAGAGATTGCGCTGGGAAATGACGAGCAGAGCCAAGCTGGGGGAAAAGGAAAGAGCTTGTCTGATCTCTATTTGTGAGGTTTGGTGTTGTTCTCTCTTTCCTGTACATCGTACAGTCTCGTTCCTGTCGCTCATTCCTCTCTTTGTTTCTCGTTTCTCTAGCAAGCTACGTAGATGGTTCGCGGCTCACTCGTAGCCTCACTCGCGCCTTCCTCATCGCGACGTCGCAGGGCCCGATGTATCGTCCTCGCATGTGTACGAGAGTTCGTTCTTTCCTTCTTCTGCACCTTTTTCAGCGCAGCATTCCTTCTTTCTTTCTTCTTCCTTCCTTCCTTCTTCTTCAAGTAGTGTGGGCCACCTGCAGCGTGGTCGCTCCTTCCTAAAAGAATCCGTTCCCTGTAAGCAGGCCCTCACATCAACACTCCATGATAAGCTCGCTGAAAAGCTACTGTATCCGGGAGGCTAAATAACTGCATGGCGACGCCCGTGCGAGTGACTCTAGCGTCGCTGGCGTCTCGGCCAGAGCACCAAGTGGGGTGGTCAATGCAGGGGGTTGCGGGCCTTGCACAGTTTTTGCGATGGGCCTTTTCTGTTGCTTCTGCATCGTTCCATTTTGAGTGGGAAACCGCGCGTGGCGTTTGTCGAACACTCTTTCCTTCTGTCAGATACGAGACAAAAGGTCCTTCCTTTTCTTCAGTGGCGAGACAAAATGTCAGGCTGACGGCAGTAACACCTAACTGAGCATGGAAAGAGCGAACTCGGCGAAGAAATGGCACTGGGGCAGGAACGATAGCACACGTGGAAAGGGGGAACAAGTTTCCAAAGTTACGCCCTGTCGTGTCCTTCTCGCCTGGAATGCAACATTTTGGGTTATCGAGACGATCTGTCTCCGCACAAAAACTGGAGAGCCATGTGGCCGGCAAGACATAAAAAAAGAAGCACAAAGTATGTTGGATACCCACAGCTAGCCAATCATCAGATCAGGTTCATGCTGGCAGGGAGACAGTGTGCATGATGCCTCATCTTATCTCAGCGATGCACAGTCCAGGAACCGTGAGTGGTCGTCCTCCCGCACAATGCAAATACCGCCTGTTGCGTTTGTGTCGTGCAAGCGGGTCGTTTGTTTCGCGTTTGGGGCTGAGCCGATCCAATGCATTGATGCTGGCCTTGGATTTCGTCAGCAGATCACTGCGCCGTATCGGATCGATTTGGTTGTCGACGACCGACTGGCCGGGAGTGGTCTCTTTTGAGACGAAATGCATGATGTACGCATCTCGACAAGTCGCAACGTCTCCTTGTCTTTTCCCTGCTGGCGGTTCAGAGCCACCGAGTCGACGCCGACGCTTCCGAGAGGCAAAAAAAACCATAGCAAAACTCGATGCAGCAGCGCTTTCGACTAGCCATACGACAAGCACTGTCATAGGTGCCACGGTCCAGTGTATGCAGTCGATCGATTTACGGAGTAAGTGTCTTGCGCAGACGGAAACGCACAGGGAAACGGCATAGAATAAGCCAACAACATGGGCCCCATCCACGCGCAGAACAAGGGCTGTTGTGATGTGCATCCGCACGGATCTGCTTGGAAGAATGCCGAGCCCCAAGCTCTAGCAGCATAGTCACATGACGAGCGTTGGATGTCAACGACGACATCAATCGAGAGTCTGTTGGCTTCAATTAGACACTGAAGGCATTATAATACAAAAAGGTACGGAATGGATGGTCAAAACAAGGGCACAAATGCAACCAACAACCACCATCCACCATCCAACATATCGTACAAGAACTCCCCCCCCCCCCCCCCCCGCCGATACTTAGACACGCTTCGGATCGAACCAGACAACGATTTCGTGGAAGGCGCCGGAGATGTAGCTGCCGAGGGCCGTCAAGATACGCCACAGCTGGCGCGGCACGAACATGGCAATGTGGAAGAGGACGAGGGCGATAAAGTAAACGACGAACGCAACGCCGCCAAAGAGGATGTGGGCCACGCGCACGGCGTACGCGCCCAACAGCAGGACACACGTCCAGACGGCCATGGGGAGGCCGACAAAGACGGCCCGGCCAGCGGCCTGGAAGCCGCGCAGGACGTCGGCCAGGGTGATGGTGTGGAAGAACGTGGCGATGGCCGTCACGGCAGTGTGGATGGCCGAGAGGACGCGGCCGCCGGCGTGGACGATGGCGCCGGCGGCCGTCTTGAGGGTCGCGACGAGCCACGCACCAGCGACGCGGAGCGCCTTGGGGATGTGTTGAATGAAGGCGACAGTCATCTGGGCCAGACCCCTGGCCATCTCCCACAAGAACTTGGAGACATCCTTGAGGCCGGTCCACAGGCGCCGGGGCAGCTTCCGTACGAAACGGCCGATGGCCGGAAGGATGTTTTTGCGGTGCTGCCACAGGTAGCGGCTCCCGCGGCCCAGCGGCTGGACAAGGAGCTCTTTTGGGACGGTCCAGAGCCCAAACTTGGGGACGTGCCACAGGACAACCTGACCCAACGTCGTGGTGAACCACACGATGCTGCGGCCGGCCTTGGCGACGCGCTGCATGGCACGGCCGTGGCGTGTCGCAAAGCGGGCCCAGGCGCCGCCGCGGCGGGCGGGCAGCAAGGCGACGATCTCGCGGTGGCGGCCCTCGGCGGCCAGGCGGAGGGCGTGGTAGCCGTCGGGGGCCACGAGAGCGTCGTCGGCATGAAGTTCCTCAAAGAACAACTTCACCAAGGCGATGCGCCCCTGGGCGGCCGCCAGCATGAGCGGTGTGCGACGGACGCGGCGGTCAAGGGCATCGTCCATGCCGTGAACGGCATCGCCCCTGGCGCGGTGCAGGTCGGGCGGGCGGGCCATGCAGTTGATGTCGGCGCCCAGGTGCACGAGGACGCGGACCATGGCCGCGTCACCCGCATCGACGGCGGTCAGCAACGGCGTGGCGCCGTTCCACGGGTCGCCGCGATTGGTGGACGTCAGAGGCGGTGCCAGCACGGCGGCGGGCGTGTCTTCGTCTTGTCGGCCCGGGTGGTTGGCCACCACATCCCTGCTCTTCTTCCGCCACCACGTTTGGCTCGTCCCGCGCGTCTGCCTCCGCCTGTCCGTTTTGTCGCGCGCCTCCCACTCCTTTTCCAAATCCTCCGGAATGTACTGCATGCCGTACACGGTCTCGTAGCCGGCACCGTCCGTCACGTCCGGGCTCACGAGGCCCTTTTGCACCATCCGCACCACCAGCCCCGTCTGGCCCAAGCGGACGAGCCGGAAGAAGGTCTCGATGATGGTCTTTTGGTCTTGCAGGAGGGCCGCCGCCGTTTCGGACGCCTCGAGCGCTGCCACCAATTCGGGCGGTTTCGTCGCCATCGTCGCCTTCGCTGGCACAATGTACCTCAGCGTGCCGGCCCAGCGCCGGCCCACCGTGACATTGTCCTTTTTTGTCCACACAATCTGCATGTTGAAGCGCGGGTGCGTCAGCGGCAGACCGAGTTCGTCGGCGCGGGCGGCCATACGGTCGATCCACGCGACCATGTCGTTGTCATCTGTGGCCGCATACGTCGGCAGGTGGGGGTCACCGTCGTCGGCCATGGCAGGCAACCTGCTGATGTGTTATGAGAGGTGGACTGTGAGAATGTCAAGCCGTGTACAGTGGAGCGATGCGACGGGCTGGATATAGTGAGGCGGAGGTTGATCCTAGCTGTCGCGTTGGGTGTGGTTTGTCGACCCTCTCCCAGTTCGTCTGGCGCTGGTGTCGTGTTTAAGTAATTTCACGATGCGCAACGCGTTGCAACAATTTGAGCGTCATTATCGAGGCCGTTGGTGACAGAATATTGTTTATGCCTCGGCGCTTCATGTCCTGGTTGTTCATGTCAAGCCCTTTTTCATTGTTGAATGCCTCCAAACGGATGCCTATCCTCATAGCATGCCGGACACAAACAAACAGTCCTATCGTGTCAGCCCTGAGCACAGATGCCTCCCTCTTCTCGCCAAATAAGGATAAGCCTACAAGGCATCCGCTGGTGGCCGTTGACTGCACTCGACAGCCGCCCAGCTAACCCATTCGGTCCAGAATCGTTGCAAGGCGCAGCAGCGCCTCGTTCCGCGCTATTGTGCGAGGCTGCACCCCAACGCTGGGTCTGTCTCTTTGACTCTATGTTTCTGTTGGGATGCCGGCCTCGTTCAGCCTACCGAGGCGCTCGGTTTTGGGCATCATAATTGTCTTTTCTTTTTGCTTGTGCAAGGGACGCCACATGGCTTGGCACTCCATCCTTTGCATTTTGACCTCCCGCTAGTTGTTTTTCGTTGTAGCCATCGTGACAGCAATAGTCTCCAGATACCGAGCGATGCCCATGTTGTCCTGTTTGACACTTCTCCAAGACGATCATATATTTAGAATCATTTACATCTAAACAACAAAAGGCCAGAAACGCCAAACGCCGTACGCAATGCAGAGGCACGAAACACAGATACAAAACAGAACAAGACGGCTGATCATCATGATCCCGGCTCCGTCAAGTTACATCGCCTCCTCGAGCGCATAGTAGGCCTCGCAGTCGGCTCCAATGCCGTACGTATGGCACTGGCAAGCTTCGTATTGTGGGCAGCTGGCACGTTAGCGAAGAAAGCAAAGAAGGTACGCCGTGTGTGGAGGAGGGGGGGATCTCGCCAACGTACTGGTACGACTCGTTGCCCAGCCACACGTGCCAGGTGTGCTCTAGCAGGCGTCCGCTGTCGGCGTCGGCCAGCGGCGTCGAGATGAGCCACTGCCGCAGCGACGCCCACCACGCGCGGCTGCGGCGGCGGATGGCCGTCTTGCTGGCGGCAAACTGCGCGCAGCAGGGCGCGGCCAGCCGCACGGGCACGCGCTCGCCGGCGTCCTTGTCGAGAAAGTCGTCGAGCAGCGTGGTGAGCTGCACGTCGCGCGCGTGCCGGTGCAGCTGCGCCTGGTCGACGGCGTAGTCGGCCAGCACGATGACGTTTTCGCAGCCGGGCAGGCAGCGCAGCGACGCGTAGCCGCGCCGGGCGACGTACGCCGTCCGCAGCCGGCGCACCTCGTCGGCCGCGTCCATTGCCTGGTGCCAGCCGCGGCGGTGGCCGTGGTGGAAGACGACGACGTCGGCCAGCGTGTCGTAGTGGTCGACAATGTACGTCAGGTAGGCCATGGCCTCGCGGCCCTTGTGCACGGGGACGGCCAGCTGCGGCGACAGCGGCGCGTCCGTGACGTAGTGGAACACGGGCTGCCAGGCCGCCGGCACGTCCGCCAGCCAGGCGGTCTCGCCGCTGGCCACCATCTGGCTGCTGGAGGCGACGACGAGCGCGGTCGTCGTCCGGTGTTCCTGTTCTTTGCTGTGGTCGCTGCGATGCAGGTCGGGGTGGCTGCTTGGTGCGTCGCCGCCGAGGCCGTGCTGGCGGCCCTTTTGCGGCCCGTGTTTTGCTGATGTCGACCGCGACGTGCTTCCGCCAAACAGAACCCGTACCACAACTGTCAGTGCAATGGCAAACAACAGCGGCCGCGCCACAAATGCCAGGGCGGCGCGCACCTGGCGCTTGCTCTGGGTGCCCATCGTTGGTGTTGGTCGCGATTTCGTGTGATGTGTGGTATCGATGTTGAATATGGGGTCACCAGCGACCTGTCTGTCAAGACCGCCAAGACGAACATAAACACGGAAGATTTGGTAAACAGAATTTGAAAAGTCAATTTTTTTTTTTCTTTCTTTTTCTTTTTCTTTCTTTTCTTTTTTTTCTTTTCTTTTTTTCGGCTTTACTTCCATTCAAGCTCCTACGTGCACCATTCTAAAGTATATGAGACGATGTCCGTCTCAGCCGTCTCAGTTGGGTGCCGTTCTGTCGCGCACAGATCCCTGACCTGGGTTTGGTGATGTCATCTTCCTGGTGTTCTGCTTGTGTCCATCTGTTTCAAAAAGAGTTATCCTGGAAATAATACTTAGACGCAATGTAATTTCACATAATTTACGAATAATTGCTGCATTTCCCCGGTGTGTCGAACAAGCCACCTTAAAAGCAACATACATTGTATATTTGCTTTCCTGATAGGAACCAACGTGAACCACTCATGAGCCGACAAAGATGAAAACAAGTCGTCCATCTGGGGAAACCAGAAGAACACGGACCCGATATTTGGCTGATGAGATTTATTATCGTACCATAGCTGCGCCAGACAGTACGTATGACGCCCGAGACGGTGTAAGTCAGGCCACGTGACTATCAACCGCGGTCGTTCAAACTCCCCTTTTGTCGCCAACATCTTGTGAGCATATTCTACATGCCAACATTTACCTCCCTTGGTTCTTGTTAGTGGCTGAGTCAAACCCACCTGTGCCCGACGGTTGGTTTAGTGGCAGTCCGTTTTTGGTGAAAGAACTCGCATTGCTCAAAGCCACAAGGCCAGTTGGTTCTAGCGTCGACGATGAAAGAGAATGGATTCCGTAAACTTGACTGAAAGAGGCCAAGGGCACGAGCAGACAGAATGCGTGGGTCGATCGTCGTCGTCCGTAATAAATTCCCAATGTGGTGTCGATGTCGTGTCACGACGAAATGCACCCACAGCATCTGAAAGACGAAACCACAGCCAACGGTCACAGGTTGCATCACGCCCCCCACTGATCGATCACTGACGGCCATGGCCACGTCCACGGCCACGGCGAGCTCTGGCGCTGCCAACCCCGGCGCCGCTGCCATCCCCGACTGGTCCCAGCTCGACTTTGCCCGCAACTGCTCCGCCTACGGCCAGTGGCTCGCCGCGTTCATCGCGCCCAACCCGTGGAACCCGGCCGAGGCGCTGGGCGGCAGCATCCCGCTCACCATTCTGCTCGTCAGTAAACGCCCTGCCGCCGGGCTGGATCTTCAACGCGACCGTGGGCGGCAGCGGCGGCAACTGGACGCAGACGGTCGACTCGCCGGCGGGCACGGCGTACTTTGGCGTCGTCACGCAGTGGCTCACGAGCCACCTGTTCCACACCTACAACGCCACCAGCGGGCAGTGGAGCGTCGACCCGGCCTTTGTCGACAATGTGATTTGGGCGCCGGCCGACAAATGCCAGCGCGAGTTTGCAAGGCGATTGCCTTCACCGGCAACGCGGACCTGGCGGGCATCGGCGTCGTGATTTCGTACTACATTGAGGCGTCGCTCACGACGCTGTACCTGTTGGTGTTTACCGCGTGGCGGATCAAGCGCTTTGTGCGCGAGCAGCGACAAGGACGACGACGACGCTGTGCAGGGGCCCTCGCCGTCGAGCAGAGCAAGGTGACGCAAAATCCACGAGGACAAGGACGAGGACGAGAACGCGGACGACTGGCCCGCGCCGGCCACCGGTGCTTCGACGCCCTCCGCGGCAGTTTGGACGGATTTCTCATGGCCGCCGGCGTGCTCGCCATCGCCATCCTCGTCGCCGCCCTCGTCGTGGAAGCCTTCCACACCAACGAGCGGCGCCGGCACCCGGTCAATTCCCAAAACGTTCCCAGCGGACACGCCCTGTACGACTCGGCACTGGGGCTCCTGGTGGGCCTCTTCGCCGTGTTCCCTCCCGTTGTGCTCTACGCTCTCCTTCCGCAGGAAGACGAGTGGCCCCGTCTCCACCACCACCACCACCACCACCACCGCAAAGGCCGCCGCACGTGGCTGCGCCGTGCCGTCCTGGTCGTCCTGTGGGCCCTGGCCGCCGCCGTCGTCTTTCTCGACCCCCCCAGCGAGCTCGACTTCGCGTACCAGGGCCGCGTCGCCGACTCCGACGACAACTTTGCGGCCGTGCTTTATGCGTGCGACCAGCGGGGAGGGCTGGCGTACTGGCAGGCGCTGGAGGCGTTGAAGTACTTGGTGATTGGGGTGCTCGTGTTGTGGCTGGCGATGACGCTGGGTGTGTATGTGCTGACAGGGTGGCGGCCGTGGCGACCGTGGCGTGCCGCGCGAGGACGAGGGCGATCCGATGAGGGCGGGAGACTTGAGAAGCAAGCCGCAAGCGAGGAAATGGAATCCAAAGACGGGCGAGCCGTAGGCGAGGAAAAGGAAACCAAAATCGCGCGAGCCGCAGGCGAGGAAAAGGAAACCAAAATCGGGCGACCCGCTGGCGACGACCAGAAAAGCCTGCTGGCCCGCATTGGCCGCCCCGTCTGGCGGCACATCGTGGCCTGGCTGGCGTGCCTCATCATGTGGATGCTCCTGCTGTACCTCACGGAGCTGCGGCACAGCATCGTCGACGTGGCGGACGGGCTGGACATGGAAAACAAGTGGGCCATTGGGCAGGTGCTGGCGATTGCCACCTGGGGCCCCGTTGCCGTCGATTTTGGCTTCTTGTTGATCTGTACGTTTGCCTTGGGCCCTTGGATCCCCCCTCCCTATTTTGCTTTTCTTGTTGAAAAATATACACATCCATACTAACAGCGTTAGTCGGCATCGAGGCAGGCTTGGGGAGCCGACTGCCGCTGGACTTTGCCATCCGGCAGGTGGGTTCGACGTCGTCGGTGGACTCGGCGGCAGAGGAGGACGAGGACGAGACTGGGGCAGCAGCAGCAGCAGCAGCAGCAGCAGCAGCACAAGCCAGGGGATCCTCGCCCGACCGGGCCAACGCCAACAGCGTCCACAACAGACGCCGCAGTGCCAGCAGTGCTATCTGCCGACAAACGTCGAGCAGCACAGCCGAAACGGTCGGCAACGACAAGACGAGCGTTGTGGGCAAATGCGACTGCGGAGAACCTGTAGCACCTCTAGCGCTTTCCATGTCGTCGGCGTCCTCCTCGGCGCCATCTCTTCTTCTCCGCGCACAATCATAGGCCGTGGCGCTCGACTGCCAAACGCAGTCAGCCAGCAGCAACAGGCGACTCTATGCAACTCGTCCATCCAGAGATACAGACACATCCGCTTTGGCACCCATTAGAGACAGCTATGATATCAATTGTCGTGGTCCAAAATAGATTGCTATTCAAAATTGTAATACTCAAAAAAATAAAGGTCATCTCTTCGTAATCGTACTTAGGGCATCGGACGGGCCCAGACTACCGTGCCCACAACGGCGCCTGGCTGTCTGCCAAGCGGTCATCGGCCGCCGCCGGGTTCGGACCGCCGCGGCCCATAAACACGCGCGTGCCTGTCCCGCCGTGCAGCGGCGCCTGTGCATACTGGTAGGCAGGTTGGGCGAGCGACGCCGGCGCCGCCGTCCCCGTTCCTGTGTCCTTTGTCGCGGCGCCGGCAGCGAGTGGCACCAATGCGGTTTCAGAGTCGTGGACAATCGTCTGGTTCACGGCCGTCACATTGCGCATGTACAGCTCCACGTCCGGCCCCGTGGCGCTCAGCACACCCGCCGCGCTGACGCCGCCAAAATGCAAGTACTGGGTCGTCGAGCCGAAGCCACTGCTGTTCTTGCCGTCGCCCGTCTGGAAAAACGAGGCGGTGCCGACGGCGCGCGTGCTGAGGCGCGACGACGCGAAGCGGTTCGGTGCAGCGCCGGCAAACGCTTCCAGGCCCGTGGAGAACACGCCGGCGCCGGCCACCTCGAGCTGCAGTCCCTGGTCCAGCAGCGCCCACAGCGTCAGATTGCCCTGGGGCGAAATGTTCGTCGTCGTGTTGCAGAACGTAGGGTAGGCATAGCTGGTGCTGTAGCTGTACTTTGAGGCCGCATCGCCGTCGCCGCTGGCCTTGTCGCTCCCGCTCAGCGTAAAGTTGTTGATCTGGTTGTTGCCAAAGTCGGTCAGCACGCCCTCGTTGGCGTACGAGAGCGACTGTGACCACGACACGGCGCGAGGCCCCTTGGCGCCCGTCCTCAACGTGCCCTGCACACTGAACGAGCGCGCCACCGACACGCTGTACGTCAGCGTCTGGTTGGCGCCCGTCGCGTTTTGCCGCAGGTGCTGCGTCACGCTGATCGCCACGCCCGCGTCGTGGACGACGGGTGGCGTGCCCGTCGTGACCAGCGCGCTGCTGTCGTCGCCGTCGTTGTCGTCGAGCCACACAAAGATCTTGCCCGTCACATACCAGCTGGCGGCCACCTGCTTGGTGAGGCTGGCCACGCCCGACGGCTGACCGTCGTCGTCGAGTCCGGCCACGAGGATGCTGAACGTATGCGGCTGTCCGTCGCACAGCACCGGCAGCCACGGCGAAATGTCAATCTCGTGCTCGCGCAGATCAAACACGTCGGCGCCCACGATGGGGCGGTGCAGGCTGGGCACAACGCCGCCCGTAAACACCACGGGAAACGGCCACTGCACGCCGGCCAGCTGGCCATCAATCAGCACCTGGACCTCGCGGAAGGGACTGAACCCAGGAAACACACCCGCGCCCGTCGCGTTGAATGTCAGCGTATCGGACTGCAGCACGTTGCTCCACCAAAACTCCTCGTTGGCCTGTCCGTTGGCCGACACGGAGAACACGGCGCGGCGCGCGTTGCGTGGGAAGTCGGTAATGGTGTTGGTGGCCACATCGGCGGGCAGTGTAAACTGGCTGACGCCGTTGACGTCGCTCTGGCGCTTGGAAATGGGAATCACTGCATCACTGGGCGGCGCAGCATCCAGGCGGTCGCCGACGTCCGACTGGAAGAACGTGGCCGTCAGGGTCACGTTAAAGGACGCCGTGTAGACATCGTTCTGCAAATTGCCCAGGTCGAAGATGATCTTTTGCGGCGTGCGCCAGAGAGCCAGATAGGCCGTCGTGTCCTTCAAATAGACCCAGCGGATGCCTGGCGCCTTAACCGGCTCCGCCGTGCTGGTGCGCCAGACCTCGGTGTCGTTGAGGTACATGAGGGCGAGACGGTCAAACTGGCGGCCGGCCGACACCGCCGTGAAGTTCATAACGACGCGGTTGAACGGGGTGGCAGGAGGCACATAGCTGCCGACAAAGGGTGCGTTGTAGCTGTTGCCAAAGACGTGCTCCATAAGCGTCACCGTAACGGCACCGGATGCCGAGGACGGTCCGGACGAGCGCTCTGTTGCGGGCCCATCGGGTGTGAGGACTGGCGGTGCCACCTGGAAACAGTCCAGCACGGTGGCGACTGGTGTTGAGGTGGACGATGATGTCGTTGGACTAGAGTCTCCCCCGGCACGCTTGCTAACAGAGATCGGGCCCACGGGCGCTGTATGCCCAGCGACATTAATCTGTGGCCGCTTGAAGGCAGCCGATGGCAAGCATGGGCGGAGGTGTGGTGCGAGGGCGAGGACGACAGCGAGGGTTAAGACCACGGGCAACAAGATGGATGCAACGCGCAGCCACACGGTTGGCCGTCGGACATATTTTGATGTCCTGGGTGTGGTGGTCTCAGGGTCCACGGCGGACCAGTGGTCCTTTTCGAGAAGCGGTGCGCCGGCTTCGTCCATTGTTGGTCGGTTGAAGTGAGGCAAACGGGGTAGTGGTAAATCCTATGGAAAGAAACCGCCAAGAGAGAATGAAGTATGACGAGAGCAAAGGCGACGGACGAGTACGATAGGAGGTGCGGGACATGTGAATGCAATCAACAGCACGGGAAATGGGATCGACACAGCGCAATGAGGAGCACAATCGCGCGATTGTCAGGCCGCAGCTCCAGCGGCCTGGTCCGGCCAGTTTTCGAAACGACGCTGGATAAAGGCAATATTCTGTGCAGTGATAATAAAGCTGATGGCGGTCGAACCAATGGAAAACACGGGACCAGTGCCTCGTAAACAAGGTAGGGAGCACGCGGCTGAAGTCGGCACAGCGGCGTTCCGTCTGAAGTCCTTATTGACACCTAGGAGTTGGGGGCGATCACAAAAAAGGAGTGTACGGAGTCGGTGATGATGCTGGCAGAACGCTTCAAAATAAAAGAAATCTTGCCGTCGGCGTGCGACACCTTCCAGTGCCAATGCCAGACCGGGAAGGTTGTCGACGAGGCTGGAATGGAAAGAACAAGCGGACGTGAGCCCAGAAAGGGCAGGCGCGAATCAATTCAGGAACCACACTGCAAGCGCGTAGCAGCCACTGAGGTGGCACGTGCGCAGACGGATGCCTTTGTCGGCCGCTTCCGTTCCCCATGTAGGGCATATCAGTGAGCGTCTATGCTGGCATCAAAACGTTCAGTCTGAGAGAAAGGCTATTAGCCAACAAAGTCAACGGGTGTTTGCCAAAATTCCAGACTGTATTTGAGATGGCTATATGTCAGCACATAGTAGATGCCAGATTGGAAAAAGATGCGGGAGGTTAAGAACGCCAAATGACCGTTGTAAGAGTGGATGTGTGCCAATTCATGGGAATGACTCCAGAAAAAGCAAATAACAAACGAAAGCATAACCATGCAACAGCAAAAAGAGAAGAGACCAGCCCAACGGCAAACCAAATCGTACAAAGCACCTACTTTCCTCGCCGAAAATCTATAATGATGCAACATGTCCCCGTCCGCCCGACCTGTATATATGCTGTTCCTTCAGAGCGCATAGCTCAGTCCGTCTAGTACGTGAATCGTCGTCGCCAGAGCGTACACATCGTTGGCGTTGCTGGGTTGGCCTAGGTCGGCTTCGCCTTGCCAATCTTCCAGCCCCACGAGCGCAGCACCTTGACCACCTGGGGGGTCACGGCCGCCGTCAGGGGCACGCGCACGAAAATAAAGCTCTTGTGGATGGCGTAGGCCAGGGCCAGCTGCGTGGCGAGGCTGGCTTCGTGCTTGTTGCGCCGGTCGGCCTCCTTGACACCCCAGCCGTCGCCCGCGGCGACTTCCTGGCCGTCCTTGTCGTGGGTGACCACGTCCTTGGCCGCATCCACAATCGCATCCTGGGCGGCCGTGACGCCGCTCTCGCGCTGGGCCTCTTTGAGGGCCGCGCGGTACCTGCGCCAGCGCTCCTTGACACTCTCGGGGATCAGTACCTTGACGTGGCCGACGACGTATTCTTCGGCGGCGGCTGCGAGGAAGAGGTTAGGTACGAAGATAAAACGAAAAAAAAAAAAANNAAAAAAAAAAACAGCTTGTCAGGCAGATCACGCACCAATTCGATCCGTTCCAAGCGTCCGCACAAGGAGGAAGCAAAAGGGAAAGTCGAGCAGGGACAGGCCAAAGTAGACGCCGACAGCGGTCCAGCCGTACTCGCGGGACAGCTTCTTGAAGCGCTGGCTCAGTGTGAGCTTCTCAGCGGGCGCGGCGCCGGGCCCCGACTTGGGCCCGGCTGCGTCTCCCGCGCCACCCTTTGCGCCGTCGTGTGACCGCCGTGTCCGCGACGAGTGGAATGTCCGCCGTGGCGAGGCGCGGGTGAAGAATGTGGAGGAACGGAATTGTTGCGTGGCGGAGGTCGTCGGTACCTTTGGCGTCGCGCTGGCAATGCTCCGCGTAGCTGGCCGCCGCCAGACCTGCTTGCCAGCCTGTGCCACGCCGTTCCGGGCGGCTGCCGCACCGCCGCGCTGCTGCAGCAGCAGCATGGCCGGCTGGGCCGACTGCTGCTCCAGGAGCACCTCCAAGGCGCGCACCGAACGACGCAGCATAGCGATGCAAGGCGTGTGGCTGTATTTCGCAGGTAGGTAGGTTTTCGATTGTTATGAGAAGCAGTAGCTCCAGCGTCGCCAAGATTGTCGTCTGCGTTGCACGGTACCGTCGATGTCGCGAGAGCTGTATGCAGACTCGCTTGTTCGGCAATTTTCGTGGGGTCTCGTGTCGTGATGAGCTTCAGAATGGAATGTCGTTGGAGAGAGTCGTTGAGGAATTGGGTGTCTGGTAAATTCGCGGACGAAACAAACGAATGCCGTATAGTTATGTCAGATGTCGGGAGCGTGCGGTCGGATACGAAAACGAAAAGAGCAAGCAATGGTGAATTCCGTGTTTCCTAAAGCCCGAGAAAATCGTGGCTTTTCTCCGGTAATGGCCTCAAAAAAATTTGCCTGCGCGGCACCAACGAAGTTCTGGAAGCTCCCAAGGCGGCCTGGCCCTGCGTCATTGAGCAGGACTGTCGTAGGGCCAGGCCACAGCGCCACCTCTGTTGGGTCATCGGTGTTAAGCAGAGCAAAGGTGAGACAGCACGCTCACTCACCAAAGACAAGGCACAGCGTGCAGACGACCAGAGACCGCACTATGATTGGCTCAAACTGCTACAAGGAAGTGATTGTCCCGCTAGGAGTCGCTGTAGGAATCTTACGCATCTTACTATGAAGTGTCGGGGAGTAGAGATGTCCGCTCCGTGTCCGTCGGACAACTCCGGCAACGTAGCAACAACGTCACGAGTCCAGCCACGAGAACCGGACGGGACGGGACGAGCAGGCAGGGAAACGAAGGAAAGCAAAGAAAACGCGAAATATAGTTACGATACGTCAATCGTCGTGCTCAGAAACAAAACAGTCACTTTTGCGCTGCGGCGAGTCGCTGACCAACGTTTACTAGCCTTTCCATACGTCGTAATAATTCTCAATGCATTCAAGTGCATCCAGGTGTATCTCAAAAACAGATTACTTCAAAACATGTTACATCTTGTCTTGCCTGTCGTGTCGTCGTCAGTCTATCTATTTATTTATCAAAAATAGAGCCTAAAACACCTGCTTCGCTGTCTCGACCAAAACAGTGTGGCAGCTCCAAATTATGGGCAGCACCACCAACGCCTGAAAGCGCCTCGGCGCCAACCCAAGGCGCCTAGAGCCCACTCCCAAAACATCACTAGCTGAGCACAAACTGATCCGAGCTCTGGCCAATCAGTACGCATGCTGCCTGCCAAGTGAGGGCACCCCTCCTTTTTAAGCGCCCGCCATTTCGCCTCGATCCCCTGCTTGTAAGTCGGCGGGTACCGTGGAGCTGCCGTCTTTTGGGACATGTTGCGAAAGCAGGGCGCTCGACCCTTCTTTTCTGGCCTTGTCGTGTCCTCGTCGTGCACAGTACCGCAAGCATCCCGTCACCATGCGGGCTACCATTGGATCCTTGGGTAAAGAAAGACTGGGGGCCAAATGGCCAATCTGTTTCCCAAATTAGACACAGCCAACGGGAGAACGGACGGCGGGCGTCTGTTGGAGGTGTGTCGTCGTGCGCTGCGTGAACGTTGGTTGACATATGAGTATGCAGGGAAGGAACGGCTGGAGATGCCAGCTGCAGTACCACCCTATCCTTGTCTTTTCTTACTCTTCTTATGAAGCTGCTGCTCGCTCTTTCCTTCTTCTGTTCCTGATCTCTCTTTCTGTTTTTGTAACTTGTCGCGGATCGTGAACGGCCCATTTACTCTTTCCTTTTGTGACACAACCCAATCGTCCGATAACAACTGCCTGACGGACTCATCGCACTTTCCCAAGGTGAATCGTGCTTTCCTGTTAGCTGCAGTTACAATCACAAGGTAATTGCGCGGGGCACACCAAAGCGTCGAGCCTTCCGTACTCGACGAGGAACACTGTTGCTGACGCCATATACACAGAAGTGACGCAGCAAGAACGACCGGTGAATCGCGTCTTCTTTGCCAGACAACTTTCAAAATGACCAGCCAATACTATCCTCGTACGTTTTCATTTCTGCCCTCACCATTCCCGAGCTCCTGCGGAAACTGCGATCGTCCATACTGACCATCTCCCAACAGCCCCGCCAGCAGCGGCAGCAGGTAAGAGAGACCATCAACGAGGAAACAGCGACCCCTTGCCAGTGCAGAACACACACTGACCCTCCCAGCACCTGCCACCCAGAGAAGCTACCCACCGCCGCCCCAGTCGCCGCCAGCCACTCGCACCAACTTCTCGTACGGCGGTCTGCAGTCGCACCCGTTGTCGCCCCGGCAAGCCACCGCCTTCCCGCCGCCGCCTGGCCAGACTGCTGCTGCTGGCTCACCCGCGCCGTCTCACAAATCGTCGTACCCTCCTCCTCCCCAGCAGCAGCAAGCTTCGCCTTCCCAGGCAGCACCAGCACAGCAACGCTACCCACCGCCGCCGAATCAGCAGCAGGCACAGCCCCAAACGCAGACGCCGCAGCCGCAGCAGCAGCAGAAGCAACAGGCGGTGCCCATTCACGACCGCACGCCGTCCTTCTCGTCCCGCGCCTCGTACTCCTCCTCGCAAGTGTCCCAGACCCAGCCGCACCAGCAGGCGGTGGCCACTTTCGCGCCACCGCCTACCTACGGTGACAGCGGCGGCAACAGTGAGACTGGTGCCGACTACCCGGCGGAGAAGGGCAAGTCGGGTGGTGCTGCTGTGGGCAATAGCTTTGGCTACACCGGCAAGGCCGACCACGAGGAGGGCGACGACGACGACGAGGACGGCGACGATTACGGCCGCCTGCACGACCAAGGCGGTGCCATTGGCCAGATCGCCGGCGCGCCCGCGCCGGGCATGTTCACGGGCGTGACGGCCGTCGTCGACGATGTCGGCACCTTCAACGGCGGCAGCTACCGCATCAGCCACCGCGACAGCAACACGATCCTGACCATCCAGCTGGCCATTGGCTGCCCGCTGACGGCCAAGCCGGGCGTCATGATTGGCATGTCGCCGTCCATCACGCTCAAGGGCGCCTTCAAGTTCAGCATGAAGAAGCTCGTGGCGGGCGGCGAAATCAGCTCGTCCCTGTTCACAGGGCCCGGCGAGCTGCTGCTGGGCCCGCCCATGCTCGGCGACATTACGAGCATCCGCCTGACGGGCGAGGGCGCGTGGTCCGTCGGCCACGACGGCTTCCTGGCGTGCACGCAGGGCGTGGTCAAGGAGTACAAGCGCCAGGGCCTCGGCAAGGCCATGTTCTCGGGCGAGGGCCTCTGGGTGTACAAGATCCGCGGCATTGGTCTGCTATGGATCTCGAGCTTCGGCGCCATCATCAAGAAGGACCTCGTCGAGGGCGAAAAGTACATTGTGGACAACGGGCACCTGGTGGCCTGGAACACAAAGTACATTCTGGAGCGCGTGGCCTCGGGCGGCATCATTTCGGGCCTTGCGTCCGCCGAGGGCCTGGTGTGCAAGTTTACGGGGCCCGGCACGGTCTACATCCAGACGCGGAATGCGGTACGTCATCCTCCGGTTGCGAGAGGGGCCTTAGGGGCCTTGGCCATCTACAATGCCATACTAACGTTGTGCAGAGAGCATTCAGTGCCTTCATGTCCGGCCAAACGATGCAGGTGTAAGGAAAGAGCAGCCAACTACGACTCACGTGGGCTTGTGGCTTCCATTTCAATTTGGACCATTTTGTTGCTTTTTTGGGCAAGCGGATCAAAATGACTTTCAGGTTGGCAACTGTAGCTTCGCCGTTGCCTCTCCGTTGTTGTTTTTTCCTCATATATCCTCCAGTGTCTTTCTTGGTGTCTGTTTTCATCGCACTTTCCTATTTTTTATTTCCTTTTTCAGCGACCTCCTTCCGTCACTACATTACGATTATTTTGGTTGCAGTTTGTTTTTTTTGTTTTGGTTATGTGCACATCGTATTGTGGTGCAAGGATGCGGTGGCATGTTGTCCCAGAATGTAGGCTGCCACTGGTCATGCTTTTCTTATTGCAGTACGACCGCAGAATACGACAAATACTCTTTTTTCTATGAAAGCGCCCTCTTTGATTTCTTTTTCTTCATTTTGATTCCTAACGTTTTTCTCAGCTGGGCGGTTCACAGTGAACAACTCTCGGCAAACCAAGTATCTACGGCCGACAACCACCCACCGACACCCGCAATGAGAACCTCCAGCACCGGCGAGCGCATCCCGGCTCTCGCACTGGTCCACACAGACAACTGCTCTGTCGCCGATACATCGATCGACGACCGAACGTTGCCGTCTGACAAGAAAACAGAGAAGCGGCCGAGCCGCGAGAACTCTCCAGCCACGAAACACAAAGGACTGCCGATCGACGGCGCTACCATTGAGAACTGGCGTCCGCATGTGTCGACGGTCACGGAGAAGTCGTCGAGCTCAGCGGACTCAATGGCCGAACAGCCTCCCAAGGCCACAGAAATGAAGGGCAAATCCAACGCCATACCAAACGCAAGCGATCTCGGTTCGCTCCGGAGGAGGCGCCCGGGAGCAACCTATGGCGTGGATGCATTGCCCAACCTCAAGGCGCGCGTGGTGGCCGAGCATGATGTCTCAAACGTCTCCAGTGCGGCCCCCTCAACCCGCCCAGAGACCCGTCAGCCAGAACCTATGCGGACTTTTCCACTAGAGTTCGGACAAGGAGTTACAACAGATAGAGAGTCTTCCCTTCGAAACGTATCTAGCCTGCCCAAATTCTTTGCTCCCGACTATGGTATCACCGACGACGACAAGTCTGCAACCCAGCTGAGTGATGATCCATCCGAGGAAGACCAACACCTGGACTTTTCTTTTACGTCGTTTTCGCGCCTGCCACTCTTCAATATCATGCACGGTCCGCCGCATGCGGATGCTCCTCTAGGTCTTCCTCATGCTCGAAACCCATTGGACGAACACCCAGATATCCAGTCATTACCACCGGTGCTGCAGGGGCTTGTTCGCAAGAACCTGACACCCGAGGCCGGCGAGAAGGGCCGTACAGTGGCAGCTATGATTCTTGAATTGTTCGCTGGCCACAAGCAAATCGGGCCGTTTGAATTTCCGTCACAATCACGCCTGCCTCTCTATGTCAACCTCCGACCAAAGGTCACTTCGTCGCCCAGACAAGACGCAGACGGTGACACAGACGACCTTGAATATGCAAAGGGCACAGACGGTAGCTTTTCGCTTTCTCATTGTGCCCGGCTTCCGTTGCACATGATCGCCGGGGCCGAGTCCAGACAGATGGAAATTCATACCAATATGAACAAGGTCCAGTTGACCAACTTTGCGCACCCCAAAACGTGGACCGACAGCAACAGTTTCGATTTCGAATTCCTGCAAGAGCACAGGCTTCCATCGTACTCGTCCTTGTTCAAAGGGCCTATCGAAACCTCGACGCTGAACACACAGTTGGTCCGCAAGGGGGTTCCTCTGCAGATCGTGGAAGTCAGTAAGAAGGGTCATGTGATCGGCTCGATCGACAGCGTCGGCCGGTATGTCCGTCCCAATGCAGACCCCCGGTTCCTGTTTTCTATCACGCCCTTTACGAAGTCCGAGGTGCTGCGAGGCAAGACGTCCAAGGACGTTCTGTTCGGGAAGTTGGAGAAAACATGGCGGAAACAGGAGCATGCCGGAGTGGCGCAAGTGGCAGTGACGAATCGGTCGAGCAGGTCGACGTCAACCAACGGAACAACCGGCACGTGTGCCAGGGCCGGCCACCCGCACTGCGAGAGGACAAGCGCATCAACACGCTCGACTCAGAGACATAGTTCGTCGACGACCACTGGTACCCAGACTGCGCCGTCCTCGATAAGCATCAACGAAAGTGGCCCCAATGCGCCTTACCGTGCTCCGCCCCCAAGTCGAGCCGAACCGTCTGTCGACGGGAACAAGAGGCTAGCCGGTGATCGGCACCGCTTTGATGCCCTTGTCAACCGTCTGCAACAGAAGCTGTCTGAGCAATCACAACAGTCGGGAGATGACGTTAAGGACGCAAACTCAAACGTGGGTAGGACCTCCAATTGCAATGACGCAAAGATGCCCGTCCGGGAGTGTAGACAACGTGGAGCAGTTGAACATGGCTCAGTTCATATCAACTACCAGGTGTCCGGCGAAGCAAGCTCAACGACAGGAAAACAAAACGAGAGCCAGATTGGGCAGCCAAACCGCAAAGACAAGCCTCCTCCTTTGCCGCCGAGACCCAACCTGGCGAGCAATCCACCCCACTCCTCTGCTCCTGTCCCGTCCAGCCGCTGTGATAGTGCATTGGACCCAAGAAAGGCCCCCTTTCAGCCTTCATACGTGCCCTATGCCTTTTCCAACAATCCAAATAAGCATACCATGGTACCGGGAATGGAGCCGGGAATGGTACCAGGAATCGTGCCAGGCACGGTGCCCATGCCGCTTGCGTGGCGGCTGCATCCGCCGCAAGGTCCGCTACCTGCTCCAGCTTCGCTTGTCCCGCCTGTCCCAGTGTCTATGCCGGCCATACCACCTCTACCGCAGGACCACAACTCCAGGCCCCCGTATTCCGCTCCCATTTCCGTACCTGGGTGGCCCATGTCGAAACGGCCAAGCAGCAGCCGGCGCCGCTCCCCATTTGTACCGCTTGCAGCGGCCGATCAGCAAAAAATCGAGGAGCACATTGAACTGCTCAAGGCGACGATTCCCAACTATGCCACTCTGTCCAAGAGACGCCAAGAGCTGCGTTGGGGAAGGCAGAATAGACAGGTAAGGGGACCAAAAGCAAAAGCAGGCGGCAGCTGTCCATGGGTAAATTCACCTCAAATGCTGTGGGAGCAACATCAACAGAGCCAGAAGCAACCCGCAGCTCATATCCAGGTCCATCCCCAGGTGCAACCGCAGGCACAGCAATTGCCATCTGTGCAGTCAGCTCAACCAGCGCAGCCAGCTCAACAGCTTCGCCACATGCAGCTTCACCAGGTGCAGATGCAACAGATGCAACAAATGCACGAGATGCACCAGCAGCACATGCAAAAAATTCATCAAACGCAACAGGATCAGCAGCAGTATCAACAAGGGCAGCCAGGATCAGCCATGCAGGGCATCCAGTCCATGCAACCCTTACACCTGTATGGACAATACTATCCCAACACGCTGGCGGCTCCCACGTGGGCCATGCCGTTGATGAATACCAAAATGTGAAAGGCGATGCAGTCCGGTTTCTAGGGTTCATTTGGTGCACCGCAGCACTGTTTATTTTCGGGTACAATGCATGCATAGGTCTGTGTGTTTCAAGCATTTTTACACTTTCCTTCATAGGAAGAAGAGATGAGCGTTATCGAGCATGTCATATCCCGGCGGCCTTTAAGCGAGCGGTTGTCTATTGCTACCCCAAACTTTATTCTTGTTACGACACGACGATACGACGACACGACGTCCTGAGTAGGCAGCTTATCTTAACTCCAAATTGGTTCTCAATTGTTCATCTGGACGAGTGACCACGCTGGGCTAGTAAGTTCAAGGGATACCTAAATAGGAAAGCAGGCTATTGCCCGTCATGCTTGGATGTCGTGAATGCTTCACTCGAGTCTTGGGTTACAATCGGCGCGACCGGCATGTGAGAACGGTAGTTCATTTGTCTCCGTCTCCTGTGTCTTTTGTCTATTGTCGTCCTCGTGGTTTAACATTTCATCCTCAACACAAGCAACACAACAGCAACACAAGAACAAAATCAAAAACAACGCACACATCCAGCGGTGGGAACATTGATGCTGCGGTGCCATTTTCCGTCAGCCTCAGTTATGACGGCAAGGCGTACGACTTTGACATTTGATGTGCTGTAATTTGTATGTCGTACTCCGTACTCCACAAGCTCCAGTCCTCGGCTCTACGTTCCAAACGGGAGTGTAGGCGACGTCGACGACTTACAAATTGCCCTCCACCTTGCTCGATTGGGGAACTCTCGTCCGTTGGGCCACCGCCCCCCGGCCGCGTGCCTGGCTCGATTCACCAATTGACGGATGCACGGGTGCACAGGTGCATTTCTCTCCGAACATCTCGCCGCGCCGTCGCTTACCGTCGTACCGTCGTATATGTTGTGTTTACGATGTAGTAGCAGCAGTCTGCTGGGTCTGTGGTTCCTCCCGCAAGATGACCATTCTCCATTTTTTAGGACGGAGCAGCATCATACTGTACAAACCCCGGGAATGCTCGCATTATTGTTTCTTTTGGGGGACTCGAGGGGGCTTCCCGGCAGTTTTTTGCCCATGGTGGCTAAATTTTCCCAGGGAGCCAACTGCCAAGCTTCAACTAGGCTGACAGGGTTGTGTCTCCTCACTCCCCTCGTCCCTTTTTTGTTTGCATTTACCCGGGTCGCCAATTGAATTGTTTCGTTTCCATTGGGGGTTGGTTTATGGGTGCATGGTGCATGGGTTCTCATGGTTCATGCACCTGTCGGTGGCTTTCTCGGTGGGATCGGCATCCAAGAGACAAAGAATGGGGAGGCACATACATTGTACAAAGTATGGAGCAAAACCTGCCATGCGCTGGAGACTTTTCTCCAAGGTGTGACGGTTTGTCTCGTCGCATCTGGTAATGTCGTGTAGCTATCGCGACACGGCAAGCAGCCTCCCTACGTTTGCGATGCACTTCTTGGAGCAGGTACAGAAATACTCCCGTCTTGCCTTTGTACACTTCGATGTACGCCCGTCGAAATGAGCCTCGGCCAGATCCACCTACGAGTTCTCGCAAGAAGCAGAAGCAGAAGCAAAAGCAGAAGCAAAAGCAAAAGCAAAAGCAAAAGCAAAAGCAAAAGCAAAAGCAAAAGCAAAAGCAAAAGCAAAAGCAAAAGCAAAAGCAAAAGCAAAAGCAAAAGCAAAAGCAAAAGCAAAAGCAAACCCCACACTGTCACGATCCGCTGTTTCGACAAGTGGACGAGACCTTCGTGGAGAGAGTCGAGGGAGGGAGAGCAGCTAGGAAAAGCTGGGAAGGTGGACCATGGACGGTGGACGCCACATCTTGATTTCCTTGCTTCTCGACCACCCTTTCCCCTCACGACGATCCCTGGTCGATTTTCCCCACACACAACTCTTTTTCCCCCCATCACGGCGTATCAGTAAATTCCTACCGGCAATTGCGGGCAAGTGCCCCGTCACAATGGCCCGAAGACGTCTTAGTGACCACAAGGGCCACAATAGGCATTCGTCCTCCGAAACTAGTGTTGGGCCTCATTGTTTATCCTTATTCCAACGACACGACTCCTGTTGCGACTGCGTAAGAGCAAGTCGTCCAGGTCGTCCAAGTCGTCCTGGCTAGAAATAAAATGTACATTTTCGTCTTGTATTTTGGGGTAGAAGAAAAGAAGAAAGCACAATATATAATTAAAAATAAAATAAAATGCACTGCAAATATACAAAGTACAGAATACAGACCGCACCAACCAACGAACCGTCCAAACTAGACCCGCTTAATTCATTTTCCAGTTCGGTCTTCGGGTCAGTGTCAACGCGATGTTCTGGTTGTCACGCCTTTCCCAGGTAAGTATCCCGTCGCAACGTACAACGTACAATGTACGCCGTCGCCGTCGACCTAACCCATGTCCCCCATGTCCCCCATGTCCCCATGTCCCCATGTCGCATTCATGCCGGCCGCTCTGCCGTCGTCGTGTCCTGTGCCGTCCCCATGTGCAGAAAGTAGGCGGCCGTTTGTACCAGACGTTGGACGAGTCGACAGGTGCTGGACAGTGTCTCAGTGTCCCCGGCGTAATTACGACATGGAGGGTGGTCTTGAGTGGCGAATCCCCAACAGAGGTGCTCCGCGGCGCTTCTCCTCTTTTCCATATCACTGTTGTATTTAACCAAAGACCGAAGAAACAAAAACACCCAGCAGACAAAGGTTTCGTGATATCCGACAGGCTCCATGCGGGGTGGAAGTGGCGGCAAGTTGGAGAGAGGCAATGGTGGGTTTGGGATCGTCAGACTCCCTCCAGTTCGCGTCCGCTGTGGATGGTCCGTCACTACTCTCGGTGTTATTCTGTCCTTTGCTACCACACACGGGGCCTTTCTCCGCGCAGCACAAGGCACGTTTTTGACGGCCACGCGCAGCAACGTGCGGAGTCTGCGTGTCGCGGTTGTCCTCTGTAGCGTAGTCGAAAAAGAAAAAAGAAAAAATCACCCATGCTTCCATTCTTCGATGTATCCTTCTTTCCATCTTAGTCTACCCCTTCCGCCCTAGTTTGATCGTAAAAGCTCAAAGGATGAGTGACAAGACCTTGGCGAGAAGAGCCTCCAAAATAAAGCAGACCTACGACAAAAGTAGTACTCCGAAGTGCGTACAATCGATGCTAACAACAACCATAACGCGTCTGTGCCTCTCCCGTCCAAGCCATCCCATTGCGAAGACCGTCTCTTGGAAGATATGAACAATACGTAGTACAAGGACTCAATACCAGCTGCTTGGTCATGAGGGAATGGGGAAGCTCCAATACCCCCCTCTCTTTTTCAACTCGTAGTATCTTGTTATCCACCCGGCCTCAAAGTAAAACTCCATAACACCAATCTACCGAAACATCCTGTACCTTGTTTTCTCCTTTGTCTCCTTTTCTCCTTGTCCCACAGTCTCCCCTTCCCCCCAGGTTCCCCGCAGGCCAACACTCATCTACTCTCCCCTTCAGTTTCCCTCCTTCTTCTTCTCTTTTCTCCTCGCGGCTCCACCTCCGCCCTGGCAGAGTTGCTCTCCACACCCAACGGACATTGATAATACCACACAGACACACAGGCACACAGACAAGGGACATACACGCAAAATAACTTTATATTAATATAAAAAACCACCCGGCACCCGACACCCGTCTCCCGTCACCCATCACCGGTTACCACCCTCTCTGCATTGTCCGTACTTTTCCCCCTATTCATCCTTTCTTCCAGAGAGCTCTGGGTCTGCCGTTCCTCATTCGCCGTCCGAACCCTCTCCTTGTGTTATTATCCTTGCTATAGCTTCTGCTCACCCGTGAAATTTTATTTATTTCCCACCTCAATTTCTCATTTCTCAATTTTTTTTGGCTCCTCACTGTTCCGTTTGTTTGGTTCTGTTTCTCATTGTGAGCTTCAGTCGAACCCGTTCTTGTCTTGTGTCGTTCGGTAACACGACCGCCGTCGTTGTATTTTGTCTTGTCAACGACAATTCGAGGGGACAAAAAAAAAGAAGTTGCGTCTCACAATCACAAAACCACCACCATGGGCGACGTCAAGAGCCACGACTTCGCCGACCAGCCCGAAGTCGTGCCCGCCCTGAGCCACGAGGAGCACGCGCCGGCCCAAACAACAGCAACGACGACGACAGCACCCAATGCTGCTGTTCTGGACGTCGACACCGAGAAACAGGTCGCGGCCCCGGACACCAAAGAGGCCGAGATCGAGGGCAACGAGGTGACGGCCGCGCGCCGGCGCGACCTGCAGCCGCCCGCGTTCCTGGTGGGCATGTCGGCCGAGGAGCGCCAGGCGATGGAGACGAAGCTGAAGCGCAAGATTGATTTGCGGCTGATGCCCATGATCATCCTCATGTACATTCTCAACTACATTGACCGCAACAACATTTCGGCAGCGACGCTGGGCGGTCTCAAGACGGACCTGAACATGAACTCCCAGCAGTTTTCGGTGAGTGAGGGGGGAGGCGGTTGAGGCGTTGAGTTGCCACGGTGCACTCTTTCATCTGCTCTGTCATGCTAACAATCTTGTGTAGACGGCCGTCAGTATTCTCTTTGTCGGGTATGTTGACGCAAAGCGCACACAAAAACACCCATTCAAAACCACGGCCATCCCACGGCTAACACAATCAGTTACCTGTTGATGCAGATTCCGTCCAACCTGTTTCTTAACAAGACGGGCAAGCCGGCCATCTACCTCCCGGCATGCGTAAGTGGTTTTGAGCGCGCGGAATGTGTCGGCCTGCACGTCGAGGCTAACCTCTCTCTCTTCCCAGATGATCGTCTGGGGCGTCATCTCAGGCGCCACGGCCGGCTGCCACAACGCCGGCCAGCTGTACGCCGTCCGCTTCTTCCTCGGCTTCATCGAGGCCGCCTACTTCCCGGGCTGCCTGTACTACCTGAGCTGCTGGTACACCCGCAAGGAGCTCGGCTTCCGCTCGGCCATCCTGTACTCGGGCGCCCTGATCTCGGGCGCCTTTTCCGGCCTGATTGCCGCCGGCATCGTCGCCCACATGGACTACGCGCGCAACCTGCGCGCCTGGCGCTGGCTGTTTATCATCGAGGGCGCCATCACGGTCGTCATCGCCTTTGCCGCCTTTTTCATCCTGCCCAACTTCCCGCGCACGACCATGTGGCTGACCGAGGAGGAGCGGCAGCTGGCGGCGTGGCGCCTCGAGGAGGACATTGGCGACGACGACTGGATCGACAGCAAGCACCAGACGTTCTGGCAGGGGGCCAAGCTGGCGTTTGAGGACGTCAAGACGTACGTGCTCATGGTCCTGCTCTTCTGCATCGTCGCCAGCGGCAGCATCACCAACTTTTTCCCCATTGTCGTGCAGACGCTGCACAAGAACAACGTCGAGACCCTGCTGCTGTCGGCCCCGCCGTACGTCCTGGCCGTCATCACGACCTACCTCAACGCCATGCACGCCGACCGCACGGGCGAGCGCTTCTGGCACATTGTGGTGCCCCTGAGCGTCGCCATCATCGCCTACATCATCGGCGTGTCCACCACCTCCATCGGCCCCCGCTACCTGTCCATGATGCTCGTCGTGCCCGGCGTCTACACCGGCTACGTCGTCGCCCTCGCGTGGATCAGCAACACCATCCCGCGCCCGCCCGCCAAGCGCGCCGCCGCCCTCGCCTTTATCAACGCCGTCTCCAACACGAGCAGCATCTACGCCAGCTACATGTTTGACAGCAAGTTTGCGCCGCAGTACAAGATTGCCTTTAGCGTCAACTGCATGACGGCCTTCATCTCCATCCTCGCCGCCATCGTGCTGCGCTTCATGCTCGTGCGGCTCAACAAGAAGCTCGACCGGGGCGAGTACGTCAAGGGCGCCATCAACGCGGTGCCCGGCGCCGCCGTGGAGCACGGGTTCCGGTTCAATATTTAGGTTTGGGGGTAGGGTGGGCGGAGAAAGTCGGAGGAGGATGGGTCGCCAAGGGACGTTGGGAAGGATGTCAGAAGGGTTGCAATGTCCACGATGTCCGTATCCTGAAGGCCATTCGGGCCTTCAAAGGAACAGGAGGGGGCAGAGGCAGACTGCTGCTAGAGCACCGAGACGGTGCTGGCCTAGGACCTCAGCGACGAGAGAAAGCTCTTTCCCGTTTTGAATACAATCGGGTAAAATACACACATGTCGTACATACATATGCAATTATGCATGGTGCCAGCCCATTGGCCAGTGTATTGCGATGAGATGCACCCCAAAAAGAAGGAACGACAGTTGCTGCTGCCAGGCGGTTTGGGACAGGTGGGAAGGAGAGCAGCAAACGTCTCGCTTGGCAGCCAATGGGCAGGGTGCTGTCCTAAATAGGAAGGTCCCGAGAGTATTCATCGCCGGACTCGTACCGTGCTCCGGGATAGCCTGCCATAACTGTGTCTGGCCCCACTCCCCCACGCGGAAAGCACAACTGACATACATTGTGCAATCGAAACAATGTCTCGTGATCGACTTTCGACGGTTGGGAGCCTTTGCCTTTCATAGGACAGGGCAATAAGGAGGGAAGAAACTTGTCTCCTTGCGATCCTTTGCGTCGCATTGAGAGCTGTTTTCCTCGTCGTGTGCGTTGCAAGGTCATCCGCCGAGGCGTCGGCCGTGTGTTTTCTCCTCTCACGCAGCAACTCGGTCGTGACGAGAGGGAAGAGTGTTGAAGAAAATGAGTGTCGAGCTTTATCTACATCGTAGACGGAGTCATGCGACATAATTTCGACACAATTTCTGATATCGGTGGGTTCCCCGTTTCTGCCTGTTTCTCTCGTCACTTAAATGGCAGGACCACACGCGACCTTGTGATCCTGGTGACCCGTTTTCCCTTCTCATTTCAATAGCGCCATGCAGGCGCCCACCGATGTCCATTAGGAGCTCTTATTGAGTAAGCTCTCCACGCAGGCCTTGCCCAGGATATGGATGGGCTGTCACCCACGAGCGTAGCTAAATAGCACGACATTGCTCTCTCTGCTTTTGAACTCCGAAGAACAGGTCTTCGTGGTGTAAGTATCTTGCATGTACGACGCGTAGCTGCAAACGTTGTAGTGAACTCGGCGTACTCCGACGAGCGCAGACGTGTCGAGGCCACCAGTCGAACAAGGAACAGCTTGACAACGGCCTGCCTAAGAATTGAGAGAGAAATGGAAACAAAGAGGAAAAGCTCAACAAGAAACAAGAGTTAGATCGTGTAGCCAATCACAGGCGTTGTTGTTCTGCATGTGGATCCTTATCGGTCGACCCGGTCATGCATCCGCCAATCAGAGGCCGAGAAGTTAGTCTTTCTTACGTACCGACTGCTGCAAATTTGTATGTATTAGATACATGAGGGCCCCACCTGAAGCCACAGTGCCACATTGTCGCTCACACACATCGTTCCTTTGTGTCCATCGGTCGTGGCGGTCCCATTGTTCTGCAGACCACCAACGAGTCTTTTTCAGAGTTTTACCACGTCCGCACGTCTGTCTGGACAGCCAAGTCTCTTTCACAACACCGTCGTACTTCTCCCGCGTCCCGCAGCGGCCCTCGACGGGTTTCGTCAGATCCCCGCCATTACGTCGTTGTACATCACTAGCTTTGCAGACCCTGTCGTGTTTTGCAGTCGGTGGTTCGTACTCGGTACGACGTATGTCTCTCATCATTTGTTTATGGTGGAAGGATGGAGTTCGGTGTGCCCTTCTATGAATTGCCTTTTCAACTGCCCAACAAAGGAATCTCACTTGCTCCCTGTAAATATTTCTGCACATCTTCCTTGACTTCCCTGTCTTCTCTTTTCTCGTGTCCTTGGCCAGCAAAAAGTTGACCAGTCCCAAAGAGGCAACTGTGCCCCTTGGCTGGTCTTGGTTCTTGAGATGGTTTTCGTTGATCGGCGGCTGGTTTGCTCTCTTCGAGACGAGGTTTTGAATTTGGTGTTGCCTCTTTTTGTCTGAACAAGGCAGTTCCTGCCGCTGTCAAAAAAGTAGGCTCGCAAGTTCGGCAAAAGGAGAAATGGAGATGGAGACATGCAATGACAGAAAATACAAATGGGCCAAGCGATTCTTCCCTGAACCGTCGCCCTGCCTTCATTCACAATGATCGTTTCTCCTCGTACACCTAAACGTGCTTTGCGATGCTTCAGTCATGCATACCTTCCTAAACACTCATCGTCATGACTCGTGCCAGGCTGAATGACAAAAGGCACCCTCGCATATATCAGCCTTTCGTAGCCTCGCCTCGCCTCGGCTTAACAAAGAACATGAGTAAATCCAAAAGTACATTGGTACCTCTTGAAGAGCTCGCCACATTACCTTGGCAGTCTTCGCTTTCCATCGCTTCTTTTCTCTCTAATTTCTTTCTGCGACCATCCCACCGCCTCCACCGCTCCGCTCTCCACTCTTCTCCCCATGTCTGCTTCGTTCGCTCAGCACACCGACCCGACCGGCGCGGCAACCGGCGCGGTCAACGGCGTCAGCGGTCGGGCTATACGGCTCCTCTTTTCGCGCCAGCTTTTTTTCTTCAGTGTCTGATGCGGTTCTGAACGGTCTTGCCAGTACCTCGTCAGTGCCGTACAGTGTCTAGTAGTTCTTGTGGTACTCTGTTTTGCGAGACGAGCCCTTTTCTCGGTGCAAAAAAACATACGCCGAACATGACTTGTGAAGATGCTCGTCGTTCGTAGTTGTATGGCCTCGTACATTTGCAGTCGCACGCTTGTATACGAGGAACGACTGGCATTGTCTTATTTCCAATTTTTATTCGGTTTTATTTAATTGGGAGACATCCGTTGGCCATGCTGTAAATACGACGTCCAGTCGTACCAGTCGTGGCCTGGCAAAAGCTGAATTCAGTCCTTTTGGCGCCTCGCAAGGCCTGTGGGGTGGGCTCAGCCCAGGCCAAGGACCCTTCTAAAAGCCAAGGCCCAAATGCTGAGAACGGGCCCAGCATTGCCCAACGGCCACTAGCAGACTAGCTAGAATGCAGTGGAGAAGAAAAAGAGTAATTCGTACAGAAGACAGCGCAACTTATTCCCCCCCCTTTTCGCCCACGATTTTGATATAAACATCGCCAAAAACGCGAAAAAAGCAGCGGCTTCAAAATGCCGTAAGTCCACGATGAACGCGTTATTTGCCACCAGCGTTTCTCACAATATTGTTTATAGGAGACAGCGCGATTATACCGAAGATGACGTCAAGCGCGCTCTTCTTGCGATCGAAAACGGCGCGTCTGTGCGGCAGGCTGCCAAGCAGAACAAGGTCCCCTTCTCTACCTTGAAAGGCCGCAGAAAAGGAGCGTTGCCGGCATCGGACGCGTTCGAAAGCCATCAGAAGCTGTCGATAGAACAAGAAAAACACCTCTGTGGCTGGATCATCGTGCAAGGCATGATTGGGCGCCGTCCCACGCACGCGGACATCCGGGCGATGGCTACCAGCCTAGTCGATCCAACTGGGCAAACCGAATTTGGGAAAAAGTGGATGATGGCCTTCATGCGTCGAAATCCGTCTATGAAAATTGCTCGAACAAAGTCTTGATGCGAGACGCGTCGACGGCGCCAGCAACGGAGCACGGAGCAAGGATTTGGAGCAACGGTCCGTTACGGGGCAGGGCCAAGGAAAATCACAAGCAAAAGAGCAAGTCGCTTGTGTCTGTACGAACAGTGGAGAAAACTGCCGAGCCCTTGGGTAGGCTACTTTTGACCTTTCTAGAAGACGTGAAGAACACGATCAAAACTAAGAGATGACAATCGACAAAGGGAGTGGACAACACGTACAGAGTACAAGATGAGTTACAACGGGACTACAGAAGTACAATATTTACCAAACGGTGAATGGGCCAATCTCTCTCTTCAATCTTCAATCTTGTTCTTTGTCCCGCAGAGGTGTCTTTGTCTCCCAGCCGCCGCTCTCTCCCTGCCTGAACCCAATTCCTACCCGTGGCCGGCAAGATTGCTTTCCATTGGAAGACGGTATGCGACGCCGTGGCAGAAAAAATACAAGGAAATACGACAAGAAAGAACGGGAGAAAAAAAACCTTTTCAAGCGCCACACTGGCTCTCTCTCGTCAGGTCACATTTCGGTCACTTGCATGACGCACCACCAATCCAATGCCCATGGTGAGAGACCAGACACTATTGTTTCGTTTTTCTCGTCTTGTGTCTTGTGTCTTCTGCATCTTGTCTCTTTTGCTTCTTTCTCTTCCTTCTCAACCTCCCGCAGCTCTTCCTTGCCACCGTCATCTCGCAAGTTCCACAGGCCGTATTCATACGCCATAAGGTACAACTACGGCGCACATCCACTAAAACGACATTGGGATCTTTACGGCGACTTTTATCTGGGACCATTGGTCCACTAATACCGCTAGGGCCAACGAGGACCGCAGAAGAGAAAAAAGAAGCATGGGGGCGGCTGTGGTCCGTCGTTTGGAGTCGCAGTAGTGGAGTCGCAGTGGCTGCTACGGGCGTCATAGTTGGGGTGTTACATGGCAGATGGCCCAATTGGCGACCCTTTTTCGACCGTCGCCCACGCTAAGGCCGCTTTTGTTATCATGGCGTTTTCTCAATCGTTGTCTCATTTTTTTTCTGTTACTGTTTTGCCTCGATTTTATTCGTCTATGCATGGCTTCGGCCTTGCCAGTGCATACCGAGTGGCTTTTTATTATTTTGTTTTCAGTGTTTTCCGTGTTCCTGGCCCTACTCGACTGTCCGTATTGTACTGTCAAGTCATGCAAGGCTCGACTGCCCAGTCCTCATTCTTAAAGTACTCCGTCCCTCCCCGAATTGCTTCTTCCTTGTACCTTTTCTCCTCCTTCTTTCTTCTCTTTCTCTCCCTCTTGGTTTTTCTTTTGCTGCTCTGTCTTCTTCCTCTTCTTCCCCTCTTCCTCTCTCACTCTCCCCCCCTCTTCATTCACTCTTTTGATCTCACGATCCTCACCCCTCATTGCTCCTTTTCTTTTTTTGTTTTACACTCCTCGGGACCGTCCTCGGTAGTCCTTCACGTGCTTTGTCGTCTTCTTCGAGGTCATGCAAACAAGGCTCCTCAGCCCTCTTCTCCGTCTTCTCTCTCGCACGCCAGCTCACGATAGCACACCGCCGCCGATGTCGACAAGATAATTCGACTGTCAACACAACCAACACTGCACCTCCTCTTTTTTATTTACACCCCATCTTTTATTTACACCTCTTCTTTTTTGTGCCCGTCTCCTCCACCTCTCCCCGTCCACCATGGCCACCCTCCCCGAAGTCGTCCCGTCGCACGCGGCCTACGAGCCCCCCCAGGTCGTCGGCTCGGGCCAGAATCCCGACGCGGGCGGCAACAGCAGCGGCGACGACACCGACGACAAGGCCCTCGCCGAGATGGGCTACGTGCCCGTGTTCCAGCGCCACTTTTCCATGTGGTCGTGCTTCAGCTTTGCCCTCAGCATCTCGGGCCTGTTTGGCACCGTCATGACCACCTTCTCGTACCCGCTGGACGCCGGCGGCGCCGCGTCCGCCATTTGGTGCTGGATGATCGCCGGCATTGGCGCGCTGTGCCTGGCCTTCTCGATTGCCGAGATCGCATCCGCCTACCCGACGTCCGGCGCCATGTACTTTACCATCAAGTACCTGGCCCCGGAAAAGCACGTGCCCCTGGTCGCCTGGATCGACGGCTGGCTGAACCTCATCGGCCAGATCTGCGGCAGCGCCTCGTCCGAGTACGGCGCCTCGCAGATGCTGCTGGCGGCCGTGTCCATCGGCTCCGATTTCACCTACTTCCCGACCCAGGGCCACATCATCGCCGTCATGGCCGGCCTGTCCATCTTCCACGCCCTCATCAACAGCATGACCACCAACTGGCTCAACAAGTTTGCCAAGACGTACGCCGTCTTCCACATTGGCATCCTCGTGGCCGCCTGCATCTCGCTGCTGGTCATGCAAAAGGACAAGCACACGGCCAAGTACGCCTTCACCGACGTCACCCCGACCTCCGGCTGGACCCCGCCGGGCTTCTCCTTCCTCTTCGGCTTCCTGTCCGTCGCCTGGACCATGACCGACTACGACGCCACCGCCCACATCGCCGAGGAGGCCAAGGACCCGGCCCGCGTCGTGCCTAAGGCCATCGCCCTCGCCCTCAGCTTCACGTACGTCGTCGGCTGGCTGTTCAACATCGTGCTCGTCTTCTGCATGGGCGACCCGGCCGAGATCCTCGCGAGCCCCATCGGCCAGCCCGTCTCTCAGATCTTCTACAACGTCATCGGCAAGGGCGGCGCCATCTTCTTCACCGTGTCCGCCTTCCTCATCATGAACTTTGTCTGCATCACCGCGCTGCAGGCCGGCTCGCGCACCGTCTGGGCCTTTTCACGCGACCAGATGCTGCCCGGCTCCGGCATCTGGTACCGCATCTGGTCCCGCACCGACACCCCCGTCCTCGCCGTCTGGCTCTACACCCTCATCTGCATCCTCATCAACCTCATCGGCCTCGGCTCCTACATCACCATCTCCGCCATCTTCAACGTCTGCGCCATCGCCCTCGACTGGAGCTACTGCATCCCCATCATCTGCAAGCTCGCCTACGGCAAGTTCCAGCCCGGCCCCTGGCACCTCGGCCCCGCCAGCAAGTTTGTCAACCTGTGGGCCTGCCTCTGGACCTCCTTCGTCTCCGTCATCTTCCTCTTCCCCACTGTCCGCCCCGTCACCCCCGACACCATGAACTACGCCGTCGTCATCCTGACCTTTGTCTTCATTGTCGCCACCGCCTACTGGTTTATCCAGGGCCGCAAGTACTACACCGGCCCCCGCACCCACGCCCACGTCGCCGGCGGCGTCATCGTCCAGGCCAAGACCCCCGAGGACGCCTCCGACCCCGAAAAGGCCGCTGGCCTGCGCTCGGCCGAGCTGGGCTCTGACGGCCTGCGTTCCGAGCTGGGCGCCGAGGGCCTGCATCAGCGTCACCCTGCCGAGCTGCCCACACATTAGACGTTGTGACTTGGCTCATGACTCTAGTCAGTGCAAGAAAAAGGCAAATCACAACCTATCAGGAGAGGAAGAGCAGGAGTAAGGGCCGCTTGCAACAACAGCTCCCAAGACAAATGAGTCAGAGATACCCCCATGGATGCGCCTCTCGTTTACAATCCAAATACCCTGGCACCTTTTGAGGTGCATACACCTATTTACTAGTTTACAAGAGTTTTATCTACAAAAAGTGTTTTATTTTAGTTTTGCTGTGTCAATAATTTGTGCTTGCGCTATATCACTCGTGAAGCGAAAAAAAAATTGTTTGACTGTCAGTTGTATTTGCTTGGCACGCCAGCGCACCAGGGTATTATGTACACCGAAGAGAGATCAAAGATACAGACGAAAACAGACCAGGTACCAACGCTTTCTTCACAAAATAGTCACCATTGACCACACCGCTCAGTTTGCCGTGTCCTGAATTTCTTGGCACTTGTAGTTGTCAGGGCACGCGGCGTGAATGCCGTCGCGAGGGCAAGAGCCGGGGACTTTGCAGGCGACACACTCATGGTGCTCACCGCATGACTTGCGCTCATGGTGATGGCCACCATGGTGGTGGTGGTGGCGGTGCTTGTCCTCATCACAGCCGCCCTCCGACCCGCACTTGCCACTCTTGTGGTGATGATGGTGGTGCTTGTGGTGGCCATGGTGGTGATGCTTGTCCTCATCGCAGCCACGATCAGACTCGCACTTCTTGCCACCCTTGTGGTGGTGATGGTGGTGACCATGATGGTGATGATGCTCCTTTTTCTTCTTCTGGCATTCACCGTCACATGTCATGCCGCCGTCCTCATCGTCACGGTGATGATGATGGTGATGATGCGCTACGTCACGCTTCAGCTGAGTGGTGGTCGCGGTCTCAGGGATGCAAAGAGTGTCACCAGCATTCAGATTGCAGGTACCATTCAGCCACGTGTTGGTCAATTGCAAATCCTCAACGGTTGTGTTGTAGACGGCGGCAATGCTCTCACAATCGTCCCCATTCTCAACAACGTACTTTGACTGAGTGGCAAGGCAGCGATCACAACAAGGCCTTGGAGTGCAGGTGGGATTAATAGTCACCGTCTGGACTGAGGTCTTGGTCACAGGACAATACTTGGTGTCAGTCTTGGTGTGGTCAATGCACTTGGTCACCGTCCGCGAACGGATCATGGTGGTCGTGCACATTCTGGTCTTGACGAATGTCGTTGGGTCTGGGATCTTCATTGTGACGGTGTTTGTGACTGTGACACACTCCTTGCAAGTTTTGGTCACTGTTGACGTTGGATTTGACTTGCAACCGCCACCCGAACAATGCTTCAGCTCGAGTCCTGTATCGCCCAGGTTGGCTTGATCTTGGTCTGCGGCATCTCGTGCTGCCACAACGTCACCCGCGGCAGCCGTAACAACAGCGTTGGGCCAGTTGAAGAAGCCTTCAGCATTGGCCAGCGCCAGGCCGGCACTCAGGAGAAGGACTGTCGACTTCATGGTGAGTCAGGGGTAGAAAACGAAGAACTGGGCTGTTTGGATCTAGAAGAGAGGTGTGATGAAGTACAATGAGACAGTCAAAATGCAAAAGGATACTCAATAATGATGATGACGAGGATTCTCTTGGGAGATAAACGAGAGAAGAGAGTAAAGAGAGTGTATGAGAGTGAGAAAGAAAAGAAACAGAAAAGGGAGAGAAAAGGAAGAGGGAAGAGAAAAGGGGCGAGATGGATGGAGGAAAAGCAGAAAGGTAAACAAGCCAAGTTGCTCATTTGGGAAGGAAACACCTGCCTGGCCCAGCAGCCAACTTCAACTTCCAATTGACCAACACAAACAGTGTACACAAAGCATCTGTTGGAGCAACATGGTGCCAGTTGGAGAAGGCACGATCAAAACAATACGAGTTGTGGCAATAGCGAACAACCATACCCGGCGGTGGCAGCAAAACTATTAACATTGTAGCAGGAACGACTGGCAATGACAGCGCCCCCCCTTTTCTCACCATGTCGGGAGGAAGGTACGACAGGCAGCGATGCCCAAGAAACATCACGGCAGTGGGAAGAGTCAAGGGGTTGCTTGTACCTCGAGACAAAGACGAGGAAAGAGCAACCAGTTGTCACTTGAGCACGGCTGTCTGAAGCCGATGTTCACTGGCCGTTGCAAGTCAGCATTGTCAGAAAGGTCTCTATCGGGGAAAGAGCTATCCATTTTAGTCTTGTTCCCAAAGAAGAAGGTGGTGGTGAGCGCATTCTCCAAGTTGGCAAGAACTTTTGTCACCTCTAAAGAGGTTAAAAAAGGCAGTCCCATATGCAATGCCTGCCACTCCGTCATCAAAAAAGTGCCTCACTAGTAGAAAGGAACGCAAAAGATGAGAATTGTATTTTTCTCTTCCAGCCGGTATTATGCTAGTGGTATGCAGTATCTAAACATGCGTAGCCCTTCAGATGCTCCTTCTCTCACGGGCAGGCCCCATACGAGGTAGGTTCCTGCCCGATCGTTCATTTTCGTGCTTCTTTCCCATTTTGGAAGAGTTCTTGTTTTGTAAATTAGTTTAGTAGGGTTTATGATCATGACCACACCTGCCTCCCACATACATGCGCTCCCTGTATCCCCTGGCGTCCTAACTGCAAGAACTCATACGCAAAATGCCAAACGCCCGATCAAAGTGCAACAACGACCCAGATATGTGTTAAGATAGAGAAGGAAACGAGAGAGATCACGGAAAGCACGGAAGGTGCATGAAACATGAGACTAGGGTAACAGAAAACAGGAAAGAGACAAAAACGGAAAGCATGAACCGGAAATGGTGAGAAAATAGAAGGACAAAATAAACCAAGGCAAGAGCAAGCGTGTGACAAACAACTGTTAAAACAGGCACAAAGAAACGAAGAGAATTAAAAGAAACAGGGAGTAAGAGAGCTCGTAGACGGAGCGACGAGGACAATACCAGTCGCAACTACCCATTGCCACCTATTCTTCGCCAGGCACGCCCGAAAATAGAGCGACACGCATCCGATGGCTCTGTCAGGTGACGTGTTAGCAGCGGTTTCCAAAATAAACGAAGATGCGATTGGCGGGTTTCGAACGGAACATACGTAAGGCAGCTTCGGGATGACGACGCCGAGTACGGCGAAGAAGTTGATCGTGAAGTAGGTCAAGTCGTAGTGGGTGTAATGCGTGCTGAGAAGGAAGAGGACAATAGGCACGCTGAGCAGGAACTTCTTGGCCGGCGTGTATTGTGCGCCGTCGTCGATCTGTTCCCACATGTTGAGGTTGTCGTAGGCACCGGCGTTGAAGTCGAAGGGCACGCCACGCACCCAATGAAACATGATGTAGGAGCCGAACATGTAGCTGATGTTGGTCAAGGTCCACGATGTCTCTTGTGATACGCCCGGTACTATGTCGTAAATGATCTTGAGAAGGCAAATGAGGACAATGTGCACCATCCACGCGCCTAGAGGGATAGAGGGATTGCGTCAGTAGGTGTCCGGGTTTGCATCTGCATCATATGTTGATCCGGGCGTCACTCACCCTTGGCGTTCACCCAGTTGGCGTTGCCATTCGGCAGAGCTGACTGGTCGCTCAGCTGCTCAAGCGGCTCGAGTGGCTCGTGGTATACCTGGAGAATGCTACTAGATCTTCTCCTCCGGTTGGTCTTTGTGTCGGCCATTGCTGCGGACCGAGATGCCGAGGCGTTGCCGGGCGCGGCTAAGTTGCTCCCGCGACACGGGGGACGGATGCCCGCGTCGTAAGAGACGGTTCGGGGGAGGAAGATTGGGGAAGACAGCTTGACGGTATTGAGGAGGGACAACCTGGTGACGGTTTGTGCGTTCCCTCGCTTTCCGGAGAGTCGCGGATCGGGCGACGGTCGGGGATGGACAGACTAATTTGGCCGCTGCGGGAAACCTCACGTCAGCTGCAATTCTCACACGAATGAAAGAATGAAATCGATGAGCTCAGCCCAAAGTGTCCGAGGCTATCGGTGCGTCGCTGAGCAAAGGTCAAAGGTCGATTGGGATAAACATGATTGGGTGTTCCGAGCCGAAGCATAAGCTACCACAATCTCATCGACAATTTTCGGCTCTAGCAAGGATCTAACGGGACGCAGAACAAGGGAAACAAATAAACAGACCTTTGGGATGTCGGCCGAGCGAGGTCTATATTGGCGACGCGAACGGTGGTGGGAGGTCGATGGCGGCGACAAGGCAGCTAGAAAGATGAGGAAATTGGCCCGCCAATGCTGTAGCCTAGAGCGATGGAAACCGTGGCCTCGGGTCGTGGGAAGCGCGGTGCACACGGCCCGGTGACGGCACAGGAGAGAAGCTGTTCGGCTCGGAAAACGAGAATCGACAAGGGCAAGCAAACGAGGGATCGTAGTCGGCGGCGGCGACGCGTCTACCGGAGACGAAAAAGGGAGCAGGGTCGGCGATGTGATCGGCCTGGTGAAGATGGCTTTGTGATGCAAGAGTTTCCAGTCCTAGGACCATTCCGAGGACGAAGAAACAAAAGAAGACGTGTGCATTACCACCCTAGCTCTGGCGTGGGCGGCGAACACGGGCAGAAAGCACTGGCGAGAGAGTGAGCGGCTGACGCAGTTACGAAAGTGGACAAGGGGCTTTTCCCAGCGCTGTTAATGGGCGGTCGCGAACTGGGTCCCTGGGTCAATGGAGAGGACTGGGCCGTTCGTTTCGGGGTGCAGTAGTACTGGAGAACAGGCTTCGCGGCAATGACAACTGGAAGACAGGACCAGAGAAGATTTCTGTCCTTTTGTTGTTCGCTTTGTGAATCGGATTCGACACGGTTTACGACAACGTTGTCACGGCCCCTTTCCGGTGGAAATTGGGGTCGGAGAATGGCAGGATCTGGATCTGTTGGGACCGCTGCTCACGTGATGTCACTGCGCCGCCACCTGACCCACTGCCCACGCAACCGGAGATCACAAAAAGCCCGACTAGGAAGAAAGAAAACAGCGAAATTGAACAGCACGACCCAGGGCGAGACCACGCGCGGCCAAAACAGCACTACACAACCCAGAAATTTAGTTCATTCGAGGCATCCCTGATTTTGCAGAGGTTAGTCAATTTGAAAGGCCCCCAAAATTAACATTAAACCCCATTTATTAAATTGCTTTTCTGTTGCCATACCTGCAGCAAAAAGCCGCCGTCCAGACGGTCGGCTGTACGAGCCTGAGAGTGTCGAAAAGCGGGTGTGCGCGTCGGGAGACACTGGAGCGGCCGGCTCTGCAAAAATTTTGAACGTGCTGGTGAGAGCGTCCGACTGGTGGAGCAAATGCGGCTGTCCTGAGCTCCGCACAGCAAGCAAACGTACACCGATCTGGTGACAAGCTGAGGCTTCGCTGAAGGGATTAGCGGGCGGCGAGATGGTTTCTCAACAAACCCAAGCCGCTACTGTCGGCGGGCGCAGCAGAATGGAGAGATACTTTCCAGCAGTTGCCACTGAGGCCGTATTTTGCATTGGCTGTGCATCGTATGGTCACCTCTTCGAGACCTGCCCTCTGCGGACTTGCAGGTTTTGCGGAAGCAGCGCCGACGAGCACATGCTCTTTGGCTGCCTCACCGTTCCGGTCGTCGCGAGCGAGTCGGCAGAGCCAGGTGAGGCTGCAAAGTCAGAAAGCGCTGCGTCGACATGTCCGTTCTGCCTCAAAGACAACATACACGTCGGAACCTGCCCCCGGCTGTGGCAGACGTTTGTGCCAAGCCCGACCAGCAAGCGCAGTGCGGCCGAGATCTCGACCGCTTGCTACTTCTGCGGTCTAGATGACCATTTTGGCGGTGATTGCAAGGACAACACCGGGGAGCACATCTCGGGCCGGCGGTATGCTCTTCAGGACGACGTCTGGAACCGCAAGTACGTCCTTCAGTTCTCGGACCTCACAAAGGCAAAATCCTTCACAGGGCCGTCCGTTCTTGACACAGATGCCGCGTCTACGACGGTGCTGGTGGTGCGGGGATCGAAACGGCAAAAGAAGGCCCATGCGGGCACTGGTGATGGCAGCAATGGCACGCTGAAAGGCGGCAGTGGCAGCAACGTCCAAACTGGTCCTGGCAACGATGCCAACACGAAGCCCAAGCGCAAGGGGAGGAAAGGGAAAAGCAAGGTCTCGCAATCAGAGCCTTCAACGGGGGCGGCGAATGCTGGAGACCAGAGCCTTAAACCCACACAAGACAACTCGAACTCCTCAGAGCAAGCAAAGGCCAAAGGAAAACAAGCTGCTGCAGAGTCTGAGGTTTCTCTCCCGACTCTGCCGACGACGGCAGCCCCTGCCCCGGTTACGGACCCGGCTGCAACGGCGGCGCCGAATCCAACCCCCCCACCGACCGGTGCCCATGATGCTTCTGCCGCCGCATCAAGGAATCCCAAGGCAGTGCCGGACAGGATGGTTCGCAAAGGGAAAGCGGCCCAAAGCCAGGGTCAAGAACAAGGTCAATCTCAGGCTCCGGCCAAGGCCTCAGCCAAAGCTGAACGCCGAGCTCGAGCCG